GAAGGGGAAGGGGAAGAAATAATCTAGGGAGTTTGGGTTTGGAGTTTCAGTAATGTTGTTCTATGTGTTGGAGATGGATTGGGATTGACGTTGAAATTGTATGGTTTTTTATCTTGGGGTTTGTTAGGGTTGTTAATGGAGTTGTTTTTTTGGATATAAATGAGTGAGTAAGTAAGCAAATAAGTTCTTTGATATTAATAATCCTCAATCGATACATAAAGTATTTACTAAATATAATATAACATAATCTTATACATTCACCAATACATTGTATTCATATATTAATATATTAATACACAAAAAAAGCGCTTTCAAAATAGAATCCACTGAACTCTAATTATCCATCAACCTTATAACCAAGCACACACCATCAGCTCATCCATAATCTCACCATCTCCTATATCCTCAACAAAATTAAACTTTCGATCTCTCTTTTTACTCTGTAAATTAATAAGACATCTAATACAGAGAACGACGTACCTCCTGCGCAAAACATATAAATGATAAGAGAAGCAAGCTAGAAATAAAATGCCCCACTCGCTTCCTGTTATCAAACTCAAACTCAGAATTGAAATACCACATCATACTATTTTTGCTATTTTTGCTATATTAAAAGAAGGTTTTGTAAGATTATATAGAGTATTAAAAAAATAGTTTATAAATATTAACTCGTATGGGAAATATAGTGCTCTGTAATCTCCATTCATTCATCAATTCATCTTCCCGTTCCTCGTAGATCTACTATCGACAAGTACCTAGTAGAATACCTCCCTTCCCGCTGCGCCGTAGATGGACCGGAACGGAGCGAGATCCATCTAAGATTACTTTCGGGTTTAATTATTACTATTCACGATTTACTCAATTCCAACATCAACACTGATCACGATCCCCAAACTCTAAAACTAACTAGGCCAGCCCCACTAACCCATCTATCTACTCACTCACCTCCCACACAATGACCTCACTTTTCTATAACCCTAAGCCATGTCTCATATTACAATGCATATCCCGGACGCCTCAACACCTGGGTGTCCTGGAAATGTAAAAGGGCTAGGAAGTTGAAAGGGATACGAAGCATAGGAATAAGATTGGAACGCGCGGATTTGGGATGGTAAAACGGGATGGTAAAACGGGACGGGGGGCGGAAAAGGCCTTTGTGTGCTGGGTGCTGGGGATGGTGGGTGCTTTTTGGTGTGTCTGGTCTGGCTGGTTCTTCGCTTGTAATTATTGTTTGGATGGATTGCACGGAGTATGTGTGTATGGTTTTATTTGCGCACGGAATGTTTGAGGGATTTGGAGGATTGTTGTATTGTGTTGTGTTTTGTTTTGTTCGTTTGAGTCTTGAGGAGATGAAGTTGGCTTGATTTTTGGGGTGGATATGATCTGGATATGGGTGTGGGTATGGTTATGGTTATGGTGCTTTTATTCTGATGTAAGGACATGAGGTTGGGGTTGGTGTATTTACTAGGTAGGGTGATGATAGTTCCACTTTGTAAGAAGAGGAGTGAGATTGCTCTTACAAATCCAACAAAGATCTTAGATACAGACAAGATCACCGAGTATATCAAATGCACAGACCAGTAGCATCACGATGAGATAGATCGTCATATTTTCTACCTCATCTAATCTAATCTAGTAGAACAAATTCTCGAGACGCATTTGTGATTCTCCAAGAGAAATCTATCAACCATTCTCCTTCCCCTTAATTATCTTCGCTACACAAATCCACATCATCTCATCAAAGCTTTTCAAAACATCCCCTCAAACCATCCCTATGAAATATTGAGTCCAAAATACAAAATATCCATTCCATAAATACTACACCCATACGAACTACAATCAACAACATAATCAAAAAAAGAGGCTTATCACCAGGATACCACAGACCAACAGCAACTAGCATATTAGCTGCATGCAAACCAAACAAAAAAAATCAAGGAAAAGAACAATCAATTTCTCGCATGCGAAAAATTTCGCAAAAATCTCAATATGGGATTCTAGAACTGTCCAATCATTTGCGGAGGAGATAGATCCGATGGTCTAGAATCTTGGGGGAGGCTTCTTATTGGTTGTGTATTCCATGGTTTGGAAAGATTAGGTAGGTGAAAGGATGGGATGCGATGGAGGGAAAGGATAGAAGTGAAGTATTTGTTTGTTTGTCTGGGGTTGAATACGAGGTTTGATGGTAATTCGGGGATGATGGATCGGAAAGTACGCAGTAGGTGGATGGATGGATGGGCGTTGGGTGGTTACTGATAGGATAGGGTAGCTAGCAAGCGAGGAAATATTACGATACAGTATCAATTACATGCATACTGCGATGCATGGAAGAAATTTCTCAAATGCAATTTCGTGTAGGAGTATGGTAGGTAACTTTCTGGCGGTTGGTAATACGAAATTCTCGCTCGTACGTACGTACAAACGAATGATTTACCTACCACAACACACTCGCAATACTCTTCCAAATCACTGAGATATACGGAAATTTTTACTTTCATCACTGTAAGATTAATATCCCTGAAGCTTTTCACTTCCTTTACGCCACCAGAAGCGAAACGAGTTCTGTACGGAGTATGTGGCACTGTATGTGGGCGAGGCTGGCTTCCATGACCTTATTACCCGAGTTCCGAGCTTCGGGCTGGCTGGGATGAATGGAAGATGGAAAGATGATGTCATTTCTTAATAATGTATGCTGATGGTGATTTGGAGTTCATCATCGGGACTGATGATGATGAATGATGATGATGAGGGAGATAGAATCATGTTGTTCAGAGTTGTCTATCGAGGATGAATATGAATAAGTGTGCGTGAACACGTATCTTCCATCTAGAGTGTGAAGCTATAAATATAAATCCCTAGATAAAGTTCTGGAATATAAAATCCAGGTTTAATCATTATAAAAATTCCCTGTTGATCAATGATTTTCTTTGGGTAATATAAGGTTATGGATATAGGTATATACATATGTAACAGGTCGATCAAACTCGACGATCAACGAAAATAAAAACGAACATCACATCACTGTGAAGTAAAGAGAAGAAGTGGCAACTTGTCGATCCTTACTTTTAGAGCACGTCGCTATAAATACTAAGCATCATAAATGCATATACCATATCATATGTACCTGCCAAGATCCCACTCACGTAAATACTAAGGAAGTACGAATACCCAATTTTGAAATCGGGAATCTTTGCGTTCGTGTTTGGGCGTGCAAGATAGATGTTCTTGTTGAATAATTATGCCCCGATCGTCGTTTCTTGAGATGATCAGTGGGTTTGATACCTAGTGCGAGAAAGAAGGGTATTTGAGAAGTTTCCATGGACAGCAGGTAAGATGCGGAGAGGAGGGGAGGATACTAAATCTGGTATCAAATTTCAAATGTCGATCTTCTGGGGTTTTCTCCCTATTTTTCCTCTTTTTGCATTTCTCCTGTCTGCTATGCTAGGTATGATTCTGCATTTTTAGTATTTTCATTCTATGATCTTCCATCTTCTATCTACTGTCTCGCGTCCCTCATCTCCAGAATTCCCATTCTCCAAGGGGAAAACGTTGCTCTCGACACTCGAATACTCGATTAGAGTTTAAATGCATAGTTAGGAATCAGAAATTGGAGTTAGAATGGGTGATCTAAAATACAAGTGGAGAGGACCCTGAATCCCAACTTTAGACTCGGGGTACATTGACACAAAATCATTATCTATCAGTATCTTTGATTCTATCTACTTCGCCACTAGTTAGTACTAGTAGATGCACACAGATAGATAGATAGGTCGTACTATCCCCTTAGATGGCGTTATCTGCCCTTGATCTGAGAGCCGCGATGAGAGGTACAAGTGTACTTTTAGGGTGATTAGTGGGAAGATAGCTTGAGATGGGATATGTAGTGGCGTTAGCTTTGACGGATAACTAAATTAAGGGTTATTTTACATACATGATCGTGGACTTGTAGGAGGAATCGGACGCTAGGCTAAGTGGTGCAGCTAGCTCTCGTTACTGGATTTCTAGAGTCGAATTGTTAAGTCAATAGTCTATGAGTTTAGGGACTTGGCTGTTGGAGTGGTGGAGATTTTGTTTATCTTATCTCTTTTTTAATGTAATGTAATGTAAATGATCTTCTTCTTCTTCTTCTTCTTCTTCTTCTTGTTAGTGTAGTGTCTATTGAAATCCTAAGATTTTGATAACGGTGGCGAAGAACTTCTTTCCATTCATATCAACATATTCTTATCTTCTTCAAACTCAATCGCTACTTCACGTCATACTGTCGTGCAGATCCTGTTTCATTTACTTCCAACGATGTCTTATCTTCCTTTAGCGAAAAATCATGCACCCCGCATCTTGACCTTGACTTTACTATGTACATCTATCTGTGTTGTGGGAAGTATAAAACTGAGGAGCTAAATTATTACGTGGTTGTGGTGGTCTTTAACTACAATTGCGGGTACGTGGCTTAGGAGTTTCATAGTTCTAAGAAAGTCGAGGCCGATCGAAAGATTTCTTCATGACAAACTTCTAAAACTTCACATTTGATATTGTCTCCGGATGTGGGATTCCATAGAAATTCATCCTCTCAATTTGTATTGGTCGAAAGGGATCGTTTCGTCTGAAACATCCACCCCATCTCAAATATCCATACTACTTGCTAGGCGCACGAGTAGGTTGAGCTTAGACACTAAATTCACGTACTTTTCACGCCTCTTCACAAGCGCTAGATATAGAGCTTTAATCTAGATTTATCTTCCTTTTAACTAGAGCTAAGATTAGGTTTTAGGAATGAAAATGTTGTGGCATTGAATATTATGGGATTTCGGCGGAAGCGAGGAGGAAAGCGTGCTTCTTAGGGTCGCCGGTTATTTTTTACCCCGGATTTTACGGTCGAACCGCTGGGATAGCCGCTATTCTAGACTTTGCGGATTTGTAGGATGGGGAATCTATTTATGTTTTGGGTATCGGATGTGAGCGTTAGAGTGGGTTTATGGATGGAATTCACTGATGGAGTGTGCTTATTCATGGTGTTTATGGGTCTGAGGATTTCCGGCTTCTTGGAAGATGAGTTGTTCGTGGGGATGCATAGGACCACAATGTCTGAGAATTGAGGAAGAGAAACGCCATGATGAGCCAAGTGAAATTTTCATGCTCTTACTCCATGGGGAAGTCGATGCAGTTCGTCGGTATTCGTGTCTGTTCATATGTAGTCTTCACCTCTCATACTCACCTCAATTATTCCACATTCTTCCAAAACCATGAGTCCAATATCCAAATCTCAATTACCTAAGCGCTCTTTACATCAAACTCAGACAATATACTCGCATATTTCAGGCATCTCTCGGATTGTGCCGAAATATATTGATGGGCAGGGAGGGCATGGACAATGTGGGGAAGAATGGAGTTGGAAACATCTCAAGTAAGCTATGGCATGGTCAGGGCTGTGTAGCAAGCAAGCCTCACGCCACGAGCGTAATGGCTTAGTGAAATTGTCGCGTGAGTCTAGTTATGTATTCTACACTTTGCGAGAGGAAATGAGGTCGTGCGTGGAGGTATCTTACATCTTAAACGGGAAAAGGAATGGTTGGATAGACGATGGTTTGAAGGCTTTGCATCAGGACTGCTTGGTACGCCATAAGATGTCCCTTGCGTTTGAATATAACTTACTTTCAAGAAGCTAAAGGACAATCTATCTAACCAGTCCAACCAAGGAAAGTTTCATACTACCGGTATCATATCTGACAATCGACACATTACGAATACTCATTACCTCAAAAATCGATACAATACAAACTTCACTCACTCACCGCAACGTCATCAAGAACATAACTCGACCATCACATATCAAAAATAAGTATCACGCACAATCCCCAAACCATACAACACAAACCTCCCTAAATATAAAATGTCATGCGCAAGTTGAGCACCAAATACCAGGTACAACCAATCTATACAAAAATTCCCGATGCGACCACTTATGCAGCCTAGCAAAGTACGTGGTCACGTATCCTCACTTTTTTGCCGCCCGTGTGACATCGAAGCTTGGATTTTTGTTATTGCGAGGTGCTTGGATAGTTATAATACGTAAGTATGTATGTTAAGCGCCTAATACGTACTTTTGAAACTGCGAAGCTCAGCCTCGTGGGATGGGTGGAATGATATTAAGGATGTTTGGTGTGTTTTTGCACGAGATTGGGTGGGGATGGATGAATGGATGGAGGGCTTATGAGTGGGTATATGTGAGTATCAAGCAATTAGGTGAGGTTTAACATTCACATGGAATTGACAGATTTGCTATCTCCTTGTTTCGGGCAAAGAAAGCTCGTATTAAAAATTTCATGAATAGAATTTTCTATCGGGTAAAACGGATTGTAGTGAATTCAACACCATAGAAGAATCGGCAAGTTTGATTCATTCTATTGGTATGATTGCAGTGCATTTGTACATATATCGCGTAGCTGCAAGTCGTCAGTATTCGCCCAGATCGCAGTCACATCTGGTTTGCGTTATGCTAAGAGAAGCATATTTTTGAATTTCTGGAAAGTTCTAGTACTCGAAATTCATGCAAGCTCTGAAAACTTTTTTTTTTCCTTTTATGCTGTGTAACACACCATGCTGTATTCTATATCCAACACATCCAAACCTGCATGTACTAATGCGACAAATTCATAAGCTGTGCAACACCAACAGCGTGACCTTTCGCACACAATGGCGTGCCTTAGTTCTAGGCGATGTCGGGGATTTTTCCTACAATTTCTCATGCGAGCAAATACCAAACCAGACAAACCTCGCCAAGAGCACGAAAGCAAGCCCTCCCATTTCATACCTTGGTACCGGATTTTTTCTTCCGTCTTGCTCGTACGATGATATGATATATCATATCACTTTCAGCGACGTGCATTACATTAGATGCGAACTATTGAGAGGCGAAATTCTTCTTGAGGTGCAGTGTGCAGAAATGCATATGAAGGGATGAAAATTAATGATGCGAGTGATAGGTAAATCATCGATGGAATATGCGGGATGGTTCACGGGGTGTTGGTTGAATAGATAGCTTTTTGTTTAGCCGATCTAGATCCCTAATGGGAGATGAACTGCTTGGTATTTTTTATTCCCTTTCCGTCCCGTGTATTCGGTAAATTTAGGGGCTCAACAGCTTTTACTCCTGGACTTTGATTGGCTAATCATTCCTTGATTTTCCTCCATCTCAATCCTTTCAAAACAAAGAGTAGGTAGTCAAGAAAATTTTCTTCTTTGTTCTAAAATTGTAATACAAAGAACATCCGAATCCAATCCCACGCTTTTGATATGCAAGTAATTTAAACAGCGTATCATTCCGAATATTGTCCGAACAATAACCCCCTATCAGATTACGAGGGGGTTATGTAATACAAAGAGCACTGGCTTTTCGCATCCATTTTCTTGGGTTAAGAGGCGCAAAGGCGTTTTGGATGTTTGCCTTACTTCGGACGAAAAATCATGTGTATGGAAGAATGGTATGATAATCAGGAGAATATCTCAGAGGCGTTTGGGTTTAGAGGGGGAGGGGTAAATGGATGTCACAAAGGCGTTTTTTTTAAATCCCTTATCGTGGAAGTGGCGGGTGCAGATGAGATGTGAGATGTGACTGGTCGATTTCCGCAGCGTCGTACAATAACGGTTGGGGATGATGAGTGGTTGAGATTTTTATATCTTCAAGCCTCTGTTTCACTTCTGGGTGGGCGTGTACATGTTTGGAAATGCCAAGGGAATGCGGGGTAACCTACAATGGAAGCTGTCAGATGTGAATTTTACATTTCATGACTCGTGAAAGATTATTCGAATGTCATCTATTTTCGACGTTTATTATCCTGTCTTCTAATTGGTATGCTATTCACTGCTCATAAGCTTTAAGCCCATGGATTTTCTTCCTCTGTACAAAAATACAAGGCATAACGGTGATGAGGGGTAGCGGTATGTCAATACTCGGGTTACACAGGACTAATCAATCCTTTAAAGAAGAACAAGACATGAAAGTACATCATAGTGGTACATAATACATGGGAGCATGTAAGTAGGGACCTAAGTCCCTGTTATCCCATCAATTTAAACTTCAGATATATATTGAAGAACTATTACAAAAGCCGGAAAATACCGAAAATCCATCTATTTTCCATGCCGAACCTTGGTACCGGAAGTATCGGTACATAGTTATCTCTACGAAACGTATCCATCTATCCGAATAACCACGGAGAAACCCTCAAACCGGCCTCCGCCAGCACCCAAAATCAGATACCCTACCCCACCATAGATAGTAAGATGAAGATCACGTTCTCCCGTACCCCGAGTAAATACACAAGTACCGTGACTCGAGAGGTCACGATACCAAACTCTCTGAATCCTTATCATAGTTCTAGCAGAACTATACACAAAAATGTACCTAGAGACTTGGCTCTGCATCTAGGCCGGGCTCGTGTCGTGGATATGCGTTTTCAAGGGTCCATTTGGTGGACTAGTTATATCGCATGTGATTGGATCTGCATATCTGCATGAATTAAATGGATTAGATGGGCTTATTTGGCATTTATTGGCATGGGGTGATGGATGGAATGATGGATGGTTTGCTTTTGTTATCAGGATGGATAATCTGTTCTGTTCTATGGCGAATATGTACCCGTGTTTTAATACGAAGTATTTGCCTCTCGCTACTGCTGCAATTTTCAATTTCAGAATGTTGAGTGTAAATCTCAAATAACCCTCCGGTAGTTTGTATTAAGATAATTTACCTTTCCCTATCATGTTTTCCATGCGGGGTGTTGATTTTGGACCCGAGTGTTCACAAGTACCCCATTTGGATATATCGACTAGCATTAAGGATCCATCGATATCCAACTCCTCAAGGTACTGAGTTGAGGCATTAAAAAATATCTTTTGAGTAATCTGATAATGAGATAGGGTTACTGAAAAGTTTTCTAAGATGCTACGCTAGTGTAGTGTGTCGAGTGCTACAGTAATATATCTTCATCTCTTCTAGTTTAAGATACACGGCTGATAAATTAACTGTCGTTCTAATGGAAAGTGGAGGGAAGACCCCTAGACGGGAACTTGCCACTGTTGGCAACTTAACTTCTAGAAATAAAGCACACATGTGAAAATCTGGGGAAATTGCTCTCTTCCCGCCCGTTCATCATACTGTTCGCCCTAAGTAAATTTCCCTTCATTTTGCTCCCCGCACCTGTCACCTCTCACCCCCAAACTCTCATCATATCCATCACATTTGAGAAGGAAGTATCGTATCTTGTGATCACTTCTATTGCCCAACTTCCGTCACTGTATGATAGATAGAACACGTACAACGCTTTTAGACCCTCCAACCAGGCTTTAATCTTCCGAAATCATGTTATCGCATTAATATACTCAATATGTGAAATTATATATATGATCGATCAACACTAGATTAAATGAAGCCGCTAATCCTGCCAATTTCTTTTCACGACAGAACGCTGTAGATGTGGTGGAACATTCTTATCTCCATCATGTATCCAAACAGAGAGCAGAATCAAAATCTCCACGGAATTTACGCGGTGCACCCGAACGCAGGCTTAGATTTGCATGAATGATTATCCTGTATTACTACCTATACATGCATTTTGCAGGATTTGGAGTATAATATAAGTCGTACAACTTCGCTGTTAAAACTGTTGTGTAATCGAACCTCAATTTTGTAGAGTCAATTGGATATGTCAAACAACAGTGGTGAAACATTTCTTATCTTCATGATGAATTGAACGGACTGGTGGTTACCGATCTTCGGCGTCAGAAAAATTGGTATGTTCTTTTCATGCGATCTGTGACAATTTCGATGGAGAATGTGTGGACCTACGATATTAAGTTGAAGATCTCGGAAAGTGTGACTGAAGGACTTCATTGACAGCTTGATCAACCCCTCAGAAGGAGAGCAACGAAGGCAAATTCAATATTCGTGGTTTATGTTTTAAGCTGTCTATTATGGGATTGTCTTGATTGTGCTTATAGATATTTAGAGCGAGGTGTACTACACCAGAAATACTTGTTTCTCTCTTGATCTCCAGTGAGGTCACGGAGTCCAGTCCACGTCCAAACAAGAATTTGTTAATCAACATCCTCCAAAGTTTGAGTATATTGACTTAATATTGGTACCTATATCTACTGCTAGCCTTCAAGTAACAAACGTCCTCATCACTAAGCTCTGGCTTTTAGACTGGACCTGCGATGAAATAAACATATTGTAGGCAGATTAACGAATTCTCCTTCATGTTTGCACAGCCGTTTCAAGTGTACTACACCATTGATCAGGTAACAATCGTATCTCAATCCTTGTATCAAACCAATACCAAGACTTCAGGATTCTACAAGGTTATCAAGTCCAAACAGAAGGGGAAAAGAATAGAATATCAACACGGTTTGAACCCTGAATAATTTTTTTTTCGCAAGGGAGACGGCAGTCTTGCCCGATGATAATCTGTACACGGTGAGCCAAGAAAGTACCAACTACGTTCGTGCAGAAATTTCATTCGAACTTGCCAACGAACTCTCATCTAATGCAACATCCAGTCATCGTAGCATTACAAATTACAAAGAACAAACAAGACTAAGATTCGGAAATATCTCAAGAATTTGCTTTTCGTTTTCCGCGGGAAATATTCTTTTATGATATAGATGCTCCGTACTCCGTAGGTTAACTGACATGAGTTAAACTTTGAAATAAAGTTTGAGGCTGGAAAAGATTGATCGTACGAGCACTAGCGCACTGTTCAACCAGCTTGAAATTTCTTCTCGCTCGGGCTTCCAACTGCTTACTATCAAACTGCTTATCGCGCACAAAGCAACCGGTATTTTCGGTAGGGATCGAGCTGTGCAGTTCTGATAGCTATAACATACTAACTTGTTGGCAATAGGTTATTAGCGGGAAATACGCAATATGAGGCATCCACTATTTGCGTATCCCTGGGGCTTTAGGGCTCAAAAGTGGGATGCAGCGTGAAAAGTTCTGCAAGACAAAAATGACTCCAAGCGAGAAAAAGGTAGATCGAATGACGAATGTGCATGAACCCTAATTAAGAGTTTTGGATCATGGAAAAAGAGTTTAGATGTGCGCTACCGTCTACTTAGGTTTAAGTCTTTAACATGGGGATCGCAGAAAAGGAGGGTATTGGGACTCGGAAATTGGGGAGAAAGATCGATTTCCGCTCGAAATGAGCACGGGAGGTATATTTCACGGTGGAACTTGGGTCGAAGGAAGGATCGGGGAGAGGACCCACTCGGGCGTGCACAGATTTCATCAACTGGGATGAGGGGCTTCGTGGAGATTGGGTCGACACTATTGGGGAAAGGACCGAATTGATACTGCTTTCGATGGAGATTGAATTTCCAGCAGCCAATATTTTGACTAGCTGAGATAATTCTGCGGAGCGGATCGGAGCGCGAAGATGGGAAGCGGGAAAGTGGATACATTGGGGAAAGGGCCGATGTGGGTGGATATTTGAAGAGTGCCAAGTTATGACGGCCTGGGTGGGATGGTGTTGGCGGGGGTATCGTGGGTGGGCTTCGTTAACTTTAGATATGGAGGGGCATGGGGAAAGGACCGAATATGTGCGGATGTGACCGTATGATCACTGGAGTTGCTGGGAGTGCAGGATTTGGAGTCATGCATGGAAATGACTCGGATGGAATGAAAAACGTAAGTAGTGTCTAGAATGATGCATGTCTTAAAAGGAAATAAAGGCTAGGTAGCTTTCGACTCCAACTGTTTTGCGTGATGAAGAAGTGGTGTTAAGAGAAAGGACTTGTAAGTCTTAGTATAATCGAAGATTTTCTAGTTGCCAGTGCAACACAGCGCATAATATTGGCTGGTAGTTCATCTGTGAAACGAGAGGTTGAAAGTGATTCATCTTTATCAATCACTTCTGCAGTAGCAATACATGAATAATAAATCTCTCACTCCAGAAGATATTCCCTTTGCAGTTTCAAGTGAAGCCACATCTGGGTTTGGACGACATCGAGTATTACGCGATGCAAATGAACAAGAAGTGAGTATCGATCTAGTGAGCTTACTCGAATACAACGTTCTTGGTGGTGATTCAAAGCTACAGCTACCTTTAATTTCTTCATTGGATGGGATAGATTCCTGTGTTTTCCATTCATCCTGTCGTTATATCTCTAAATGTCAGTTATAATACACTATAAGTTCATCCATGTTTCCCGAGAACAGAGTTGAGAGGAACAAATTCAAAAAGGTAAAGATCCCTTCAAGCCAATTGGAAGCTGTGATACATCAAGGCCCAACTAGCCCCTTCTTACCTCCCTTCTGCTATTGATATGTCGGAGAATAGATACTTTGGTCCGCAGGGGGTTGGAAAAATCGGACAGAATCTAGAATCAGAAAACCCAGGTATTTCCGCGTCCTTGAATATCATATTCCAATAGTTTTCCTAGATTCTTCAGACATCATTCTGATTCATTGTGGAAGACTTTACTATCCTTTAATCAAGAAGAAAACATTAAAAATTGAGTCCCAACCTTCGTTTTAATAAAAATTACTCGCATACCAAGTTCCCATATTCGCTATATATAAATCACGGTCAGTATTGGTGCATCCTCTTCTACTATTCATTTGCTTGGGTTGAGCAAGGACCCGTTGTCCCTCATGGAACGTGTGGTATAATTCACAAGAATCCGAGTGAAGCAAACCGAGAAGAACGAGAAGCAGAAGACACTAGATGAAGATGATAGTGAGCTGTGAGGATTATTTGCAGAATTTTGAGTACAAACGGGAGGCTTGGTAGTTAAAACTTAAAATGCATTAAGATTAATACCTCCGCATGTACTTTGAATTACTATGCTCGAAACGATTTTCATCAGGAAGCCCGAAGTGTTCCAAGCACGACTTGTCCTTCTTTTCTCTCCCGAGAGGAAAAGGGGATAATATCCGTGCAATATTTCCAACCGCTCGAATCTTCATACGAATTGTTTCTCGCATCAGAGACCACGTGCATCTAACTGATGTAGCTCATGGATATTCAAAATATATCGTGTCCGCCTTCTTTGGCCGTAGTAACAAGTCATCCGGTAGATCCACAGGCATTTGTCGCGCTTTAGCCTAGTCCCTACGGCAACAAAATCTGGACACCCGTGCTTTGTGTTGAAATCAATCTATGCCTCTGAAATACTCAGACCTGACCCGTTACTCCAATATCAACTGGAAACATCAATTTTCGACGCAAAGGTCAATACGATGAGCTATCAAGACCATGAACATTAGTATTCATTTTGGATGTCATCATGACTTAGCCGAGAGACGTGGAGCTTCAATATCTGTCTATCAATCTTGAAAGTATCTTCTCCTTCTGGAAATAATCAAATTATAAGATCTTACCATAGTTCTTGCCAAAGAAGATTTAAACAAATAAGCTGGTTCGAGGCCTCTAGATTAGCAGGGTAATCTCCACCATACCTATACTTCTCATTGATTTTCAAATGATACATTCCGATTACAGATCTAGCCGCAATACTGCAGAAATGAAAACTCAACGACAATTGACCCCCAAATTATCCCAGACTACAGTAACTTCTAGACCTGTGTCTGGTCGACACCCACCGGGGCTAAGAAATGATCTAATAAATACTGTCGTGGTATACTAAAGGCTTAAATTCTCGACAACTGTGGCTGTCGTGAAATTGTTAGATAACAGTTCCAAGGGTATACATTCACACAGTATGTACCTAATCTTACAATATTGCGAAATATAATCTGGGCATGTTTTTGCAGCATTGTGATTTCGAGGGTCACCGATCCAAAAGGCAATAATACAGATACTAATGGAGATGATGGAGAAGACCAAGACAAGAAAAATCTGCCAACAAAGATCTTCTTTCTCTTCTTTCGACCTTCGGTAGTAGAATGCAAGAAGAAAAGTTTGACTTGTTGTGTTTTGGTTGATGAGGGATTTTAGCCCGCACCTTGAAGATTAGGTTTTTGACTTTTGTAATGGAGAGATAATACTTTTGAGAAAATTGGGTGTGTGGTGTTCGGGTTTCGAGTTGAGTCTGAGGGCGACGACATCTTGAGACGGGGTAATTGATACACCAAATTTCTCGATGTTTTTTTACCTGCGTTAGTTAAGGATAATACCTGAGATACTGGCTCTGAATTCATTGTACTGAGAAAATACGAAGTCGGTATTGGTCTGCTTCGTCGCTTAAACTGGTGATAAGTTCTCACTCACAGAGTGTTTTGCAATGGAGTAGTTTGAGACATCTGTACAACTTTAGTACGGAATTTTGTTTGAGAGCTGTACTTGTAATTCCCTCGTTGTTAGTTGGTATCCTACAAATATTCTGTTTGCCCATTTTAAACGTCATGGCTGACACTTATTCAGCTTGAGATTTTGCCATCGATATTCTACACCCCAATATTTGACCTCACTCAAAGCATGGTGAAGCAATTTTCCAGTGTGTGTATTCTAAATAACCTATACCTTTACCTGTATCACGACACCGGCGATATTCCTCTCAGCTTGTGCGCCCAGCTATGAAACTCTGCTACCATTGTGCCACATCAGGTTAATAAGCACTCCGTATTTTGGAACAGGAGATGAAAGATCTATACACAAGGCTTATGTGATGGTATCTCCATAGGTTGTAGAAAGTTGGCATATTATCTGATGGAATTCCTGTTAACATAAAGTGTTTTCAGCACCGGTTGCTCTCTTGCTTTTGTTCAGGCTCATGTGTGTAAAATTCGCGGACGATCGAGTTATGCTAAACTTTCTTTGCGATGCTTATAACCGCAATAAATAACCCTCTTCAGTGGTTGTAGTTATTTTGTTCCTCATTTTCCATATCTGATGCCATATTTTACCTGATATTTTGATCATATTGAGTCGAGTGTTCAGTGATATTTTGAATAACATCTCCCATCATAACCGTGGAGCCTGATTGCTCAACCGGTACATTTGTGCTTCATCGGCAGTCAGATATCACCCTTAAATTTCCACTCCATTATGTACGATGAAACCAACCTCGTCATCGGTGTCCTTGTCTTGATTTTTATCTCTACATTATAATCATAGTTCTCTTTCTCCGGGGCTATATATATCCTTATCCCATCCCTTCTCTCTCGACCTTCTCATCTCATCACCCAATTAATCTCCATCCACCATCACATCCAAATTCCGGCACTTATTTCCTCGAATCTCCAGTATATTCCTACTATGAAATTCCTCACTGAACTCACATTGGCGCTAGCCATGGCCGTCGGTGTTTTGGGCGGCGCATTAGATGCCAGTGCAAGTGGCAATACGACATCGACATCGACATCCACATCTACATCGAGCGCAACCTCTTCAAGTGCTAGTAAGGCAACGGTTACAACTACCACAACAGCTAATCCTTATGTTGCGTATGGAAATTATGGCAATTATGGAAAATATGGAAGTTACGAAGGTTATAAGAAGAGAGGACAGAAGTAGTTCCAAGGTGCTATTGAATGTGAGTTGATGTTTGAGACATGTATACAGAAAATAAGTTAACTTTTGTAAAGACCGGAAGTCAAATCGCACTTATTTGGCATTTCCTTCCGGTTGAAAGCGTATTTTTATCTCGGGGTAGGGGAGTTGAACGGGGTGGTTTGAAGTCTCCGTTCCGTTTTTAAGGGGGATTTGTTGCGTGAATGTCATTCGTTTTCAGTGTGCCCACCATCATATGCTCAAATGGGGTTGATGGACATCGTGTTTATTCTTCACTGCAAGTATCGGAGGAGTTATATGAGGTCAAAATACGCATTATAGACTCCAATGTCTTCCTATTGCATCCCAAGATTTGTGACTATTTTAAAGGTCCACTAGTATGTGGTCTCTATCATGAAGATTATTGTAAAGTCTCGAAGCTCAGGTTATAGATGTGATGCTAAATATGCATATTTGGCTGTAACGCTATAACTGTAGTCCATAATTTTCCCAACGGAACGTCCACGAGCACTATGTTATTTTCTCGCATCATCCACATCGAGTTGCAAAAGTTGCAATCACTAATTTTCTTATTCAAAACGGTTATTGAAACGTTGTAACGTAACTGCAGCACTATTATGTCAATGGCAACACCAATCCGCAAGTAGTCACCATCACCATAATCCTCTCAATTCCTCCACGCTAATCGACATTACTCCTATCTCCGTGGAGGTAAAAAATTAATCTGTCGTTGGCTTTGCAGTGATACTATTTCACAGCCCACACCTTGCAAACATAATAGTACCCCTTCGGCACAGGTTACGTTTTTCCATACAGAACCCGTCGAACTATAGAGCTCTTATTTATATGTATCCTGTACGGATTTTGTATTTCTGTTATAAGATCGGCACCAGTATGCTAGGTGCCGCCAATGCGTTATAAATTCAGCATTCCGTTCCTATATAATGGCAGCTATTCCTCTAGAACCACAGCGGTAATTAGCAATAATTACTAATGAACATTCAAAAAATGGACAGGAGGAGCACTAGCAGAGCCCCATGATAAAACCGAAGCGCATTGCTCAACGAGTATCATGGAACTACGTAACCTTATTTCGCAAGTCCTTTCTTCCTAGGATTTTGGTTGCTTATTACTGCCACTTAGATCTTTCGGAGTCGGTGCGCCATTAGTCCTGTCATTATTAAGTATAATGACCGCATTGACAAGATAGCATTACCATTTCTTTTTCATATAAATTTCCCGACCCTGCCGTAGCACGCATGTTCATTCTAAATTTTCAAGATACACATTTTAATCTTCTTATGCTCAAATGGCCAGGATAATGATATCATGTTGTACTTCAGATCATACCCACTCTGACTAGCACTTGCTAGTACACAAAATACTCCCCCTAATTGAGATATTTGATGCCTTAGAGCCAAACCAATCAATCAGCCCACTTCCCCCAGATACCTAAGGCTTTGAAATTTTGAATCGTCCTTCGCACAATTTTTGGAGGTGAATATCTGGGTCATACTTCTCACTAACCTCTGTCGACGTCCCTAGGCTCTCCTTTGCCATATCCTCTTATTGGTTCTGCCAACATGCCGCAAAATGTAAGTACTTAAACTCACTTCCTATTTCCTTTTCCTTCGCTGCTTCATCAATATCTGAAATCAGTCACATTGCAGACTCTCTTACTTTCCATCATCCTCAATATTTTCCCACTTGGAAGACAGGAGAAATAAGGTGAGGGGTCCGGGAGAGAGTTCCAGAGAATTCACTACTTGTGACTTGCTAAGGACGGGCATGGGGAGGGGTAGGATTGTCATGGCACAATTTATTTTGGAAACAGAGAAAATCGATGGTATGCCTGATTTTCGGATTGAATGGAGGTTTCTAAGCATTTCTAGAACTCCTCCACAGCCGGTGGTTGCGAATTGGTTCCTGATTTATGGTTCAAATCTCCATGTTTGGCTAGGAAGTCGAGGATGATAACTAACCATAAGCCTGGCACAGCAGATTTTTCAGCCTCGATTGCAAAATCGTTGCGGTTGGATATACGCATCGTATTCATATAGCGAGGTTTTCGTCCCAAAATGGGTCCAATAACTTCTGATTAGTGTCATTTTTCATGTCCCCTAGGTTGTTAGAAGTTGAAAATTCAGTTCTCTTTTGATTCCATAATATGCTCATCGTAATTGCAGTGGGCAAGTTTCCAAGGAGATTTGCAAATCCTCGCAATGGACCGTAAAGTGTAGATATACCATAGACGATGCAACCACCGGAGAAACTCACCTGCGGAAAGTTCGGATGTCGAAAAGTGTCACGATGCCAAAGTTATTGGAGCCGCCTTTAAGAGCTTGCCCATAACCCCGCCATTCGCGAGGGCAATCTCGTAGTTTATGACGATTTCACACCCTAAGCCTTTCCTTGCGCTGAGAAATGAGATGCTTCCTAGGTTCCCTTATTCAGCAAAAAAGGAAAATGATTAGATCTTATTGTGTGAACGAAGTGAATGACTTCAATTCAATTACTACTGTAATAAAGAACTAGGCGAACGCGAAAGAGACTAGCTCTTTTAGTAAGTCTATATAAGACTTACTACTTTCAATATGTAGCTAGCTCTTTAGACAGAATACAATTAGACATATAGGACCTACGTAATCCGTGGGTGCTACGTCTTCCGTATCCTTCTCGTACCAACACTTATATCTCGTACCTCAAGTGGTCAATCCTCCGACCCCAACGTCGGTAACTCTTCCACCACTTGTAATTATTCCCAAATCATCCAAAACAGGATAAACCTCGCCCTACTTTGCACCACCACCAATTGAAACCTAACGTTTTCTATCTTCATCGATTTTCGCCTCGTTTATGATTTGAAGGCTAATCGTGACCCCAGCTTTAATATTCGCAGCTCCAGCATTCAACGTATATCCACCGCCTGGAACTGCAAATTTATTTTATGCTCTAAGAATACTTCATTATAATTTCAACTTCGGCACTCGTCGGTGGCAAAACTATGCATGCTAGAGACAATGATCGTGCTTGGGCTGAGAAATATGAATTTTGTGCCGAGAAGAATTTGAGTCATTATGACAGGCAAATTTCTTTTTCAAAGAGCCGCACAATACATTGATCTGTGTCTGTTGTCGCCAGAAACATCGAGAGTGTATGATTCGGCAACCTACAATGTCATTGATTTCCATGATGGTAACTGTCTTCGCAGAGCAGAGAACAAAACAGATATTTCAAGTGACAACCACATGACTGGAGACCTTGAGGATGGTTCTTCTATAGCCGCCCGCATCCTTTAATACGTTTATGGTATCAATTGACTCGCGCAAAGCGTAGGACTTTGTAACAACAAGAGCCAAAGAGACATCTTGATTGTTGGTCCAATGAACCAACAAGTTCATTCTAGTTCAGACAATGCCGAATAATCACTGGAACATACCCGTTTTTTGACCGAATATAAGCATTGTAGCTGCTGTTGGTATGCAGTTGGAGATGATATCTGCATATATATATATAAAAGAACGCAACAGTTGGAAATTGTTTTCGTAGATTGAATGCTCCTATTGGTGTTAAGTAAATAGCAAAGGGAGAAACGTGTGCTTCTCGCGTCGGTCGAATTTGCTGCAGATACTTACCGTGAGGCTGCTTTGGAAGACATAGGTTAATCCACTTCTGGTATTTTTATCATTCATCCGTATTTGAGGTGAAAACGGAAAGCTTCATAGGCACGAAAAGAATGTGTTATGCTGTAAAATATGGTTTGAGTTAAGCAGTAGAAGATTTCGATCATGGAATTGTAGATTTGGCTTAAATTCTTTTTTGCTCCGAGCTTGGATTAAGATGTAAATGTGCTTCCGGCGTGAAACAAACGCTCGCAGCCTGGGGGCTGTGTTTTCGTGTAGCCACAGTGCCAACATGTGTAATAGATCCGTATTGGTGATATTCTGCGTGCTGAGAGACTGTGATGAGCTTGGGCGGCTTGTCGGGGAGAGACAGCTTTTTACCATACTTTCCGACTATTTTTTCTCTTTTCTGGATGTATTTGCAGTCTTCAAACGCTACTCACTATGCATAGGGCAAATGTGCGAGAACATCAATGATGTTCCAAGCAATACAGAAGCTAGCGATTTCGATCGTGTTTTTGGTGCGGCTGTGGATTGTGGAACCCAAGTATTACTTACATTGCACATCAAGCGTGGCTGATCGTCGCTGGAAGCTATGGTAATTTACAGCCTAGAGACTTCCGAAGCCGTTTTCGATTTCCCGTACATAAAGTAAGTGCATACACCACGATGAAGCCGGCAGCAAGGTGGATTGGCTTCAAAACTTCCAAACAGCAGCGGGGCTTAAACGGCCATACGAGAGTTTCTCCTCGCGTTACATGCCATGTTTCCGGCGGAGAAAAAAAGAAATAAAATAGCATCGTTTGCGTCTTACAAGACACATCAGATGCAATTTCTGTATCTACGCGAATCAAGCTCCTGACAGGATTTCGCGACTCGCATTCGGCGGCTTGAATATCAGACCACCACGACACTTAAATACCCATACTCGAAGTATTGGTCGATGAGGTTTGTCTCGAGTCAGTCTGGATATAATGTGTATCATAATGCATTGAACATACTCATGGTTGCAATATCATCGACGGTGTGGGCCTCGAATTGAGGTCCACGATTCGCGTAATGCCGGTGCAGGGAAGAATTTTGCAGAATTATCAGCGGAAAGAACTATTGGGCTGCTATTTCCCAAATTTTGACAATGTGTTAGCAGCCCAGGCATGCTATCGAAATTGCCCAAGACTTTTCTCAGACGTGCCTCCATCAAACAAATGATAATAAACGGTAAACGATGAGAATTCAACGTGGTATATTCACGTGAGTTTGATTAGTCAGCCCCATCGGAAGGTTTTTCCTATTCAAAAGTTTATGTTACACTGCAGCGTCACTTTGTTATCTATCATCTTTGAAATAAAAGGTTCTTGCATTCTCATTTATGATTTAACCTACATCCTTTCCGCACGATCAGCATCGTGTGGACCTTCCCAAAGCTCCTACCCGACGATAACCTTCCTCAAACAGGCGGTGAACCTCCAAGTGGTATATGCTTCACTCCTAGTCAACTTGAGTCTCCACCATTTCCCCGGAGCCTAAGCGTGTGATCATAACTTTACTAGGTTTAGAGTGGCAGCATCAAGTATCTCAGTGGATACCCCAGCGAAGTATAGAAGGAAATTCTCTCACAAAATCTCATCATTTCGCTGCACATATACGAAAGAGGCTGGCATGATGATTTAATCGCTGTACATGAGGGTTGGCTCCTTTGGGCATTGACAAGAGCTACTCACGTAAAATATGGCGGCATCTATAATGATGTATCAAAATTCCTCCATACTGCGGCTTACGGACGTGTTGCGGGATACGGACGTGTTGCGGGATGCAGACTCGCATCCTGATATACGGCTGTTGTAGCATGATTGATTGGCTTTCGACTTGTGTAATACGATTAGTTCGTACAGGCTAAACATTAATGGAATTCGTCAGTGTGTGTAGGCGACGAGATCGCCTTACATTGCTTTGTGCCGCGGTAAAAATACGCCTTTGAACTTTATATCATTTCCTAGGTATAGGATCCCGATTACCAGATTAAGTGCTTTATCTGAATTTCCCTCGCATCTATAGTTATTAAGGGGCATAACGCCAAGTTTAATGTTGATATTTAATTTTGAAATATATTTGATTGTAACGAAAGTTGCTCGAGCGCTCTTTCAATATTGGAACGAGCTCATGGTCTTTATCTCAAGCAATCCATTCAGGCTCCGCCAGGGTATCTTCAAAAATCGTTATCAGTTCATCTTCCTCATTTCCCCAACGTCAGGCCCACACAATAGTCTTCTTAAGATTCCATAAACATGGATCTAGGGTTTAGAGTATAGCCCGTGTATGCTGAGCAAGGATAACTTCGGAGGTTCCACATTTATGGGTCCAAGAATCAAACTATCCATGCATTTCAAGTCGTCGACAACATACTAAGGGTTAGAAGGCTTGACTATAGTTGGACCTAGAGCCGCAATCGAGCGGTTGAAGGTTATCTGTGTAACATTGCTTCAAAAACGCTTTCGGGTAGGAGGATCACGCCATTGAAGCCAATCAAAGAGGAAGACAGATATCGAGCGGGTACATACATGGCTGTGTGTATTTCGTATTCTCAAAGCAGGCGAGTTACCAATAGACTGCGTTCCGGACATAATGCGGAATTGAGAAGGCTGCCTTGAGCTTGATTTGTATTTTATTTTTGGATTGTGCCAATCTTGTCAAAAACTGCCCTTAGACCCGGGGCACACACAGATCGTGGGAAGACCTCGGCATGATGTCCGTTGCTTGATATCACATCATCCTAGGTCAAGGGTACTAGTTATGCTTCGATCGTCATTTTTCTGCTTTTCGTTTCCTTCGGGGTTTCAATACAGAAAAGCATATGGATGGATGATGGCCGAGCTTTGAAAAAGCACCGGTTGCTCGAGAACTCCTTTACGGATCTTGCCAACGGAACAAATGCTAAAGCACAAGATGCTACAACTAATATTTCAATTGCTACAGACCACCAAACTATCCATGGTATTAACCGCTAATTTTACAAGAATATTCACAAACGCAGCCAGATTGACATTCATAACCATTGATTCATTTCTTCATGATTTAATTTCCCTTTCTTAACACCTGCCAACACCATAAGTCCTATGGAAATTTCCCCCTTGCGCAGAATATGAATAACCCCATTCCCTCTTCGGTTCCTCTTGCGCCTCGTACCCAGGCTTTTCCTCCCTCACCCTTGACATCAGCATCTGATTGTTCCATTGCGGCATCTGCCACTCATACATTCCCGGTTCAGGTTTGAATATGTCATCGTAGCTCCCAGGAACCTCTGGCATTGCACCCATAAAAGTTTGGAAAGGTTGTGAGCCCCAATGATGTGAAGGACCCATGTTGTATTCGGTAGGTTCGGGGAGTTGGCGGTTGAGCGAGGGAGCTTGAGGTAGAGAATTTGGGATGGTGGGCCAGGTAGTTTCTTCGTAAAGCCCGTCAAGATCACTGAGTTCCGGAGCTGGTGATTGGTTTGCAGAGCGGATGCTAGGCTCTGAAGTTGGCGGCGATGGTATGGATGCGGTCATACCGTTCCATGGAACAGAATGGTGTGATTCAAATCTCTGGTGTCCTTCAGCTTCTGGATATGGTCTTCCGCTACCCATCACAATCGTAGATGGCGACTTTGATCTAATAGTGGGAGTGTTCATTGGTGGAGATAATAACTGGTGAGTGCCGATTTGATCTTGAGCATCTGTTCGAGTGCTCACTTTCATTTTTCTGTCCGCTCTCGTGGTTGTTTGTCTGCGTTTGGTCCCTTCTTGCACATATGATGGTCTTCTTGTAGCTACGATGTTTCCGTCGGCGTCTCTCCAAAGTCTCTTTCTGGTAGCCAATACACCTAATCCTTCACCACCAGCCTCATCATCTTTTTCCTTATGACGATTCATGTGCCTGTCTACGTGATATGTTAGGCGCAAGAAATAGTTTGGAGCAAAGAAGATGACATACCAAGAAGATCGCGGCGTCGAAAATGTGCACGGCAGCGCAAACATGTGTGGTTTCCATCTTTGTGGTTTAAAGCGTGACGGTGTAAATGTTCACTCCTTGAAAACGACTTTCCGCACCCCGCAAAACTACAGCAAAACTTCTTCTTCCCAACACCCGCATTTGAGCTGTCATTTGAACTTTTCACGCTCGTTGCTGAGCTTATCGAAGATGTGCGAGAGGAGGAGGTGGTGGAATCTGTGAGAGAAGACATCCTGATGTCGATGATGGTGATATTGTAAGAGTAAAGATCAAGTTTTGACTTGTTGTCCTAATTCCAACTCTGATATTTGAGTTCAGACTATATAATGAATATCAAAGGACGGGGAAAAGAGGGGTCCAACACTAAAGTATATATTGTATCAAGTCACGGAATAATTTCCACTCCGCTGACAATCGTCCTATCTGACAAGGTATTAACCCACTGGCCCAATTTCCATTTACTCAACACTTCAAAGTGATACCCACCCAAACACCGGTTATCGGGCATGGTGCACATACGTACATGATAATACATGGTTCCTCCAGGGCTCTCCACAACTAGTCTACTCGAGATTTCTACCACTGCCACTCACTGACAGGGTATCCGACTAGTCAATTGCGAATTGCGACAAAAATGACATTCTAAACCCGACCTGTCAATGTGTAAAGCTGGGTAAAGCTACCCAAATCGAGTAGGATATCCGTTCACAAATCCTTTGGGACTAAATATGCTGTGTGATAGGCATATAGCCACAACGAGAATAGAAATATTTGAACCTCATTTTGACTTCATCCTCCATATCCAAAAATTTCCAAAGCGATGATGCCGCACAAAATTACTTGGCGATTGGCCAAACCATGTTACATTTCATCTGATTTTCAACCACGGGTTCTACAAATGCAAGTTGAGGTTGTCTGTTCCGTTAACACCCAGCACCTATCAGATATCAGCAACGATACATCATGCGTACAGTGTACCCCCGTACCCTCGTAGTTCTCAGCCGTTCGCTGTGCATTAATGCCTCTCAATTACCACCAATCAAGTACATTAAACGGATTTCTGTTAATGTTACAATTGGTTCATTAAGCACATGGCATACTAGTATCTCCATAATTCCCATCATTTCTCCCAAATCAAAGGCCGCCAGGTTACCCCTCCACGCAAATCCTTGCATGCAAATATTTATCAGTCGCCGCTGCATCCATCAATCTTTTCGATATGGTTTCTTTTTTCAACCTAGGGTCTGCCAGTTGCCCTCCTTATCGATGTTTTCCTCTGTTGAAATATTTTCCAGTCAGTAGGGGCATATACTTGAAACTAAAATCTTTTCCTAATCGCGGACATCCGTCTACTTGTCACCCTATAAATATTCGTACGCTACTTGAATTCTTCAGAGGCTTTTTGGTGATCCCCACCAATCAGATCCCTTCAAGTTTATTTAGTTTACCAGTTGGCTTTATAAAAGAAATACGGCGGCCTTCAAGTGCCGCCCTTAGTCATGGATGTGGACATGCTAGCGGTATCGCTTATTATAAGCTTCGGGGCCACAGAGTCAGGAATTCACTTGAATTGGATATCTAACCGACTACATGACAGGCCTTGAAGGTTAATCTTCGCGTTTGAATACCAAGAAGTTGCTGCCTTGAAGCTGGTGAGGCTGGACAGCAAGAAAATATGGGAATTAAAATGCTGGGTCCATAAGTTAAAACAAAAATATACCCTCTGTACGTACAACTCCAAGTAGTTGAAGATCTTCGTGCCTCCAATCTCCATGGGTTTGGTTTTGGTAATTTATCGTAGCATCCCGGTGAAAGATATGAGGACTTCGGTACACAATAGCCCGGAATGGGAATCATATCCGACGGTGTCCACTTTCTTCGATGTGAGAAAGTCCAACCCCCCACAGATCACTATTCTGTATATGATACAGTAGTGCGAATTTGAACCGGTCACATGAACGGATGTCCCGTTCTTTCCCTTTCATCGATATTATTCCGTGATATCATCGTAAGGATCATGGTGGAAGCTAAAGCTTACATTCACCGTTGTTAAGTGGTGATATCAACAGGCTGGATTGCATGCGGTAAGATGTGACAGTTACCATGTCTACCATGTGTTAACGCTGTGTCTCTTCCTTCCCGTCAATCCTTAACCTTCATCCTGAATCCTTCAGTTATGTTTCAAACAACCGTCTCCGCGCTTGAATTGTTCGGGCTCCACATGTTGTCCTGTGCTTTTCCTTTTAAAGCCCTGGTCCTTGTAGCGTGAATCAGATCCACAGCGAATAATTTCCCAAAGAAAAAGGCTTCTTCAACCCCTTCAACTTACCAGCCATGAAAACGCCACGTGCGAAAGACGAGATCCATTTCCGCGGGACTACCGCAGCTATGGACAGAAGGATCAATACATGCGCCCTCAAGAAGCTTAACCAGTGTAGTCTAGCTGACGGGAATATATGAACGAAGCGCTGATACCTAATTCAACTTATCTTAGCAGCATCTTAGTTCGTGGTGTTATTGATTACCGATGTCACTCCGGTGGAGAATCGATATTAGATATGTTCGTTACTGCTCTGAAATGCTGACGGTCCAGCATCAACCCTGAGAAGACTTTAACATTACCTCCTTTTTTGGACTATGCAGGAGATAGCAGCCATTATTTGATCCCAAAATTTCCCGTCCTCAGCCGAGATGCTGATCTGGAACTAGTTCCGGGGTAAAAGGAAATATCAAACATACAATTGCCAAGCTCAGTTGATGTCAATTTCTCCATAACATCATACTATATTGCACAGCTAGAGCGCAAGAATTAAGCGCCTTTACCATCTCGTATGATTTCTCTTCCGAGCTTGACATCACTATCGATGCCAAAAACTTCTGCCTTATCCATCTGCCGTGATATATTCCGTACCCTTGTCGCATGACTGGAAATTACTCCTTTTGAAGATACACCGGAAGGAGTCGCGTGGCAATTGTTGCCAGCGCGGTGCGAGATGGATCGATAAGGTTTTGGCGTATCTACCATCCTCTTTCCTTGACATAAATTAACATAAACTTTGGGGCGCCTATTCGTTGTGCCAAAAATATCCATTGTGACGAGAATGCTTGGAGAACAAATGGAAGAAAAAAAGTGCCTTTTGCTAACTCTCCGCAGGGCGTCAAGATATAAATAAAAGTCCCCCGATCCATCGAAAATTCTAGAGGTAAGCCCCCAAGTTTATATATCCTTCATCCCCTCGTTCGCTGCTCAAATCCCCCATTCTCCTACAAACTCTAATCATACTACAAACCTACCTTTTCTAAGCGGAAGGAATGTATTGCGGCCAATCAAAATCCCGCTCCCACGTCTTCCTTCATAGGCAAGAATGGGGTGCAAATTTTTGAATGTCTCTGAAATCTTTGGGATTTACATAAAGCAACCGTTGCACACAGGCACTCTCGTGGTCTTTGTCCCGTCGGTTTCGTTCACCTTTCCCCAAAGATGGGGTTGTGGGAGAAATGATCAGTAATAAAGCTAGAACACAGCTCCTGAAAAAAAAAACGTGACCGTGCCACAACAAGCCAAGCTGGTTCTGCAGTCGTGACTGGATGTTAAACTTTATTTTTTTTTTGTCTGATTAATAAACAAGCGTTTATACACCACTTCTGAGCCCTAATCGCAAGTACTCAAAACAAGAGTTCAATACACGTGGGAACAAGCATAAGGGTTACACCCGCATTACCACACCTTCGGGCAGGCTTAGAAAATGTAACAAAACCTTAACTTGCCGACGTGCAACAAAACGACACGGTCAACCAACACATCCCGTCCCATCTTTCGAATCAGCTGCTCTTTAAACCCTGTCATCCCATTTTCAATCCCTTCTCGCACATGGCGAGCAAGCATGTCGTTCTGCACACCACCACTAATAGTCAAGCCATCTCCGAAGATTCTCGGATCCGATGATAACGCCGGGAACGGTTTCTCACATGAATCAATTATGTACCGATGCCCTTATGCATTTCATTACCGAATGGCTTGCATTGCATATACATATATACGCTATCTGTGCACTGCATGGCATAAGTTTCCGCTGTTCCTTGCGACTGCTCGTCCCGTTCCCGTTTCCAAGACTTCGGGGAAGGTTTGAAACATCCAAATGATATTCAGTACATACTCATTCCTTGCAACAACGACCTCTTTTTCTCCATATGCTGTTGATGAAAAACTGTTGTCTTTTGACCTATGAGTCTTATCCGACAGTTGATTATCTAACAATCTAAGAAGTGAAACCGAAGCCCGCTTAGGATGCATTACCAACGCTGCAAAATTGAATACCATCACTTCTATGAGAATATTCAGTAACACAAAAGACAATAACTAATAGTACGTGAACTTACATTCCTTTCGTACTTAGCTTGTCGAACTTCTTTACTCTTCATTTTCCTTCGTTCCATCTTGCTTCATCTGAACTGATCTAATAATCATCGTCGTACTGCTCCATATTTTCCCCTCTAGACTCTGCCAGCGACATAGCGATGGCTTTCTCCAACTGCGCCTGTTCATTCAGTGAGCTGCCTTGCCATTTTTGGGTCGATGGCAGAGCTACTGAATGGCTAGGACCTTGATTCATTGCTTCAACAAAATTGCCTTTATTTAAAGACGCAGCTACGGGATGCTGAATGCTGTCTTCTTCAAACATAGCCTTGGATAGCTGCAATGCTAATTGCAACTCAGAATCTTCATCCGTTGTCGGATTTTGCCACTTAGCTATTGCACTACCATATTCGGCGTTAAGGCGTGAGTCTCCTGGCACTAATTTACCGTTCTCGCAAGGATCCACCCACTCCTCATCGTCCAATTCCTCATCGTCATAAAACTCACCTCTAACCTCTATACATTCTTTGTGTACCTGCAGCTTCTTATATCGTTCTTCTTTCTCCTTTCTTCTCGTACAGCCCCCAGGGAGCTTTTTGATCTCTGCTGCCAGCTCTTCTAACTCCGTCTCCACAGCGGCGTATTCTCCATCGCAATCATACTCTATATCATGAAACCAAGCCCAATCCTCCTTAGGGTTATTTTTCCCGGCTCCGTTTACAGAAACGTTATTATCTATTATGTATTTTATCAGTATCGCCGCCCGATGTCGATCATCCACTTTGGCTAGAGGTTCAGCAGAAACAGCTTTGTCTCGAATTTCTTGCATTTCTCTCTTCATATTTTGCGCTTTTGGCGTGATATTACCGCTATTGGCCCAGTTGTTGCTAGCGTTCCAGTTACAAATAACGTCTGCCCTGTGATGTAACTCACGCAGATCGCGAACCGACAATTTTTGAGGCAGTGTCTTCATCTGAGTCTCGATTGCATTCATATCAACATCTTCATCCATATTCATTGGCTGTCCTCGAGTGATCCCCGGCCTTACAGATGGACTAGTAGCTTCTTTCTCTGTTTGAATGCCAGCCGAACCATTGGGGTGACCTGATTGTTGCCGTACGACGGAAGCATAGTTTTCAGCTCTTCCCCTTGCCATCAATTCTCTCGCCTTTCCATCAGTCAGCGGCTCCCACGCCTTGCCATTTTTGGTTACTTCGCTCAAATGTAGGCGAAGGATCTTTCTCGGCTCCCCCTGAGCATCCCAATCTTCATCAGACGAACCGTCGTCTCGTATTATCTCGGCCCGCCGACGTTTTCTAGCTTTGCGATCTTCTGTGGTGTCATTCTGAATTCTAGCCACCGAAAATATGCGTTTAGACGGGTCTGGCTTATTGGGCATTAGTGACTCCTTGGGCTAAATCCAGAATAAATACATATTTCCGGACGACTGGACGCGGCGTAGTCTCGCTACCTTCATAAATGTGCTGGGGCCGTCTTCGTGGGGAGCTTGACCCATCAGATTGCGCATCATTGTCGTTATCTGGGGCGACTTTAGAGACTCCATTCTGATGCAAGGATTGAGGGGCTTCCATGGCTGTTAGGGACCAAGGGGTCTCCCCTTCGACTACAGCTTCAAAGTCTTCACCCTCTGATAAAGACTCTGGGGAAGAGCTTGGATAGGCACCGGGCATCTTTGGAAGATTAAATCTTCTTGTTGAATTACCTTCATCGTCTGGTAAATAATATTTTGGTGGATAACGTGAAAAGTTTATTGCTAAAAGATGCATGTCATTTCCTGACGCATCATCTTCTGGTAAAGAAAACAAGGGAGGAGTTGCCAAGTATGAAAATATGTTTCGAGGATCGATAAGGTAATTGTTGTCTAAGTGCGAAGCAACAACTAGAGGAGTGACAAAATCTACATATACGTCGGAATAAGAGGGATTTCGCAAGCGGAATAAAGAGTTGTCGTTGGTATCAGCATTCAGGTCTTTATTACTGTCTTCATCACCAAACAGAAAATTCTATCGAGTGTTAGTTACTTATAGAAATTATTTCAAGGGTACATGCAGCTAAAATTTGGTCTCGGTCGTCATTATCCGAGTAAGCCCCGGAGCGACGTCGGATATCTACTTGATTGTCAGACCTGAAATTCCGTGCTACTAAATTTTGACCGCCTAGTATTGTGCTCAACTCACATTTAGGCTTGAGTTTGAAGAGCTTTATCCGTGATATTTCGGCTTCAAACTTTCGAGTACGACGGCGCTTAAAATCACACCTTTTTACCACTCTATACTTAAGAAGTAGCTGCTTGGCGGGCTCACTTCTGCGCTTACTTTTACGCTTACATGCACCCTTCCTTGACGGTTTTCGAAAGTCCAGGTTCTTGTAGGACGTTGTTCCCATGGATCGTGCAGGTGTACTCCGTGGTAGAAGTCTAATCATCCGAAGGTCAAGGTCTGGCTGCGGGTCTATATCCAGGCTGAGAAAGCCATGGAATATATCAAGCTCCATGAAATATTCAGCTGCTCGTGAGTCACTTGACGCAGAATATCAGTAATTGATCTGGCTAGGAATGTGGCAAGTTACCTTCCAAATAAATTGGCTGGGCAAGGTGGCTGATCGGATTTTTGACCGCCTCGCTCATTATACTCTGGTATCCACAGCCTGCATTGTGGAGATATACATAGCTTGTATTTTTGTTCCGTTAATTCCCAATATTCTGCGAGTGAATCATGGTGTATCGCATACTTGGGTATCGGTTTCTCTAATTCCTTTTCCTCTTCGCTAACGTATCGTCGGCTGCGAACTATCATTCACGATTAGAACATGTTTGAGGAATTCATCAGGATAAAAACACGGACGATCTAAGGGCTCTTTCGAAAGATGAAGGCTTTTAATTGCCTCCCTGAGCTCAAGCGGTCGTTTAATGTCTTCCTATACGTTGATCACATGTCAGTTTATGGAGGCAAGGGTTCTGTAAGGTGGAAGTTATCCCGCTCATTAGCTATCAGCTACTTACCACCATCAGCCCCAGTTTGATCCTTGTAAAGCCCCGATCATAAAGACCTCTTTCCCGTATGAACCTAGGAGACGGAATGCGATCGATGTTTAGGTTTTCATGAGCGGGTTCTTGAGAGGAGGGGGCATATTCTATATGAGCGGGATCTTCTGATTCATCGGAATAAACCGAAACATCCTGGAGAATATCAACGATAGGAGCAAAAATAGGATTGCCTAGTATCTGCTGATTGGATTCAACAGGCTCGCGGCCCATATCACTGGAGACAATCAGAGGAGATCCTATTGTGGGAGTGGGTTCGGGCTCGGGACTTTTTTCAGAGTCTGATATAGCCTCAACAAACATTGAGTCTCTACGAATGTCGACGGCATTTGACGATGATGGGTCGTTTTCAAGATCATTGTCGGAAGATCCTCGAGGCTGTTGATCATGATCAGGATTTTCGTCAGACGTTTGTACTGGATCAGTCTCCCTTGGGTCCGGTGAGCGTGGCCGAAGTGGTAGTTCGTATGCAACTTCCATGGAACGGAGGGGACTTGAGCGATAACGGAATCTACGTCTTCTAGGCATATTGGCAAATATATATATCACTAATAAAAAGGATGTCTCTGGTGTATCGATTCTTATGTAAATGAACCACGAAAGCAAGCGGACTAGGAATGTAGGTAAGTAACGTTAATTATGAAGCATAAATAAATGAATGACATGCATCGTTTCAGAGTGTTCATTTTCAAAATCAAAAGTCAATGGTAAGAATAAACTATCCGCCGCTCTTACCTTTATTCTTTCTTACGCGTTGTCTTCGTTGAAGAATCGAGACAAACAGGACGTGCCTTCTTAATTTGGCACATTTGGTTGGAAAGTACAGACAATCATCGATAGAGCTATCAAAAGTCAAAGTAAGACGCTAATCGGCCACCTCCTTCCGTGTTGCATCCAATAGTACTTAATCAGACGGATCGGTGATGAACTTACATGTCCAGTACCTCAATCTGCATTCGAAGTCGTGTACCATTCTATCAAAAAGCGTACTTTGGAAGCTAAAGCAAGTCATCTCCGTATATGCAACCAACTATGTTCAGTCCAAGTTCTTCCATAATTGCCTCTGAGATATCCGCAACATCTCATCACACACTACAATCTCTTTGTTTTTTCGCCATAAGATTCGCTCTTCATGTCACAATCGAACCAGTGAATCCAGGACGCAGTAAACCAGGCACTATTGGCCATAGCAGCAACCAATCAATGAATAAACACTCGAGAAAAAGTCCCCAATATTGTAATTGTCAGCCTAGATTAAAGGGCTACGGACAGTTTTCTATTGAGCAAAGAGCCCCAACTTAGTTCCGAATTTTTGATAAACCTCTTCAGAAATCATCTTCCTATGGTACTTTGAAACATCTAAGAAACTGAACCTACTTAATATACCTATATTGTGTTCGTTGACGCATTGGTAAACGGACAGTAGCCAACGTTAAATTCGAGTGTGACCAAGCATACGGAGACTCTTATTCTGTGTCAAGTGGCCGTTGATAAAACTAATAACGCCACCACTAATTGATGGCGGTACCAATTGGGCTGGAGGGCTTCATAAGGCCACTGAGATACATTTTGTTATATTTGATCGGCTAGGTGAAGTCGACCTTGAAAACCTCGCTTCTATCCCCAGTCAATAATGACCAAATCGCAGATGGAAGGTCCAAGCCGTATATTTAGGATATTTACTGACATCATATATCGTGTAATAGGCTATTTTTAAGTCCTTTGACCACAACGATACTGATCCGCTAAAAGCCAACGAAGTATGAAGTTCACATGGTAAATTAGCAAGTCCTCAACTCACATGGGGGCAGTATTGAAGTTCAATGATTGAACGCGAGATAAACTATCATAGTAAGGATCGTTGGTCTCTCCGAATATCCCATTAAAACGAAGATCTAGGAATCTTCCTCTCCATATCAGTTCATCTTTCCAAATCTTTATTAATTTCAATAAACGTCCAGCCATCGGAATCGGAATTCCCATGGCAGCCATCGCAAAAGGGGCGGCGGAGAATTATCGACTATGCTCAAGGAAGAGATTGCATGGTTGCAACGGTAACCTTAATCTTAGGCAATTTTTGTCCGTCAAGCATTTAAACATGCGATCAATGGGTAAATAGGCTCTAGACTACAAGAAAATACCGAACATTACACAAATATTACGACTAAGTGATACCACCCCATTGAAACATAGAGTTCATTGCACATCTTGTACTATATGGTTAATGTATTCAATACAACTGGAAAATCGAATATGCGCTATAAATCCGAAATTAGACATTGGGTTCCACAAAAATTGTTTTTCGGCGGTATTCAAAGACAAACTTTATTTCTATTTTATGGTGTAGGATGAAAGAGTTTGACACTAAAATTTGCTCTAACCTTAATGATGACCTCATAGTTTTTTACACTCGCGTGGTGAGGGCAATTTGTTCAAAAAATTATATTGAGCCCTCTGATCATATATATATATATATAATATTACAAGTAGGTAAAGTTGTAAATAATCTACATAAAACAGATTATTTTAGAATCCCAATAAATAATCTGTGACATAGATTATAGATTTAATATATAACCCAAAGGATAGCTAATTTATGGATATCTACAATCCACAGATCATTTTTGTGCAGCCTACTTTTAAGGAACTTCGACCCTCGGTTACTCGTGTGGCCGATAACGCCAATAACTCCGATAAATAAATGGAAGAGGTTGAAAGAGATATAGGAGGTTGAAAGAGATGAAGGGGTTTGATATGAGGGTTGAGAGAAGAGTAGGATTTACCGATAATCAAATACGTAGAATATGCGGTCTGTATGTTGATTGTTTTTAAACGTTCATCAATTAAAAAATTCTATGCACCAGATCATGTTACTGCGGAATGAACAATCTATTTCCATACAATACTTGTGATATGTATATGTTGTGAATACAAGAAAGATCCCGACGTTGAGGAAATAAACGATAAAAAACCGAGACACTAGTAGCTCCTAGATCCACCACCACCATCAGCTCCTAAAAACAGTTATATAAAAAGTAGAGATTTCCCAATCAAGCAAATATCCAAAACCAAAGGAAAGAATTAAACCCCAAATAACAACAAGCGGCAAAAAGTAAATTAGCCAAGCCAGAAATCAAGTCATAGAAATACCAAGCATATCTACAACCCAGAATCAATCTGATCCACAACCGTCGTATTAGTATACAAAGACCAATCCCTACAAGTCTGTGCCATAATACTTGGAATCTTCAAGTTTGCAATATCTGCCGGGCGCTCAACCACATTGACATATAATCCACTACTAACATGGAAAGCAATATGACAATGCAAAGGCCAAACACCGGGATTATCAGCCGTTACTTGTAATACCATGTAACCACTCGCTTGAAGCATCTGTACATCACGACGTTGAGGATTTATTGGTCGAACGACTGTATGTCCATCCCAGGTTCCCACTCCTTCATTCAGAACAAACATATTGTGGCCGTGGAGATGCATAGGATGGACAACGGGACTCGAGTTAGTGATATAGATACGGAAAGAGCTGTTGGAGCCGAAATTGTAGACGTTCCATTCGGGGCTATCTGGGTATGAGTTGTTTCCCTGGTTGGAGAGAAGAAGAACAGGATGATTGTAGTTTGCACGGAAGGAAGAATTATTCATCGTCCATTGGTAGTTGCCGGTCGAATTTGGTCCGAATGCGATATCGATATGTTGCGTTGTGGGCGGGTTTGGATCGGGGGTAATTGGAAACCAAGGTGTCGTGCTGGTAAGGGGATCGTTCGCGCAAACATTGGCGACAGAATTATTGAATGAGCCAGAGGCGATAGTGATGGGGTTTAGATTGGGCGTGGAACCATAGTAAGCCACTGCTTTGGCTGCGGGGTTGCTAGCGAGTGAGCATCCAGCAAGTGTCGATCGCATCCAGTATGATCCTGATTTTTCAAGCGGAAGAGCTTGAACAATGACATCGGCACGCTGGCCAACCCCTAAAGTAACGACTTCAGTACTGTAGGGTAGGATAGGAACAAAATCATTCGCAATGACAGTCATGGTGTGCCCATCGATTGCAAACTTTTGAGTTCCCTCAGTACCAGCATTGATAAGCCTGAGTCTATGCCTTTTGCCAGGTGTAAGTTTGAAAGTTGGTGCCACAAAATTCTTATCATTGCATGTAGCGCTATCACCGGCAGCCTTTAATGAGCAATTGAAAAATCCTTTTCCTTGGATAAGATTGCTATCAGATAGCACGAGCTAATGATTCTTAGCGTGAGTCTTTGTGACATGAATTACGGAAACTACTTACCACTCTGTCGAGATCACCTGAGGTTACATCTTCAACCAAAGAGAAATAATCTGGATGGTACCAATCAGTCAAAAGTATTGGCCCTAAGTCTACTCAAAGTTAGCACGATATAGATAATGGTCAGACCGAGTACTCACCAATATCATATGGAACAGTTGCAGGGCCATGAATAATCATAGGACCAAGAATACCAGCATTGTACTGAGCAGAGTAATGTGAATGCCACCAGCTAGTCCCATATAGGTCGGCCAAGAAAGTATATGTGAAACTTCCTCCAGGGGGAATTGGGCATTGCTGAACTCCAGGGACACCATCAAACCACTGAGATTGCTTTTGCAGAAGTCCATGCCAATGAAGTGCAGTGCCTTCCTCAGGGCCCGTGATCTCATTGTGGACGGTAACTTGGATAGTATCCCCCCAGTTTGCTTCGATGAGAGGACCAGGGAAAACACCATTCACAAGTATTACATCCCTTTCATATCCATCTGGTGATGCCTTGCCTCTCTGAACAGTGAAATCATAGCTTCGAATCACCCCAGTATTTGGTGGATTTGCTGTTGTAGAAACAATGATCAATGACAGTCCCATTCATTTAAACTGAAATCAACTTACTGTAAGGATTGGTATTGTTAGCAGTCTTGTCGGCCCACGGAAATCCTTGGGGAAGAGGAGTGACGGGATTGCTGGTCAGCAAGTATTTTACTGGCAAGGCCGAGTAATTGTTCTGAGCAGAAACGAATGTCCCAAAGAGAAGGGTGGCGAGAGAAGCTAAACTCCTCATTCTGAAAAATGTAAGGACCAAAGTAAAGCTATGAACAGTGAATCTTCGCTGATGATGGTGATTTCAATGTAGAATATGAGACTGATATGTGACGGAGATCTTGATATATATATGCAAATATTCCACAGCTTAGTCACGCAATATACGCAAAGACAGCAAAGTATTTAATACTAAGAGATTGATCAGTAGCGCGTGCATCGCGCAGGATAGAACTATGCGATGCTAGATGGAGATCGGATAGGCTTGCAGGGTGCTGCATCGTATAGATCAATTTGGAAGCAGACATGGCATGAAATCATCCGAACGTGGCTGAAGTTGTAAGTGTAAGCTTGAGGGTACATTCAGGGTTATCTGAGGCTGAAGAACACTGGTACTTGGCTACAAACATAATGTATATGGTCGCTCGCCTCGGTATCATGCTGTTTGAATAGCCTTCGCTAGAGAAAGATCATAGCTCTGAGTCTTCATGGCAATCTATTACTCAATCTATTGACAATGCAATCGAGCCGTTCCGCAGGGTTGTTCGGCAAGCCGCATCCGCTCCATGCTCACTGGATTTATGCCCTTGCAGTTTGCAGGTCGTATGCATACCAATATCACCCAGGGCAGTAACAAGCTTATCGAGAGGCATCATTGAAGTTGGAATTGTTGCAGTAATTATTTTTGATATGTATGGCTTATTCACATCCATGTTTACGACTTTGAAAATTCAATTATGGAAAACCATTGGCTCTAAGCTTTCTTCCTTGGCTGTATACATAAATCATCAAAGGTCACACTGCTCGTCAATACGAGCGCTGGGTAAAAATTCGACCCCAAATCTCGGAAAATGCCAAGTCCTGAGTGAGGGTTGCTAAGCTTTCTTCCACGATCGTGGTCCCTGCAAAAGAGATATGTGGCCGACCTTGAGTGTCACAAAGTGAGCCGAAAGAGAAAATAAGCTTGGTTATCATCACTGTCATCACTTTATTGCCGTGAGGTGATTAAAAGATTCGCAAAAAAAACTACCAAGTTAACAAGTACTTTTTTATAACCGGACTTCGGACTTAAAGACATGTAACCTTTGCCATGAGGCGAGCCCCTGCGGAGTTCGGGATGATACAAGAACACGAGATACGGTCGCATCGTTGCAACGCAAACATATATTGTGTGCATAAGTAGCCAAAGTACCTGGAGATACAACAATCTCGGCGAGTATAACGGATATTGGTGAGAGCACGAAATATCCGAGTGGAAATCTGCATCTAGCCGCTCGTACTCATGGCTCTCCAAGTCAACCCGACTAGAGCTTTTGAGAGGTCAAACTAACGATACCGCTCATTATTACGTTTAACCACCAATCCAGCGGCTGGATGCTGCGGTTCGTACCGTGAATTTCTTCATTAGACACATTTGAAAAATGTGATGGTGAGAGTTTAGCTCAATGTCAGGGACATCTAGCATGTCAGCCACAAACTTCTCTGCTTGTAGAGATAGCTGTATAGATGTGTGATAATTTGAACAATGGTGTTTTTTTCATGCCGGAAGATCAGGAATTCTCGGAAAGGGTGCCTAAATGCTTATTAGACACAGATCACTTACCGCCGCGGGCGAGCTGTGGCGTGCAGAAACCACGAGATTTCCAGGTTTTGATGCGGGAACGGGAAATGGATTATTAGGTTCAAGATCTAAGAGAGGTCTTCAGTAAATTTATGAACGGAACGGAAGTGGTCGGCTTGTGATTGAGTTAGAAACAAATTTCTTCGCTTCATGTTCCTGATGTGGGAATTTTCTGACATCATCTTGTTTCTCGGTATTGGAATAAATGGAATTGCGGTGTTTAAAAAATTCCACCACTTGTTGAACGTCAGATTTATAATGAGTCATGTGCATGCGGGTGGCCTCATTATGATAACATGATTTATTTCGCAGCTAGCTATGCCCATTTAGTCATGATGCTGAGAGAAGAGTTGAGGTGAAAAGACTGCTTCGTATGGTTGGCTCTAGAATTAGTTAAAACATTCTATTAAAAAACCCAGTCCTTGTTCAACATAAACAAGCTGATAGCAAATTTGATGGAATTGTTGCAGCACACCGTTACTTTTGGCAACTCACTCGTATTTGGCCATCACTGTGACCCTGTCGATCACCATCCATGTGAATTTTGTCTGAAAGGTTCATGCATAGATTGAAGCATAATTCAGCCTCGTCTCATTTGAGTATCATTCATTTGCTGAATGAGAAAAGAGCTAGAGAACATTTCCGCAAGTACTATATCGTGCGTGATGTCGTGCATTTTCGTCAAGGCAAAGATGATGGAAATCGAGGACTTCAGCTCATACCACGTGATTAACCACTTCTCCCGGAACACATTCCGAATTGAGGATTGCTTTAAATGCCAGCTTGATGATGTAATGTATGTGTAAGGCGCCGGGGCTGGCTGAAACTTGGATAAATTTAGATTTAGTGGTTGTGATCCTCTTCAGCAGCGAGCGTTGCCTAGTCGAATGTCAAGTCGGCCTCGCATGAAGGCATGTATGTTTATCTATTGTGCTATTCGTCAGTCGGCATTTTCGTATCCTGAGCGGTATGTTTTTGCAACTTCCATGCATGATCGATCTGTTAGAAAACTTTCTGGTAAAAGCCCATATTGGTCAACCTATCCACTCCGTCAAGTTTATGTGTGACTGGCATTTCCCCCTCATGCTTGTAGCTCATGCTTGCTGCATTCTCTCTCTACTGTTCGTGTCCTGTTCTGGCAAAAGATCAAATTTAATATGACGGGCGATCCGTATAACTTATTGAGAAGTATCTCTGATGCCGACATAACCGTAGATTAGCTATAGTATAGTAACCCAAGGTACAGGAAATGCAGCGGCCACAAAATCTTTCTTTTGTCCCTCCTCCAAGGTGGAAGTGATACCGCTCGACCTTAGATTGTTGTTCCTGAGCTACCTTCATCAAATGAAGTTGAAATTCAGTATTAATAGTACTGCAAGTAAGTTGAGGGATCGAGTTCGAAATATTCCAACTGAATTGACAGGATGATGGGTGAATACACATACATATATATATATATATATATGTATGTACGAAAGTGCATGATGTGATATTTTGATTGATAGCGCCATCTAGATCTAGCGCCGGAGCATGCCGAACACAGCCAAGTTCAATAGGTAAGGTTAGTACCCCACAACCCCATCACCCCGTACAGCAATCATCGATTTGACATTCTCGAATTTGCTCACCATCGTCATCTCAGCGACGACGACCTCGGGAGCTTCTACAAACTCTTTCTTGTACGATGGTGATCGTAATCTAATCATTGCAGACTAATTAATATTATTATGTGCCAGGCCATAACCCCATCGAGCCGTCATATTTATCCTTAACCCGAATTTCCATTGAAGAAATCAACAGTGACCGTCTTCAACATATCCACCCAACAATTGGCATCTCCCACATAATATATTTGGTTAACGCAACTATGGCATCTCCGACTAACGCCCCAGGAAGTCAAAGCCAAACATCCGTATCTTCTGCAAATCACCCAGATCCTATAATTCATGGGCGCGAAATTCTTGAAACCCTGGTATCACATCTTCTTGCTTCTAAACGTTCCCTATCATCCATCAGTACAGTATGGCGTGCGAACGAAATCGTCACCTCAGCAAAGACCGCATTGGAAGAGAGCGTTATACTGAACGCTAGGACAGGATTCTTACAAAGTGGTATTAATGAGCAGATGAAGGTCTTGATGAAAGTTAGGAATAGTATAGAGTGCGTGTATAATGATGGCCAGAAGGATTTCAAGGTGGGTAGTCGTCGAGCTATTTTAATGATGTGCAAGCTGACCATAGTACGCGTAGAATGTCCTACATACCCTCGATGCCGCAAATGCTCGACTTGAATCTACAATGGATGTTCTAAGGTCAACAATGGTGGATGCGGCTTTTCGACCAGCTGGCGAGGAACCGAGAAGTTTGTTGGACTTTGTGGATGAACAAGGTGTAGAAGGGATGCGAGATGGTTTGAAAGAGTTAATTCGAGAGTCCAAGGTGAAAAGGCTTTTCTGAATATGCAATTTTTCCGGTTATTGACCTTGGTCTATAGGAAACGCAAAAAGAATTCGATACATCTCTACTTTCCTTTGATGATGATCTACGCAGCTTGAGGTCGGGTTTCAAGAACACCAAAGTATCGCCGCCATCTTATTCTCCAATACCAAGTCACTTAGCAACATTAGAAGGGCATGCCCAGGAAATGGCTGCGTTACTGTCATCCCTTTCCAGTCATTTCGACCTATGCCTGAACGCCATCAGACATACGGAGGGAGGATATGCCGCTGTCAGAAATGCAGCGTCTAATCCACCACCAGGCGCTGAGCCAGTATCCGTCTCTGGTGTAATGAATACCTCGCACGATGACATAAACGAAGAACCTCTTACTGAACACGAGCGTGAAGAAATGCTCTTCGTTCTCGAGAAAGACGCTGCGGAAGTCGAAGATGTGGTTATGGAACTTCGCGATCGCCAAAATGAAATGGAAATCAAACATGATGCAATCCTCGATCACGTTTCACATCTCACCGAACAATTTAAACAAACTACGAGTATATACAAAATTCTAGAAGGAGTGTATGAGCGACTTCCGGGATATATCATTGCAGGTCAGGATTTCCGTGCTAGGTGGGAGGATACCAAGGCGCAGATATGTGGACAAATGGATGACTTGGAGGGAATGCGACTCTTTTATGAAAATTATCTTTCCTCATATGATGGTCTCATACTCGAAGTTCGGCGTCGTAAGGTCGCCGAGGAGAAAGCAAAGACAATAGCAAAAAAGGCAATGGAGCAAATAAGCAAAATATACGACGCAGATATGAAGGAGAGACATGATTTTAAACATGACGTTGGGGACTATTTGCCCGTTGATTTATATCCTGGCATCAATGCAGCAGCACCAAGATGGGAATTTAGATTGATGGAGGATGAAGAAGCTGTAAATAGTAGTCCTTCTTTAGAGAGGGAGTTGGTGGAGGTATCTAGTAAGAGGGATGGAGAGGCACAGGGATAAAAAGGGAAATTGACGCATAGTCGGAAGTCCTGACGACCTGTAATTATTATCGATGATAAAGCAGAATCAGCGAAGAGTTCCAGACCGTCTCAAATTCATATGTATTGAATTGTGTTGTTGGGTTGGGCGGGATGAGTTGGATTGTATTGGATTGATTGATATTTTGCGTGAGGTTGGTCATGATTTTAGAATTTATATTTATGGCTGGAGGTGGGAGGTTTTGGATGTTGGGTGTTGTGGGATTTGTGAGAACTTTCTTGTTGGTATGCTTATTATGCTATCCCCTGACTAACAATTGCGGTGGGACGAAATGGATTATAGTATAGGTAAGACCTTACTATTACTCCTCATTCCACCTCTGTCTTTCTCGCCAAGCATAGAACCGTGCGGGCTGCAGACTATACATTTACTCCTATCATGTCATCAAAGTTACCTAACGCCAAAGTCTTAACGAGTGTATCCCCGCCTGCAACATATCTTAAATCATCCGCGTCCAGCATAAGTAGAAGGGCATCGCTTGAGCGCTCATGAAACACACATCGTGATTATCGCCCTCTACAGCACGTAACGGTTGTACGTGGAATATAGTACTTAGCGACCATCTTACTATTATCAGCACGGCTCTTGTGGGCAGATGAGATGCTGAATCTGAGGGGCATTGGTATGAGAGCGCACGAAAGTGGTGGGTTCTTGTAATTACTGGAAGAGAATACTTAGCTTGAAGAACTTGATGTGGATGAGTATTTAGGGGCTGCGAAATAGCTTACCGACACTCAAGGTTGTGATGACCATTATCTGGAGGCGGTAAGTGGTTGTGCTCGAAATATCGCTTGTTTGCCGAGATGATAGGAGGGTGTTCTTGATGGAAAAGGAGAACCAAACAAGAAAATTGGTTTCTAGGCGGTATATCAGTCTCTTACTATTCAAGTGTATGAGACCGTACTGACATACTTAACTCACTAGTGACTCGATTGTATGTTTCACCGCTGGGTAGGTAAACATGTTGGTGAATATCTCCAAAGTAAAAAACCGTTTTGAAACCTCCGCATACATTCATCTCATCACCAACCACGTCATTATGACGGACTTGAAGTGGAGGGATCTCTGTCAGTCACTCTGGTGCTGAAATGTCCCATTTGCTAGGGATAGTCCCATCTGAGATTGTGGAAGATATTAGTTCATTGTCAAGAATCATAAGATCACCAGAATGCGATGCTTTTTAGCCATGGAATGGATGGCTTAGCAATGAATAATGCGGATTGTGGAATTTATTGTCTTTTTAGTTGGACGAAGAGCACCGTCGACATCTTACACATCAATTGTAACAGTTCGGGCGATTCAAAACAACATGTCAGCTGTTTGAGAGATAATCATCTCCTTGAAAGTTTCAAAGATGAATACCTCAAGCGAGCTAGCTTGATCTACTATTGACGCAAGCGTAATTAAGCAGGGCATACGTCAGCACAGAGGTAAGCTCATTAATCTTTGAAATTACTCGCGCGAGGATTTTGCAAAATAGTAGATTTCTTTGCAAGAATGAGCCATCAAAGTCGCTCATTTTTGCGGTCAAAATTGTTAGAAGGGGGGAACTATAGACAGTTTGTAATAGTTAAGCGGACTACGTTGATTCTATGTTTGACAAAAGTTAAAACTAGTAAGTGTCTATAGCAGATATTAGCCAAAATAGCATCACTACACGTAATCTTAGATATAAAACGCACTTCAGCCCAGCTTATGAAAGTTTTCCAAAATCGCCTTCAGAGCAATTACATGGGCTGTGCTCATATAAGCATATATATTATGTTGAAGATACCTCCCAGGAGGTAGTTAAGCTAGCTTTTTATTAATAATTACTGTTAATAAATTCTAAAACTGAGGTAGGGATATACGGGAAAGATTCACAACACCCAATTTTTATATTCATATGGAAATGGAAACGTTGAAATCTTTCACCCTGTTTTGCCGTCTCTTTTTCTTTTAAACTTATTTATTTGAGAAATAAAAATGGAAACCCCCAGTAAGTTACTGAGGAGAAGTGTGGACAGGAGGCTATTCCCCGGAAAATGTCTTTTCTTGATAAGGTTTGCTTCTTATTCTTTACTTTGCTCGGTGGGTGGAGCAGGAGGAGGTTATTTAAGATTGATCACCTAGATTGATATTGAGGAATCTGAAGTACAAAAATATATAGCCAGCTATAGACCAGAAACTATACGATTAAGCTGAGATATTTCTTGTAATATTTAACAAATACCATTAACCCATCTACCTGGATAGAAACATTGATAACGAGTTCTCAACTTTCCATATGTATATTCTCTCTCCAACAATATCCTTCCTCTACTAACATATCAATTTATCAACTCCCCCGCCCCAAAGAAAGACCCTCCAAAATATCAATCTTAATCTTACAAACTACGAATTAACCAGAGTAGAAACTTTATCCTTTTATAAACTCCCTCATTATGATCAATTTACCCAATTCCCTCAATTCCCCCAAAGCCATAAACTTCCCTTCCTACTGCTCCCCACCTTGATATCTAAATACTTCTTCATTACCAGCCATGTTAGAATTTCCCTGACTTATCGCTATCGGCCATGTAGAAGATTGTTCTGCCCACGAACATGTCATTGTGTCCCATAGATCATGATTCATCGTCTCTGTACCTTCCTGTTGACGTATCCCTGAAATTCCCATTCCCATTCCCATTCCTCCTTCACCTTCACTACTAACCCCCTGTAAACCCACTTGTTCCTGTCCCTGTCCCGATTTTTTAAAACTTTCACCCGTATATGGCACATTATCACCAGACGACCCAGCTTCCCCAACCCCAACCCCAACATCCCATCCCATCGTCCCCGCACCTAACCCCTCATCCCACGCATGCATATCCTCAAAATCAAAATCCAAATTTGTATTTCCCAACAACGGCGCCACCTCCGGATGAAACACCGGACATTTTCCCCTCGAGAGAGTCGAAGCTTTCGGAACAATAGCCTCGACGCGCTGTTCCCATGTTTTCTTAAGCGTACTTAACATACTATTCAAGACGAAGTATTTATCAAAATGTTCTTTTTGTCCCTTATTACTACTAATATCTATCGTCTCGCTTTCGCTAGACTCGAGGTCTGCTTTATTAGACGATGATTGGAAAGTTGATGAGAGACCTCGGAGTCTGAAACATAGTGCTTCTAAATACATACTTAGGCCGATTCTCTCACGTGTAGTTTCGGCTGACCAGTTCTCCACGTGTGCGATGACGAATGTGAGTCGTACGAGTGCGACGAGAGATTGCACTAGTTGGGACCAATGGATTAGATTGAAATGAGTGTAGTCTTGGGTGGGAAGTGAGAGGAGGTGCTGAAAATAGGATCCAGCCAAACGGAGACATGTATGGAGATGGTCGGGCGAGGGTATTGCATCTGTGGTTCCTGGGACGGAGGGACGGTAAGGACGGCGTAGAAGACGAAGGGAATGAGCGTAGATTGAGTAATGTGTAAATTTGTGGTACAGAGCAAAGAGTGCTAACTTCTGTCAGTTTTGGTCTCTTTATCCAATTCCTAGTAGGTGAGAATCAAATGAGTTAGGCTCACGTGAAGCAGTGATATATTCTGGTACATTCCGTTTCCAAGTATCCAGTTCAGCGGTAAACAATTGAACATATAGTTCAGTGCTAAATGCATCCATTTGCGGATAGTTCTTCAGGGTCCAGGCGTCGTTGGTACGATCAGAGATACGCTCAAGTATTACCATGGCTGTCGCTGGTGTACTTGTATGAGATGGAATGAAGGAATCAGGATTGCTAGGTAAAAGATTCTCGTAGGACATGGTTTGTGGCTTACTGAACCCTATAGCGAGCCTTTCAGAGATACGTCAGTACTTCAAATCTCTGTGCATTAAGATATAAGTGAGAGAGATCACTAACTGAGAGCATAAAACATAACATCCCATGTAGGCTCTCTTGGCCTCCGTCGTCCAGCGACCATCGCTACGCACAAGTCCCTTCAAATCGAACTCCCCGAAAATATTTGTTTGAGGCTCCGCTTTGTCGAGTCCTAAGTCCACCGCTAACGAATTGGCAAGGTTCATGTATGTAAAGCATGGATTGGATTTCGGTTTGGTATGCATGGGATACCAAGCTATATACACAAGAAGACCTAGAAGATAGTCGAGTGATTTTTGCGAATTAACAATTAGTTTGAGACTTAAAACACGACGGAATTCCTGGTCAAGTTGGTGGTGGAGGTAAGGATGCGGGATGGCAGCCGTGGTGAGGATGGCCAAAAGAAGGAAAGGGGATTGTTGAGATAGGGTTGGAATTGTGGGGTTGGCGGGGAGTGTGACGAAGGGAAAGAATGGAAGTTTGGGAATATAAGAATTCAGGAGGTGAGTTGCTTGAGAAAGGGTGAGTTTGCGACCGGGTATATATTTTGATGGTAAGGGTAGTGGTATCTCTTTCAATGGCGTGGGCGAAAGGGGGTTATCATCTTTAAAGATTTGTTTGTGATGGCTCTGAAGAATTTCAGCGTCTTTCGTTGAATCATGATACACAGTGCTAGGGAGATCGAGACAGAACTCTCCCTCTTTCACTGGATTATCGGCAGAAGGAGAGGTAGTGGATGATAACGGACTATCATCTAATTTTGTCGCATTTCCTGGACGTTCTACACGTCGAACACGTTTTGGTCTGGCCTTTTCTCTAACGACACACCGACTTTTGGTTTGGTTGCATCTACTTGAATTTAGTACGAGTAATTGGATTTAGAGAAGTTTGAATAAACGTGCTAATCACCTTTGACATATTGTATCATCATCTGCGAAGAAGCATCGGTTTTTACTTGCTCTACAAGCTTCGCAAGCACGTGCATTCCTCATTGTGCCAATACTCCGTGTTGATGATTACCAGGGTTTATTTCGGTATATTTGATGTTAAAGCTTTCCAATATTTGTAAATTTGCGTTGTTGCTCGTAAATGAGGCAAATAATGAAATGTCAGATTACAGTGGGGAAAGCTTGTAGCCCGGATATACGGAGATAGCAAGATCATCATCTTACCTCACAGTTATATGCAAGGGGTTTGCTTAGAGCATCAAGAGCTTGTGGCATATTTCTTCGTTGAAACTTCGATGGCATGAATTGAACGAAAGTCTTGACTACTAGGTAGATTTACTACGATACTTTGGGACGAATAGCTGTTTTAGCTCTCCTGTTATTTTTTGAACACAAAAATAAATAAAAGAAACATAAAAGACGGAAAAAAAAAAGCACAACACCCATGTACCGTCGAGGTTGATGGCACAATTAACATTGCCCAATGTACAGCTCTACCTTTACAGTATCTCTTGACTAAAATTTCAAGAAAAGTCGCTTCCTTCATGTTGGCTTCGTGTAGACACAATAGCATGAAACAAAGTGGTATAGGCAACAAATGAAGCACCTAGACGCCTAAAAGATGACTGGTTTTGACGGTGAGTCTCTGGATACGTCAAGTAGCTCGAATCGAATGATGACTCTCATAAGACAAGTACCCGAAGCATAATCACGACTTTATTCACGAGCCCGAGTTGAAGATACCTCAATGTCAGCTACAACAGCTCTATGATCGGAAAGATACACCTCATCATCGTAACGATTGCTCAGCACTGCATAAATTCCATATTTGGCCATTGTATCTTTGGCGGAGAAAATAAAATCAATCCGAGATGGTGTGTTATCCACGTATCCAAAGGATGTGAAAGTCATCTCATTTCCATATCGCTTTACCTCGGGAACGAGATCTCGAATATCTGCCATTGTCGAAGTGGAGGACGTCATCGTCTTATAGGCTTCATCATCTGGAGGGCTATTGAAATCTCCAGCAAGAAGAAGTGCAGCGGGTGCATACGCATTTTTGTAATGATTGACCTTCTCCAAAATCAATTCTGCACTCTTTTGTCGAGATATTGGACCGGAGTTATCCAAATGAGTACTCATGACAACAACAATTTCGTTCGTCAACCGATGCCTAAATATACCTAATGTAACTAGTCTGATACAACCAGCATCCCAGCCAAAGGAGGGCTTGTCTGGAGTTTCGCTGAGCCAATAGGTTTTGTAAAGAACGAGGTCCCACACTGCGGGGCGATAGAAGATGGGGGAGTATTCTCCAGATTGTTTCCCGTCATCTCTTCCAACCCCAAGACGAGACCACTTATATCCAGGACCTTCATTCAAAACATCGTGAATATCGACAAGCTGAGAATGGAGAACTTCTTGGAGGCAGATGAAAGTCTCAGGTACAGTGGAATTAAATATGAGTTCAGAGCATAGTCGAGGGGAGCGGATTGACCAAAGTTCCTCCCCTTTAAATGGAGATTCGGTTGCATAACGAATGTTATGAGTAATTACTCGAATAGGAAATGAAGTCGAATTGTTGTCCTCTGAAGGAGTGGAAATGTGAATTCTTTCCCCATCAAAGCCCGACAAGCTCTTTTCACGCGTCATCATGCCGTGATGAGTAGAGTAGGAATTTAATTTTCCTTTAAAGGGAATGAACCCACACTTGCTGACTGTGAAACTGTGATCAAACCCAGCCTAATGATAACGGTTCGATAATGGTAATATTTGTCGTCTTATAGCTTGCGGTGTGAATATTCTTGGCTCAATGGATGGGTTATGTCATGATAGAATTGATGATATACCGGTAGGGCTCAATGATAATATGTGTCAAGTGACCTGGGATGAAATGTTGCACTCCGCTTTATGTGGAGGCATATGAGGCTTTAGTATATTTCATCAAAGTCTACAATAGTCAGAGGATGATGCGGGTCATCGATAATGTTAGATGTCCGGCGGTAAAGTATTCGAAAAACGATTCATCGCATGCATTGCATCCGTTAACTGTCGATAAAGTTGCGGGTCTTGAGATACGCAATCATGTAATCACGTAATTAATCATTTAGTTTTCAGAGATGCGCGACATGCGATCATGCACGCACTTGCGCATGCACTTAATTATAGAAGCGAATAGGAAGGAGGCTGAGAATGTAAAAAGATCCGAATAGTGGCTAGAGATCACCTGACATGGCAATTAATTTAAAGTTTAGTGCGGAGACTTGGTTGTGAAGACTCGTCCGTTGAAGAAGACAGAAGAGGGGCGATTCACAACCTCTCAACTTCTTCACACTCCCTTCATCGAACATCCTATCAAAAATATATAACATCACCGCGCATATTTTATCAATAAATTTAATATCACGGTGACCAGTTTTGATCATTTACACCTGCATTAGAACGAGAGACGCGGATAGTTCGGGTCCTTCTTTTGACCATTCAAAGTTCTTCATTAAATCATGAAAATGCCTGTCGCTAAGAAAGATATTTTGTAGTCACCCGCACTACTGGACATGGTGACTGGCTTACGATTCTGATTGATCGAACAATCACGAGCATCATCCAACCAGACGTCCTTTGCGCGGGAACTAAATCATGTTAGAGTCACACTTGAAATATTCCCTTTTTATTTTCGCATTTTTGTTACTCTTTTAATGTTCTTCCAAGGTTTCATCACGCTTCTTATCTTTTACAACCGCCTACATGATATTTAGTTGTGTGTGTGGGTGTGGGTGTGGTGTCTCACTAATATATGATTCACATTATCCCGCATGCCCTTATCTAACAAGGCGCAATACGAAAAAGAATGACTACTTTCCCTCAAGGAATTGCTGAATGACTGACTATTTAGTGAACATGCCTTTCTAAATACCTACTTCCCTGATTTTTCCTACTTATTCCTGCCCTCATCTGTCACAGGAATCTCCACATTCAAATATTTTCCAAGTTCAGAGCAACAGGAACCCCGCATTCGCAAAAGATACATAGACCGGCCTCGAGCCGGATCTGTTGCGGGCATTCATCCCATATTCATCCTATACAATGCCTTTCAATGAACTCCAGCGTCGGGACTCCTGGCCTCCCACTATTCTTCATCTTCGTGAAGACAATTTAGACCTCGAATCGATTGATGATAACCCATTCTCCTACTTCCTCACTTCGCCCGATGAAATCACAGATGATGATATTGATGACTTCTCTGCGGGCATCGAGTCCGACGATGAAGAGAAATCTGATGTACGACAGATTTCTCCTTCCGCATTACAGCGGGCGCCTCTAGATGATTATGATGATGAGGACGAGGATGTGTTGTTCGGATTTGCCATACCTCTGAGCTTGAAGGACTTTACAACAAAAGTGTATGGAAGTGGAAGGGAATCGCGGGCTGCACACCGAAAGGATAAAAATGTCAAAGGACTCGGAATATCCATTCCAGATTTCACGGCTAGTCGAGGTCGGGCGAAGGTACGACTTACACCTCCACGAAGCCCCATTCGAGGACAAACACGAAGCCTACCTCTGCGGAGACCACATTCATGGGCTGAGCCTAGCCCTGACCTAGGGCCTATAAGAGAGGAGAGGGAAAGCGAGGACGCGGAGGAAGCGAAGGGAATCTCTAGCGCGCCGGCGACGTCGGTGGTTCCTAGCAAGGCTGTGGCGAGTCCGAAGCCGAAGAAGAAGGTTCACTGGGCATTATAAACTGTGTTGCATTTTGGATAAATTGCACAACATATTTGCATTGCTTGGAGTTTGGGTAAAGGCATACCACAAGACTGGGGTTTAATTGAGCATACATCCGTCTTAAGCATGGTTTCGGTGTTTTGGTTTTATATCATATCATGGCATGGCGTAGCATAGCATACCATTGCTTTTATAGCATAAATTTTAAGCGGTAATATCTGAAATCGCAATACTTTTCTCCAATGTTCCCTCATGTTCACATGCTTCGTGCTTCCTTCAATCGCAATGTTCTTCACTCTTCCTCCTCGTGCCAGTCCTCCCTACTTGATGCTTAGTCATGTTGAATATAAAATCTTACCTTCACCATCATTTATCAACAGCGTTGCGCATCATACTCACCCACCCACTCAAAATGAAGAGAATAAAAACAATAAATGATATCTTTACAACACAGTTATTCATCGCAATAACCACTGCAATCGTTCGTCCCTCCCAATAAGCCTCATCGTCCACAGTCATCATGCATGCCCTCGAGCCCTTCTCATCCCATATGCCCTCAAACCCACCACCGTCTCTATTTCATATATTTTCTACTTGAACCGGTCCCGATGTGTACACGGTTTAACTCACTTGTTTATTGAACTTCTATTGTTTTTATTCACCGAAATAAGATTTAAGATTGGTCCTCAAATTAAGGTTAATGAGTCTACTGTCGACAGGGTAAATATTTTTGGTAGTTTTGTTGTGGGATGAGGAATTCTTGGCAGATTTCTTGTCTACTTTGCATAATTCTATAAATGTAGTTGCGTCAAGTACTTACTACACGTCGAGCATTAGCAGTAGTAGCAGCTCGAGCCGCATGCTGCAAGATGGATTCATGATGTATGAAGAAGAGGGGTGGTCTTTATGTGTGGACGAAATTGAAAAACCTATGTTTGAAGTCATTGAAGTCACTGGGTTCGATGGAGGAGCAGGTCGAGAATCTTGTTCGTAAATGGTATATTGACCCAGAGAAAGCTGGCTCTGCTTCGGCATGGTTTGTAGCACCTAATTTTAACAGGGTAATTGACTTGAAACTCGAGCAATCTCATCGACTTAACATGCTTAAGGTTATGAATGTGCATTTCAAATTTCATGAAGTCTTTCCTAATACACAAGGGTATGTTACAACATCTTTAAGAAGAAACTTCTTTAATGCTAAGATGTATACAGTAGTATTCAGAAGTAATACAGCTGTCAATTCCCTGTGGATGTTCAAAAGAGTTTGGGCGTTCTGCAGATTTACAACCAAATTATAAGCTTCTATGTGTCGATGTAGAGTCAATGTTTTTTCACTTCTGTGGTTCCAAACGTTGTGCCAGAAACAATGCCCTCCTCGACTACTACAGACATTAATCCAAATATTTCCATGAGGACGACACTGATTCTCATTAGCTCAGCTATGCAAGATCCAAGCTCCAATAGCCATAAGCCCTCATGTCTCGACACTCGAGACTGGGGAGCTGTTATACTCTCCCTTGCAAGACATAGACGACAGGTCACTCGACCAACTGCGGTTGCATCGAATATCTCCACTCCATGACATTCCGGGACCGGAAAAATTGTAGATAGAGGCTTTGCTTCTATCTATGCCGTTGGACGAAGCAGTCCAGATTCAAGAAATACAATGAAAAAGAGGTCATTTCCCTTACACACGATCTAACGATTGATCTAAATCCGAGAATTTATTCAATAGCGTCATATATACTGCAAAAAGTGTCTTGCATCCCCAAGATATGAGAAACTGAAGCTAGAATTCGCAAGATCGATAACACTGCAAAGATTCTTTCTGGGTATAATCCGAGCGAGCATCTTGCGTAAATACCTGATTTCTCCGAATTTTTGTGGCTATGAAACTACTGCTTCAAATCGAGGGAATAAACAAGAAAAATCTTTTCCCTTGAGATCTTGTGACCACGGTGTTCCTTGCAAAGATGGGAAAATTTATACTGTTACTGTTACTCTTTCAAATTTCCAGTGCCATGGAATGTGGGACAGACAAGTGATGGGCGAGAGTTGAGGAGAATCGAGGCGAGGATACGCAGTTTCTTGTCGGGGGCGTTGGGGATTTTGGGCCAGTTAAAATCGATTATCATTTAGGATTCTAGGGCCATCTTTCGATATCGACAAGACTTTTTCATAGGGAATTCGAGGAGAATACTTCTGTTATAAAGAGGGGGATTTTTGGTGATGAGTTATTTACCTAGCATAGCTAGTTGCAGGGAAGGCTAGCTAATATTATTTAACATAATACAACCACTAAGATGTTGTGTTTGTGGGACTAGAGAGCTGCCGACTCGTGAAATCTTGCTAGTGCAAGGGAATTCAAGGCTATGATCTAGGCAGGGGTATTGATTTTGTGTGTCTGATCTGCCATGGGTTTTCTATCGGAAAGGGATTGTGTTGGATAGTCTGATGATGCAAGCAGGAGGCTTGCTTAGAATATTGCACAAACTCATACCTACATTCTACTTAAACTCTCTTTCTGCCCCGAAGGCCAGATAAATCAAAGTGATTTTCTACTAATCATCTCAAGAGTGTGTTCCTAGAAGTAGCATCTTTCATCTTTTTCTTATATACACATTAGCTGTTGTGACCAAGACCTTACATGACTATATATTTCCTCGGCTAATAGAATAGTCGTTTTTACTTAGTAGTTCTTTCGATAGAATGAGAATGGCCCGGGGCCATAATTGTAGGGTATGAGAGGGTTGGGTCGGATGAGTAGATATCAATGATAATCTTAAGATTAAATTTCTGTCGCCGAATAAAAGGAGGTTTCACGATATATTCAGCCATCTCCGTCGAGGTATTTTGTATACTCGGGATTTAATGATCGAAATTAGCGTCTGTGAAAGGACTAATTAATCGGCTCTTTCACTTCAGAAGTTTTTATATAGATAAAGAGAGTTTGATCATAGATCTGTATTTCTCGATGCTAACATCTATAAGCTAGACTCCAAATGTGTTCGAACTCGCATTTTTTTTCATCTCATTCCATCTGGAGATATAGATAGTGGAATAAGCCGCAATAGTAGAAATTGGCGCAGCACTGGAGGGTTGAGGAAACCCTGCCTCATTCTTCTTAAACGATGCCTAATTCCAGAGGAATCAGCATCAAATTTTTTATATTTGAGTAGTCTTGATTCAGGCTTCATAAGTTGAAGCAAACCAAGAAGCGTGCCCAAGAGGAAAAATTCTTCTGCCTCGTAAATTCCTGTTGGATTTTCGAAGGAATGATGGCGTTTGTTCATCTGGAGTTTGAATTGATACTTTGAAACCTATTTCGGCTAATCATTGATCGCAGCAGAAGCTTCGACCGCGAACTGTAGGTGAAATTCAATGTTTTCTCCTTGCATACTTTTGAGCACATACGGGTCAAGGTGGTCGGCGCATCTACAAGGGCATCGACGCTCTGGGTTATTCAGGCTCGAATCTCATGTTAGAGATCGATGTCAAGTTCTTACTAGCGCCATTTATGGCAGTTAATCAAAGCGAGTGACTTTGCCGCCCAAAAAAAACCACATCTATTTTCATGATATAAGGGCTCTATTTGACTAGTTTTGCTTCTTCACATGGTATCTACTATTTCCACGGAGCCAAAAATGAGACTGGTGAGGATATATTGAAAGTTTTACGATACATCGCTCCATCATTGGGGAATGAGCTATGATAAAGAAAGCGAAGTATTATATGGGTGGACGTTTTCATCCCAAAATTTTATGCGCTTCACCAGAAGCCCTTCGGATTTGTACTGCGTGTGACAAGATTTCTAGGTAAAATATATGCATAGGAGCTAGAACAAATTGGTCCACATTGAAAGAGAATAATTTCGAAGGTAAGGGAGGCAGCGGGGATCTCTCTTTCATGTTTGATGACGCTTCCGCCAAATGCTGACACCTAAACCTCAGAGTCGAAAATCTATACACTTACAGTGGCCTAGATAATCTCCACATGCAGTCTAATTATGTTGAGAAGGGCTGAATTTAACACAAGGACACAGAGGGATATTGAGAGAGGCATTGATGAGTCCTAGGCACCCCATTCTTTTAGTAGTATTAACCGCGGTAGTTTCGTAATGAAAATGCTCGACATTTGGATTGACGAAATTGCTAATAAAAATATATCGCTGAGAGGATTGTGAATATGGGCATATTCGTAAATGTAGCCTTTATAGATGACAAGGTAATGCGAGTTTGTGTGAAATAATGACTCCGCCAATTTCATAAGCATTCTCTAATTGTGAAAGCTAAGGGTATCACCTTTTTTCTGTTATTATCAACTAGCTGGTATCGAGGCCCATCATGTGGGTTTCTATCTTTGCTCCTCTCGTTTCACGCGCGTACACTCAACATTCACATTCGGTACATTTCCATAAGCTTTCAAAATTAGGTGATGACAATCTTCGTTATCGTGAGAAGCAAAATTTGTGAGTAACAGATGTCTAATTTCCATTTTAGCCTGCAGGAAAACGTAGAATGGGCATAATCACCAGTGCTGGCTGGTGTATTCTTCATCCTTTAGAATGTGCTAATGGTGTGTAGAAACACTAAATTTATTATTGCAAACTATTGATAGCGCGAGTGTTCTCTCCATGACCAGAGTCTTATGTAGATTCGCCCAAAGGATTTCTTAATCAATATTGATAATCTGAAGTATTTTCTTGAAGGAATGCTAGAATAAATGCCGGAAAGATCAAGGCGAGACAAAAATTGCTCCCAATTCCCATATTATACTGCATAAATCGCCCCTAGGGTCTGTGTTGATTTAATGTGAATTGTCACTGATCTCCAATACTGTCCTCATTCATCATCACATATCCAATTCTCCGATCTGCTATCGTCAAATTGCATAGATACTACCACGGGTTTTCAAACTTTCTATAAACTCTCGCCTCAAATTCTCGTAACTGCTCTTTCACCATCTTTGTCTCAGGTACATCTTTCTCGTCATTTTTATTTACCTATACCCCGCAAGCAACTGTCGCGATACCCAAACCAAAACATTTTTTGTTCATAATCCCAATTAGGCCCAGAGTAATAGTCTCCATGCATAAATTCTTTCCAATGACACATCACAATATTCTTGACTTCTCGTGCCGCCGTCGGATACCATTCCTTACCCATTCCATACGGAGATGACAACGTCTTGAGTATGGGCAAGTGGAAAGGGTCTAAGAGGGACCACTGTGCTAATGGAAACCTTTTCAAAATCGAAGTCTGTTAATCAAACCAGCTTCGACGTTGATTATATTGCCGGCAGGTTCGTCTCCGTATACTTCTCGGTGCAAGAACATAATCTAGCAGCCAAAAGTCTCGTTGATAAACAGTTCTGAAACCCGGCGATAATCAGGACCAATCCATGTCGTCAGCATTTTTATGAGTTGCCTCATGGCACATTGATCCAGAAAAGGCTCGTCTAAAGATGTTGGAAAACATGACGAGGTAGCTGGCTTCCACCATAACCTCGATGATTTGAAGAAGAATCTCGTGTGGTATACATTGCTTCCTCCCAGGTGTTGCTGCTGTCATTGTTGCCGTTTCTGTGTCTTTGAAATCGATCTTCAGAGGTGGAGAATCAATTTGTGTCAGAGTGGCGGTGGTGCCTGGTGTTATTGATATGGACACATCTTTTTCCATGTCTAGAGAATTGAAGTTTAGTGTAGTCTTAGTTTTAAGTTGAAGATGATAAAATGACAAATAGTTGGTTATTCTTATAAAAGAAATTTGCAAGGCAATTATCGAGTGATAAGTGTTTCCGTAGACACAAAATAATTTGAAGTTGAATCAATGGCAAGCTTATATATATAGTGCAACTTTGAATAGAAGACAAGCAGTTTAGGAGCTAGTGTTCGGCTAATTGGAACGGGAGCAGGACCGCGTTGGAGAGATGGTGCAGATTAGGAAGTGTACAATAAGAAAGGCCTCCTCAATACAGAAAAATCTGTATTGCCGTATCGAAATTAAACTCCCGTACATCTAATTGCCGCGAAATTTTGAGTCTGCTCGTTCTATCATAACCAATACAGACTTATTACCTTCCTCCTAATGATCCTGTTGGGTTTATTGAGACCAGAAAGAGCATCAGATTGAATTGATTGATTCTCTAGCTAAGCAGTTAAGCTGCGAGTATATATTCAAAAAATGAAGGAATAAGGTTAGGTATTCAGCCTTCGGAATTAAAGTGCTTTGAAATCAAAATATTGAAAGCAAACAAACAGTATACCAAAAAGGAAAGAATGAATTAAAAGTTGAGTTTGTTTGCTCCTTATATGCATATGCTGCCAAGATCCCAGGAGGTCAACAGAAAGCCATGTTGCTGTGTAATTACCTGGTCAGAATGAGCAACAGATTTCAGAATGATGAGTTTCTTTCGTGGGCCTGTAATGCCGTGAATCATTCTCTGGTTACCATTAATACATACAACAATTCAAATGAAGGATTTCAACAAGGTTGACGATGATCGGCAATTTATATTCTTCCGCTGTCCCTAAGTTGTGCTCAGGATTTCCCTCCCCCCCCAAACCTCACCACTTCCCTCCCTTTTTTTGCACCCTCAAACAATCAGCTGGAAATCAATTAAACTAAAACAAATCATTTGAAAAAAATTTATTGACCACAGTCCCTACATGTGGCTATTTGAAAGTAACCATTTGGCAACCTAGCCTAACAGTTTGCATGGGAACAACCACAAAAAGCTTCACCTATCAAAAGTTATCCATGTATCCATTCATGCAACTATTTAAATACCGTGTTGTTATCTAGGATTGAAATACAGGCATCTTGTTTCTTCTCCAATCTTTTCTCCTCTCCGGTATACCCTTCTCGGTTGTTTCCTCAACAAAAACATGGGTACCAAGCTTAGGCCACCCTTCCCATCAATTCCTGACATGATTCGATACTTTTCGGGAACCCAGTTCTAAAGCAAGGGTGCCAGAAGTGCCTGGTCTTCTTTCGGTAGGTAACCACTGTAAATCATGTTCCAGCCAGGCAACACCACCGCATCTTAAAGATGGACCAGCAACGTCTACAGGTGAGCCCAAAGCAGACTGATGAGACGAGCCTCTCATCATCTTGTTCGTAGAGTGTATCTAAGATTTGCAGAATAATTGAATCTGGCAAATTATTGAAACTTTTGGCTGGTCTGGTTTTGATGACGCTTTTCAACCAATCTTGCGACGTAATCTCCTGAACGTCCTCATCCTCGTCCTGATAATGTTCGTTTATTGATCTGCGGTTGGTTTCTAGACGTTTTGTTTCTCCTTCATCTGGTGCCGGCGATGATTGAGTAGGTTCTACATCTCCTCTACGACGCTTCGTCTCTCGTCCATCTATCAGAAGAGAAGATGGAGCGGAAAAGTACTCTGGCTCTCCTTCGCTCTCTTCTTCTGCTGTTGGCACGATCTTCAACACTGAATTATGTCTCCGAACCACACTAATTTGAGCCAGTGTAAGATACCTCACCGCGCTTAAGTGCCTTAAACTTGGAACAATAATGTCTTTTTGTTGCTTACTGGCCGTTATAGCTTTCCATTTACGCTTGTACCCTTGCGCCACCCTAGCCTCACCTGCTTGTCTAACTTTCACTTGCTTTGCCTGTGTAGAAATGGCTGTATCTCTCGTTCTTTTGTTTTTTACTCTGTACATGAATTTCTTTGCAGGCTTAGACCTCGGAGCCACATTAGTTTTAGCACGTAAGCGGTACCTGTTTGAGAGAATGGGACGCGAAGATTGAGTGGTCATTTGCCATGTGTGGCCCGCAATTTTCATGTCCGCATTGTTCGGCATCTTTTGTGTATGGATTTGGACTCGGACTATGTAGACAGAGAAAATCTCGGTAGACTTTGTATAAATAAAAAACTATTCTTATGATCGTTTTCGATGGATGAAGTACAGCAAGTAAACTCAAATACCTTTAATTCCTTAGACTTGATCTAGATGCAGTGGAGAAGGGGTTTCTTCGTTCAAGGGGTTCTAGATCGCTTACATTAGCTCCCAATCCTTTCCACAGCTCTAGTACAGACAATTAATCACCATTAATTTTTTTGATGCTCATTTCTCAATCCTACGTACAGGCTTTGACCCATGTGGTTAATCACTGCCGTCCTTAACGAGTGTCTTGGTGAAATTTCATGCATTGGCATCAGTCGTGCATCGATAATCTGGGGTGTACCCCACCTTTTGCCTAACCCTGTTCCATATCATGAACAAGATTGAACCAGTACCTCGTTAGAAATGTAAGGGGATTCTGGAATTTGATGAATTACTTTCCGAAACAGGCAATATTGAAGCAATATCCGTTGGAATTCAATAAAATTCTGGCTAATATCGCCTGTTTCGGCAAGGCATTTGCCCTTCGGTGAATCGCCAAGCTTATCCAGGCAGCTACATAACGCTCATTTTGGGCAGATATAAATCGATTGATGCGCTATTATTTGGTATACTTTTTATCCAAATTGAACATGATATGATGAAATCATTGGAAATTGAATTGTGTATTGATAATTAATGATTTTACAAAAACATTTGAGATCAGATTTTGGGCATACATTAACCTTACTAAAGTGTTGAAAAGTGTTTGCTCGCTGGCATACGTAGTGTATGTTACTACCTCAATAGACACATGCTATCTCAGTTCAGATACAGGGTATAAGGACAGCGTGGGCAAATTAAAGGCTTTATAAAGGAAGATGTAGATGACAGAAAACTCAATATGATTAGGCAGGTATACTGAATTATAGTTTGGCCATCGTAGAACGATGATTAGAACTATAGTAATTGGTTGGACTTGCTGAAATAGCTAAACTAACCCCGTTATTTGTACGTGAAATTTTATCAGCCCTGTAATTCTGCTGAGCGATGATTCCATTGTCAGATTATGACCGCACCAGCTACATCTCCAACGACCAAGTCCTCACGACTATGTCGACTTCTCTCAGGTCTGCCTTTATATCTTCTTCCGAATACAGCGAGTCTACTTCCCCGAACAGCACTCTCTGTGATATCTCAGACTCTTCTTCGATTACACCATCTATTCGCCAAGGCTCAGGAGCATCCCATTCGTATGTCCACTGGTACAGGTCGGTCTCCCTGAAGTCTACTCAGGAGAGCTCCAAATGTGCTCTTTCAGGTCCGTAATCGGCGAATTCGCTGTACCATTTCAAAACGAGATCCTGGTACATAGTAGCAGCTTTTAAGTACCATTCTTCTCCCATTCCTTGTGGACTAGGGAACTCGATACGACGTGGGGAGATAGTGCAGGGATGATATTGACATTCAACGAGGTAATCAACGTTCGTTATCGCAAATCGATCTTGATGGCGTGCTAACAGTCTGCGTTCGGCTTCGCTATGATATGTGCCATCGCCGTAAACATCTATGCAGAGGAACATTGGGACAGGGTGCCATTTTGTGAGATCGGAAGTTTTTCGAAAGCTCGGAGGTACCCAGGAAGCCAGAAGTGATTGTAATATCGAGGCTTGAATTTGATCCAACGCAGGGATTTTAGTTGTTCCAAGGTCACACCAAAGCTCAGCAAATATCTTCCAATACTTGCCGCAGGTAAGGGCTAGGCAGATCGACGTAGTGAAGCCTGGATCACCTAGAAGGTCGCGTATGTTCATTTTACAGTATTCGAAGCGGAGTAACTTGAAGAGTTTAAGAATTATTTCCGGTGGTAAGTTTTGAATGGTAGCCCGAGCTTGGATTGTGGAGGAGATCAAGGATTGTGCTGTTTGTGACAAGTTGCGTTAGCTATTTAGTACTATTCGGGAAAGTTAAGATTGAAGCTATCATACCAGATGCTTCAAGAGTTTTTCCATTCCAAGAAGCCAGTTCTTCATTCTTCTTCTTGTCAACTGCGGTCGTAGAGTTGTATTCAAGCAGTGCTGTATCGCCCGCGCCACCTGCAGTGTTTCTTGCCTCCATGATCAGCACGCTCTCGATGCAGAGAATTTCTTTGATCTTTGAAAAATAAAAAAGAACACAAGATGTAAACAAAAAGCTCTAAAAATACCGGGAGCCTGCTCTCAAAATTTAAGCGAAGCATTTTTTCATCAATACCATTAGAGTAATTGGATGAAAGCCATTGAGTACTACTACTATTCAGGTTATAGTGACTAGAGTGTTGAGCATACCTCAGTATTAGTTATAAGCTAGATATTTCTGCTTACTTGCTGGCCTCCAGACACCACACTGGACTGCTATAAACATCTTCCAGCTCCACTACTGAAGTCAACTGGATTCCTATTTTCTTCTTCCGACTTTAATTTTGCCCATCAATCTAGAGTTGTGGAACTCCTCTGTCATTTCCGAGGCTTTTTCACATAAATTTGGCTTACAGTTCTACGTCCACCCACATTATTGAAATTCAAATCTATCTTCACCCTTATAACTTTGTTTCAAAAATGGCCACAACCACTTAACGGTACCGCTTTTCAATACTGAATCAAGTCTCTACATTACCAATCTTCGATTACTCCATTGACGTGGCCATTAACCTGCCGAGCGTCCAAATTAGACTATACTTCGTGTACTAAGTATTGATATGACAAGCCCGAGGAAGACCAAGCCCATATCCTGTAGTTTAAGTGATTTACCTGCTTCCCATGTCATGAAAAGTCTCACATTCTTTGCACAAATTTTAATTTGATTCCTTAAATACATTGATGATTTGACGCTGCATAATGAACTTCCTTAGTGCGGACAAAAGCCTTCCTCTCACAATTGATCATCTCCCATCATAATTGCACGAAACATAGTCCTCATTTCATGTTCTCCATATTCATCCGCTGGAAATTCATCCCGTGGAAATAAACCCCAGACCTCCCCACGAAATACATGATCTATGGCTAAGTCTTGTATAATATCCTCCTCGAGCTGAATGATATCCTCTACAACTTGTGATCTCTCCATCGCACGCTGGGCCATGGAAGGAATGCTAATATTGACTGGTGCCTTGTATCTCTGGACCCAACGATATATCGAGGTCTTCATGAATGATCCCCAAGACAAAATCATAGCATTGCTATGGTTCGCACCGAGAGGAAAGCAATCAGAGTATTCAAACTTCCAAGTCGTAAACATATCCCTATACTGTTTAGCTGCCGCAAAATACCAGGTAGTGCCCATTCCGAAAGGACTTAAGAGTTGGACTTTTGGTAACTCCGCTCTCCAGTTCCTGTTATCAGTACTCGGCATGAAATCTTCCAAGTGTTGACCGCTGCAATCTAAGATCTGGGATTGAGCTTTATACCTTCTCCACAAAGAAAGTTCCTTCCTGGTATTTTTCTTAATGTAGCCTCTTCCGTAAACCTTTCGCGCAAGAAACATGCTGATGTACCCGTGTGATCCATCGCTAGATATATTTTTGCCCGCATATGAATGAAAAGTGAGCAGGTTTGAACGGCGGTAATCTGGGCCAATCCATTTCTTGAGAAGAGAGGCGAGGGTGAGCTGTTGAGTCATAGATAATTTAAACTCACCCAGGATCCTGTTGGTACCAGGATAGCACCAAATACCACGAAAGATAGTCCAGTACCTCAAACAGGTAAGAGCGAAGCAAATAGCATCAATCATGCCGCCATTGTTTTTGCCTGCTTCATCATCTTCCTCATTTTCAACACTCTCAAATGCATTATTGGTGCTAGGATTCGAGTCGGCATCTTCTCCATGTGTCGACTTGTGTACGTTCTGTTCCGAGTTTCGAGTTATGCTTGAGTTCTCAAGATTTTGTGGTGACCTGATCATGCTTTCGAAAATCTTGACTATCAAGTTTCCCGGGAGAGAAGGTTTAATTCCGCCATCGCTATTCTCATTTCCTTTGGTTTTGGTTAGATTAGATTGTTTATGATTCAAGAGGAACTGCCTACTTCTCTGGATAATAATTGAAGCAATTCTTTCTTCATCTTCATCATCTGAAGTGAAATCAGGAGTAGCCAAATTATCATTTTCGGTTGTAGAGGAGCCGTCAGATCGTTGGTTATCACTTTGAATATCTTCTTGCCTGTTGGTGTTAACATATTCCTGTATAGGGTTGCTGAAAAGAGGCTCTGCATAATACACCCGGTTCACTTTTCGAGGAGATGGAGTAGCGGATCCCATGTACTGATTGTTTCTGAAAATCTGTGGTGTAAAATTAGAATTACGATCGACTTTTCTTCTGGCCTTGTGGGGTTTTTTGCTCTCAGTATCTGCATCATATTTCAAGTCGCCAGCACCATGCTCCCTATTGTTGTTTTGGAAGGACATGATGTTCGATGCCTCGGGATTTTTAAGAGTTGAAGTAAATATTCTGATATCTGATGCGATGTTGGTCGTTTATCTCATCGTTGTCGAGTACAGCGAAGAACTTTGATTTGTTTATTTTTGAGTAGTTGTGTAGGTTTGACGAGGTTACTGTGACAATTTGAGGCTGGGTGGAGATGGGAGAAGGAAGGTTTTCAGAGACCAAAAGCGTGCGTATTAGACGATGCAGCAGCAGGCAGCAGATAACTCAGCTTTAAATCCTTAGAAAATTTATGTATCAATGACCTAGTACCCTCGTAGTGAACATATCGCAGCGGAGCAAGCAAGCCGCGGTTGACTCAAGCGCAGGAATAGCTGCAGGTGCATAGTAAAATGTAATTTTAGCCTCACTGATGTGTAAAGATTGTTCTAATTGGATGAGTGGTGGATTCTCTGATATCACTTAGCCACCACTGTTATCAATTATGGATTATTATTTTCCTACTTTGAACTTGCCGTAATGACTTATTCGTTATGTACTACACTTAGTCCTTTTCTTTACTTGAATCCTAGTCATAGAGTCATTCTATTTCTATAATGCAGCTCTCTCAATTAATTTCCACGCTATGCATATGCGTCCCTACATATTAGGTATAAGACAGGTATCACCCTGAACAAACAGCATCTTGTAGACTATCCTGATATTGTAATTGTTGTAGCCTTTTTATTTTGCTGCTGCAAATCATGTATTACAAGGCAATAATGTAGAAAATCACAGTTGTCTCACTGTCTCCATTTGTTTTCACCAATCTCGACTCCGCTGCCTTCCGTCTTGACTTTAACAATCCCACCGCAGGAACATAGGTATTGATCCTTTCCCTTAGGAGAAGAATTAGGCACATCAGAATTTCAATCCTACATGGCTTATCCAAAGTAAATAGATTGATGACATCTGATCCACGTCTAGCTGTCCAGATACACGATTTGTACCATTGTCACGCCATGCAGAAGATATGCCAGTATTGAACGCAAAGTTTAACTTCGAGAGATGGGTTGAAGAATGGTGGCTGAACAGCTCGGATTCGGGGTCTCCGTAAAGCAGTTAGAATCCAACTTGATGCTCTTGTGGAAGGATATTAAAAACGTAGGTAGATTTGTCGACAGGCGCGTTTTGTACTATGGGCTCTAAAATCCTGTCAGTATGCAAGCTTTTGCCTGAATGAAATATAGAATTTGAAGTACCTATCTTTGAATGATTAGGATATCTGTCTCTAGGTAAAAATGGTTTTCAAGTTGTGCTGCGAGAATACATGACTTGCGGAACCTTTAACTTGAAGCTGTCTGATGAGCAGCAACTGCCCTCGAAAGCCGAATAATCTTTGGGCATTCCTATTTATTCGTAAATAATAGCTTTTGGTTATCTCTCCCTGTATCTTTTATGTAGTATTCGTTCACGCTGCGAGAACAGACTTGGTTAGCTGCTTGAGACAGTCGCACAGAACGAGGGTAGAAACTTCCTCACCGAAGTTTTGATAATAACAATGGCGTTAGTGGATCTAAACCATGAGAATATCCTGCTGTTAGTTAAGATTGTCATTCAATCAAGATCTAACCAAGATCTTAACTCAACGGTCGCCGTTCCAAAATCTGCAGCGCAACCACCAAATGACGGTTGACCAAGTTTTTCTGCCATTACTCACCTCTATTGATTAATTCTTTGTTTTTGGCAAACTCTCATCCTGCGAAACTGCTTGCGAAATCTCAGCACTGATTTTTTTCAACAACTGCAAATAGCTTGATGTATCAACGTCCTTTAAGCTATACACCCTTGAGAAAGTTAGCCAAAAAGGGGCTCGCCTAACGCTCTGATCATACTCATATCCAACATGATGGGCAAAACATCGGAGATATTGGTAGGAAATAATTGAGTAATTGTTCTTTGAAGACTAATTATTGAAGTATTGAAAATAAAGGTATGGTATAATAAGTGTAAGGTAGAAGAATGTCATTCGCCAAAGTGCGCGCCCGGACCAAGGATGGACAACTACAGATTAAGCGAAGGATTGCCTGGGGAAGTATGGCCTCTTTTGTGAAAACAATTTATTTATAAAGCAGATACAATTATTGATGAAATAAACAGTCTTCATTTTAATTTTCAAACCTATGACTTTCATGTCAAAGAACAATCACACATCCAGACATTATTTAACACTAATAAGATCAAGTGCCACTTCTGCTACTCGAATTCCTCCTTCCTTCTCACACTTCCTCCCAAAGGACTTTCACTCGCCCTATTACCAGCTTCGATCTATTTTACTTAATTGCCTTCTTTTGAAATCGCAGTAAATCCAGCATCTACTCGACTCTGCAGACGCGAACGTACCCTTGACTTGAAGATTGATACTCCCCTATGGGCTGCACATCATATTCAAAGCCTAAGAACACCAAAAAATCGATACTGACTTGCAAAGAAATCCAGCACAGTATTCCATTAGCACTTGCCAGGCTTTAGACCAGAATCAGCTCGATGTTCTACATTAATCGACCTTCCATCCTTTCCGCAATTACCTACCACCTCCTGAACCTCTACGACTAAATTTATCGTCAATATAGACCATACATCTTGGTTCCAAAAGAGCCGCAGCAGCCGCAGACGAAAAAAAGAGCCCAAGTACCAGGTAGGCGCGTTGCACGTTTTTGATAACGTCGTCACAGCGAAAGGCCATCGAATAGAATTATCACATTCAATGCATCCGCGGTTTGAAAGCAATTTGGTGGATAAAGATGCGAAGAAGCAACTTCTGGCTAAAATTGTCGAGATTACTGGATCAAATTAACTTCTGGCAGAGGTACTTTTCCAAGTTGTAACGGAGTTGAAACCAAGTCACGAAGTTGCAGTGATGGTGGAGAGCAAATCTTCGAGGGCAAGAACGATGCTAAAGAGCCTTTAGATCGCTGGCTACGACAAAATAGCATTATCACATACTAGTACTAGCGATAATGTTACAAGCCATCATGGCTAGCTTACTATTCAACTTGGTCAAGTTTCTAAAGACCATCTCCTCAAAAAGCTTAACTAACCACAAGATTTTCACAGCCGTTCAAAAGATTCTACGAAAGCCTGCCCCCGATCTGATCTATAAGATTTTTTATGCTCTTTACGACGGTGCCGAATCACAACTTCTCGAAGCTATCTGCCCTGCAGCTACGTTCCAGCAAGATTTACTGCGATACAAGCACGACTAGTTTTTAAAATCACTGCCAACTACAGTTTTGTTGTCAATATGTCTCTTTGTTGGGTAGAGATTTGGATAATACCAAAATTTCAAGCAAAAACCTCGTGCCAGGGTCTTCATGATGGCAACCACACAAAAATCAGCATGCCTTTCTCCTGGAAAGTCTAGGGAAATAAATACAGCTGCAACGCTTTATTGGGGCGAACTGCGAGGAAGTTAGAGGCAGAATATGATTATAAGGGAAACGATAAGAGAACGATCCAAGGCATTTTGTTAGGGAATAACCAAAAGGATGTGACTGATCGCGTCATTAGTCCTAGCTTCTTTTCTGGAAGAGGGCCCAAAAGGAAGGAAACATTGTCACAAGGGCTGGATTGGAAAGATGGAGGGAAGGATACGCTGGAGATGACTTACCAATTGCAATGCTATCGGAATTTGCGTGTGTTAGGAACTAAGCACTTGGATATGACAAGGACTAGAACAATTGAGAGGGCATGGTATTGGCGGCGGATGCATGCATGCATATATCTCTCAAATTGGGTATATATAACTAAGTAGATAGAGGCAGGGAATCAGAGAGGCTCCCCTGACGCCATGCCAGATTCAAGAGGACTATTAACTAGTCCGAAATTAAGCAGAGAACCAATACTAACTATCTTCTTCAGCTTTGTGTTTATCACATATTATAAGTACTTGATGTAGTTGATTATTATCATTGGCAACCCGGATATCTTCTGGGTGGATGTAAGATCCTAGGTTATCTGTTTATTTTATAATTTTCCTTTTCCTAGATAATCTACAATGTACATATCACAGGCCTATTCCATGGCATGACCCGCGTAGCGTTAGCTATGGTTAGAGTAGATCAAATAGATTATGAATTTACTTCTACTCCTAACTAAGCAGAGTTTATTTCTAAAACTATCCAGCCTTCTCAAATGGATCAAACGATTTCTTCCTCTATGTGTACCCACCTACGCATCACCACTCAATTTTCATTTCGATTCGTTCTTCATACTACCTTGTTTCTTTCTTGTTCTTCCTTTTAGTTGCTTGTTCCCTATTCCAGGGCAACTTCTCCCAAGCTTCCCCGGTCTTTTCTACAACACACTCTCAAACACTCAGCATGAATACTACTACTCCTATTTTATAACATGAATATATGTTGTTCTAGCTCATCACCTATTCCGACGCTCATTATTTGAGAATCTGCCTATGAGCTGTAGACTCATACAGTCTCCCACGCTATACTCCCATGCTGCATAATCTTCACTCCTATAATAATATTCTGAAAACCCTATTACAGATATGATACTTAGCTTGCACATGTATTCATAGAGTATACATATCCATCGATTTTATTATATCTTTAAGCCCGCCATAAGTCTAGTACCCTACTTTCCGGCCACCCCTAATTCCGGCCACCTTTTTATACCAAAAATCGTAATTTTCACCTATTAATAGCTTTATAGTTGATGAATAGAATTGTTACGAGGTTTGCCGTCTAGATCACGTGGAAGTGCTCTAGGCTCTCGAGGTGGTTTATAACTAGGCGTCAAGCAGGGACTTAAAGTAATGACAATAATGCAATTCGTAACTAATAGTAGAGTATACTAAATGATTGATCTTGAGCACGAAGCTCTATACAAAAGAAATCCATCTTGATTATATAGTCCTTCGTGCCTATGGTTAACTAGGAATCGTCGTTCCTGGTTGTTCCTAGGAACGTTCGTTCCTCACCGTTCCATCACATGTTTTATGGTCATGTGACATACTAATCGTTTTGGGCGTAACAGATACTGTACTGGAGGCAGCGGCTGCCTAAGGTTTCGTCTGGTTGGTAGTTATGGGTTAAGGCTTTATAACTGGTATTCACTTGGAAGTGAATTCGTTACTAGATCAAGTAGAATGTAGGTAAACTAATTGATAACTAAGTTGAGCACGAAGCTCCTAAACTATGAAACTACTCTGACTATATAATGATCGATAAAGGGAGCCCCCAGGAGCTTTCTGGCTCCTCAGGGCTCCTTATCACGTGATTCCTTTTCATCCCAAGATACTAATCCTAATGGTGAATCGTGACATCATCCCATCATATAATACCTATTTTACTTCCAACCTCATACTCCCACTGTTAGATAACGCTCCTGTTTCAATTTCATCATCTCAAAATAAAATTCTAATGTATCATCTCATGTGAATTTCAAGACAAGGCCCATACGATGTCAACATAAACAATCCCTTTCTTTCTCGTCTTCCACCCCTAACACTCCTCTGCTTCCCTTCTGGATCCCCAATCTCATCCCCAACCTCACTCCTCCACAGAAATATACCAGTGTTATCCAAATACTGAAACTGATTCTGCATAAAAACTCAAGCATACACAACACGCAAATTATAATCTTCAGCCTGTCCAACTAATTTAACTAATCCAACCAAACCAGGACCTATCCATCACAGGATTCCCACGTGATGACACAAATCTCTCGCTATGTCCCAGCCACGTGATTGTGATAATTATGTTGCATATCTAATCTGATCTGATCTGATTGATCTCCTTCCGCATAAATGGATCCAATTATTATTGACTTGCTTGTATAACCGAGGAATATCTTCGACGACGTTTGTGTACCTAGGTATACTCCGTACATTTCGTTTGAGAGGCATACGACCTATACCTATACCTATACCGTCTGCATTTCTTTCCGTGCTTCCCGTCAAATAACCTGTCTCTCATCACATAATGCTTGAAAGATCTAAAGAGGCCTCGTATATACGAAGTAACCCTTCCCATAATGAGATACTAGTTGACCTATTTGTACCGATTAAGTAAGTATCTGGACATGTACCTATACGAGTGGTCGGAGAGTAACTCTACGATGACGGCTAAAGATAGAGCAATAGCAGATACCAGATTTCCATATGGATCAGATGCAATCCGCGTATAACATCCAATAAAAGCCCTGTGAAACATACATAGACATAATTTGCTGACGACATCTACTGTGGGCGACGATAATTAGAAAATCGGTGTTAACGAGGTTCATCATGAAGTTGAGATGAAAATATCCCAATAACCTGTTTGCAGCAGCAACATCTACCCAATTCTTGGGCTGGGCTCGCTTGAAGCTAACATCAGATCGGGTTAGAGATTAAACACGTGGCGGACGGCTGATTCATGTTGAACCAGTTACAGTGATGAATTTATGATTAGGATAATATGACGAACATCAACTGCATCTCGAAGCATTGAGTAAGTTTTGAGGTTATTTCAACGTTAGAGGGGCAGATGCAGATGGATGAGAAGATCAACCTCTCTTGGCTCTCTTGGGACTTTCTTGCATTTCAGCTACTATTGGAAATATCAAATATTGCCACCAATGCTGCATCTCGATTTCATGCTGTGATCGCCCAGAGGAGATACGGAGTAGTTTTGTGAATTTACTTGAGAGTTGTGACTTCACGGCTGAAGGGGACTCAAAAGGGTTCTCAAGGAGGTTTGTTTGTAAAGCAGCATTGGATTCAGGGTCTCATTCGCCTCATTGAAGATAACGGAGTAGAAAGCGAAAAATGTTCAGAAATTGATAAGAGCATCATTTCAACATCTTGGGAAAGGAAGTTTGATCTGGGGGCAAGTCAGATACAATTTGTTATTAAGTTGTCGATTTCAAATCTTCACAATCTCCAGTCTTCGGTGTCTTTTAAAATTCTTTCAAATTCATGAGTAAAATTTACATAATCATATGATGAAAATGACAAATTTTCAATCTCCATCGCGTGATCTTCAAGCCTGAGGCATTAATATTCGCCTACCACTTTACCATTTTGGGGATCAAATTGTCGCCTCTTTGAAGTGAAGTCTTGGGAGGATAAGTATCAATTGAACAACAAAAATAAGAACAATTAAACTTCTTCTATGGATACTATTTTGATTGCATTGTGATAAACTCCACGATTTGATCTCATGATAATTAATTGGATTTACCCCAGGAACCAAATTTACATACGAGTTTCCGAGTAATATATCAAAAAAGCAAGATTTCCCGATTACTGGCGGATACCACATGCCATCATTTCTGGTACTTTTTCAATGATCCCCCCCGCATTTTGCTATCAAACGAAATGAATGATTTGATGGAACCTTGTCTCACACTAAAAATCTTAGAGAGCCTTGGCTTGTGAAACCTACCGGTCCCTTGGTTGGAATAATAGAGAAGCACGCAATAACTCAAAATTTGACCTCAACTGCCACCGACCCTCATCTATTTCTGATTGCGCCCAAACAGAAGAAGCTCAATTAATCTCTTTAATTAATTCAATCCATTCAATCCATGGTTTGATCAGTCGCACTATCGAGCAAATTGCTCAGCGAACCTTACTTCAACACATTGCACCTTCCATACATCGACCTGGACTTAACTCCGATTCCATCACCCTACCACCGCTGGACGCCCTGTTTTGACGTTCAATTTATCCACCATTCCTAAAGATTTCACCATAGCATGGTCAGTATGGCGTCAAATCGTGACGAATCATTGGCCTTGCGCCATAATGTTGAGCGGGATTTGGAGCGGTCAAGAAAGAATACTTCAAAGGAGGACAATCGCGAATTTTGTTTAGCAACGAAGCAACAAACGAATCGCGATAACCTCGAGCCTGATATTGTTGAATCTGGAGAGCCACTTTCAATGGAGGACAACTGCAGAGCCGATCACGATCATTCCGATCCCACCATAACTATCTCATCTACCAGTAAATTGGCAGGTCAAACCGTTGCGCCATTCCTTGCAAAACATATCCCAGAACAGTACGCACCCCTTGGACCCCCACAAACCACTTCAACTTCACGAAAGGATCCAAATACAAAATATTGTTATCGACATCGACCTGATTCAAAATGTCGAAGGACCGCCGATGAACCTACAATGGAGAATTTACAAAGGGTGCGTCACACAGTCTACCCCTCGTACCCCTCTACAAATCGATATATCTACTAACATGATAAAAGGAACTCGAAAGTTTGTCGCAATCAGATCAACAAGGAATATCTCATGTTTGGACACTTTTCTCTGCTGCACCCTCGAAACATCGAAACCTTATGCTTCAAGGCATCCTATCACAATGCTGTTTCCCACAACTATCCTACCTCTCCTGTGCGGTCAAGAATCTCATTCGAATCGACTTCATCACCGCTTTACCTTCCGAAATCTCCTTCAAAATCCTTTGTTATCTCGATACAACTTCCTTATGCAAAGCTGCTCAAGTTAGTAGGCAATGGCGAATCATGGCGGACGATGATGTAGTGTGGCATAAAATGTGTGAACAACATATTGATAGGAAATGTACAAAGTGTGGATGGGGTTTACCACTATTGGAACGGAAACGATTGAGGGACTGGAAACGGCAACAACAATTGAGAGCTACAGGTCTTGGTCTTAATGACCGCTTACCTCAAACCACATCCATGCCAGATGCTTCGCGCAATACAGAAAGAAGCGTTGTGACATTAAATGCTTCGGGAAAGAGATGTGCTACTGAGTTAGAGTGTTCAGAGGAAGGTTCGAAGCGACAGCGTACCAATCCGGAGGATTTATATCTTGGAAGACCAAAGTTTAGACCATGGAAGGATGTGTACAAAGATAGGTTCAAGGTGGGAACGAATTGGAAATATGGCCGATGCTCGCTGAGGATATTTCGGGGCCATCGTAATGGCGTTACTTGTTTACAATTCGATGATAACATCCTCGCTACGGGATCATATGATGCCACCATCAAAATTTGGGATATCGAAACGGGAGAATGTTTACGAACTTTGCGAGGTCACACATCTGGAATTCGAACTTTACAATTTGACGATACCAAACTAATCAGTGGAAGTCTCGATAAAAGTATTCGAGTTTGGAATTGGCGTACTGGAGAGTGTATGTCTTCTTATCCAGGACATACTGATGGAGTTGTTGGCCTTCACTTTGAAGGAAATATTCTTGCCTCAGGCTCTATTGATCGAACCGTTAAAGTCTGGAACTTTGAAGATAAATCTACATTCGGTTTACGGGGTCACAAAGATTGGGTCAATGCCGTCAAGGTCGACTCTGCTTCAAGGACTCTGTTTTCTGCTTCTGACGATTGCACCATTCGCCTCTGGGATCTTGATACTCGTCGTACGATTCAGACCTTCGAAGGTCATGTGGGTCCAGTTCAACAAGTCACTATTCTTCCAGCAGAGTACGAATTTGATGATGTAGATGTTGAAGAAGCAGATGATGGAACATCAAGTATAGCATCATCAACTGAACTCAATCGTCCCATAGGAGAAAGTTGTTCTTCCTCCCAAACCTCCCCTCTCTTCGACTCCTGGCCAGCAGGTCGTCCTCGTCCACCCCGCTACATTCTTACGGGCGCTCTAGATAACAATCTTCGTCTCTGGGATGTATCAACTGGTCGTTGTCTCAAAACTCTTTTTGGTCATGTGGAAGGTGTATGGGCTCTTGCAGGTGATACATTGAGGGTTGTGAGTGGTGCCCAAGATATGATGACGAAAGTATGGGATGCTAGGACAGGAAAGTGTGATAGGACGTTCACGGGTCATAGAGGACCGGTCACGTGCATTGGTTTGAGTGATAGTAGAATGTGCACTGGAAGTGAGGATTGTGAGGTTAGACTTTACAGTTTCAAGGGGGATATGGAAGAGACGGTCGATACGGGATTTATTGAGGAAGTTGCACAGTGAGTGTATAATGAGACTGTGGGCTGCGCTGCTATTTTCATGGTTTTGGGTAAGATTTGTGTCGATGGAATGGCTGGTCATTGATATCCATGGATGGGGGTGTAAGATACCTTTTTGCGATGTTTATTTCTTAATTTTTGAGGATGTTTCCATGCAAACGGTGGTCGGAAAATATCAAATGGAATCAACGCTGGATATAAACTGGAGTCTACGGATTGGTGTCTGGGAATTTGGTGGCATGGAAATCGATATGATTCATCTTTGACTGAATGGATCTGAGCAAGCAATATAAATGGAATTGCTTTGGATCTGGCTTCTGAAATATTTGAATGAAGATCCCATGAGAATATTGAACTTGTTTTAATTCTTTTTAAAGGTGGATGCGTAAATAAGGAAGGGATGGTGATAGATGGGTAGGATAGATACATCAATATCTATGTTTGTATTGCTCCTGGATATATGCCATGGTTGTATGGTGGGGTAGATATATGGATGGATGAATGGATTAGATAGAAGTCTCGAGAGGGAGAAGGAGAGGATAGGAGAGTGGATAGATAGATAGATAGATAGATAGATAGATAAGAGTATTATCTGTCTGTCTATCTTTCATATGTATGTATGGGTTGTGAAGTTGATAATGGAATTTAATGGAATTGAATTAATTAAGTATTTTGGATTATGATATTAAACTGAACTGTGAATTGTGAATTGTAACTGTGATAAACATCCTAATGTAGCAAGTAATCTTACAGAGACTAGATTTATACCTATCCGTTGTCTTTTCAATACTTCTAGGTAGGTAGTTGATTATTAAAGATGTTCTTTTATCTGTGAATTTGCTTTTAAGGTTTTAGAGCTGTGATTGTTTTTTATTTTTATTTTTATTTTTTTTGGTTGATGGATGAATGGAATAATATATTAGGTACCTAGTATGTATGTGGAGGAGTTATAATTATAATTATAATGAATTTGGATTTGGATTATACTTGGGTGATTATATATATATGTATAGTTGGGAAAAGATTTTTTGGGGGGAGATTGGGTTGTTGGGTGTGTGTGTTGGAGATGGATGTGATGAGTGATAAGAGAATGATGAGAGGATGGTTAAGAATTGACTTGTCCAGTGTGGGGTGGGGGGAGATTCTTATTTTTGTGTTCTTATATTTGTATATATGTCAATATCAAGTTAAGTTTTTTCTATTTAATTGTAATTATCAAGTGGTGATTTAGTTATATTACAAGAGGGAAAGACTAGTAGTCAACTAGTTATATTTAAGATCTTACTTAAGATTTCTCGCTTAATCTGTATTAAATAGTTGGGATTGGGGTTTTGAACTTGGAGTTTGGGGTTTATAATTTCACTGGACTAAATGTTGATTGGTTGGTTAGAGTATAGTGTTATATAATTATTGGGAGTTTTTTTCTTATTATAGATTATAACGAAAATGAATTTGCAGGTTATAACACTTGATATAGGAGCTGAATACGTGGTGTATTAAATACTCTTCTTTTACGAATATTGTATCCGAAGTCTAAGATGAAGCGAGACTGGATTATAAATTTAACTTCCCTATTAGTAGATTCTTTTCCTTTATATATAAATATATCCATTATTATTTTAGATAAATTTGAGTATTTCGTGCGACTATAACGTGTGGTGCAATGTAGAGCAAGAGTATGAATTGCTGTAGGTAATTGTTAGTCCTAGATTCTTTCATTATTATCACCTACTCATTCACCTGCTCATTAATTTTCTAATATCTTTCACTACTCAAAATTACGCTACACTCCGTGGGCTCTTGTCATATTTCTCAGCTTTTTCAGTCTTGTTGAATTTGCGGCGCGACATCTATAATAATACTTCTCGACTCTAGCTATCCTTCTCCTTTAGATGGGTACAATCCCAGGCTTAATTAACCAAATCTAAGCCGACTTGGAATGTACTCTATACCCCTGACTCGGGTAATCCACAAAATCCTTATATCTTTTCCCAAAAACTTCTCCGCACCTCTTCTTCCCTCGAAAGCCAATGATCATCCATGCTGAAATATTAATCAAACACTGTATTTCGACCCTATAACCCGAAAAGTTTGGCCCTTGTGATCGTTCAAAAGTCTTGTATGATCCAAACCACCAAGCATTTTCCGGTTTTCGCGAGAATTCAACATAAAAAAGAGAGCTGGGCTGAGCATATGCCTACCCACTTGTTTCGAGGAGGGAATGGGAAATCTTAGTGATGATCTCGCTGGATGGGCCTCAACAGTTCATGATTCTGGGACTAGATGGTCTTGTATCTTATTGCGCTATACAGGGAATATACAATATTGAAAATGATGGAAAATAGCTACAGTTGGGAACGGATGCGAAGTTATATTAGTATATGGATTCCAAATGTTTTGTCAGACGGTGGCACAATTAGACACACTTCGCTTAAGTGCTTTGGGAGGCAATTATTTAGGCTTCAGAACAAGACTAGGAACGATATTTCCTCCTCGTGGGTGATGGAGTTAAATTTCTAAGAGTAGATAGATAAACTGAATTTTGGCATGATCGAATATTGAGGGAATTAGGGATGGGAGAGTCCATTGAAATGGTAATGGTAGCTCGTGGAGACTTGCTTACAATCTTTCTTCACTCTGCTTTTATACCGTTGACTTTGCTTCTAGGGCGGATATATTTAGGGTGCTATTAGATGACTATAATGACAAACGGATGGCTTTTTGCTGTACCTTACTGGTGTAATTGCAGTCAGGCTCAAGTATCTAGCATGAGAGAAATTTAGTGAAAGTTGAAACAGTAGTATACGTACTTTTGGAAACATACCATGGTAACTCACAATATCGGTAGTGAAGAATACTCCCTCAGACCTTCTCACTTTCCCAAAACCTTTCATATTTTTTCACATTCCTTTAGGGCCCTCAGCTCTTTGCGTTCTCTCTTTCTTCCCCGGAAGAAATAGATTAATCTAATTCTGTTAGAATGTAAAGAGTTTAATTATAATGTACAATAAATATTCATAATCCTATATTAGAGATTTACAATCCATGATAATTGAACTACAACATTGCAGTATATTACATATACAGGAGCTCAATAACTTGTTCTAGATTGTCCCATAAGAGTGACATAGCTATAACTTTAATTATAAATACTACCATGGCCCAACGTTCTAAAGTGGCAAGTTTATCATAAAGACCTAGCATGGCCACCTATCCAGCCGAAATTCTAGGATTAGTTGTAGGAATCAATTATCATTCTCTTTTAAGGCTCCAAATAGGCAATCGAACCTTGGGAATATAATTTACTAAAACCTTGTCATTAACGAAGTGTGGTTATAGGGATTAAGCTTTATCAGATCTTCCCCGACAAGTTCAGACCATTACTCTCGTGAACAGAAGTATAGCTCCATCGGTAGAAGATTCAGTGTTAAGTTCAGATTAGCGAGTTCAATGGCATAGTACGGCTGGTTTCTTTACCTAGAAGGAAATTTGGAATATGAAGCTAAATGGCCTCCGTAGTACAAGAGAATATGAGATTGAATACTTGTGATTCAGTATTTATGAAGCACTTTTATTGTATCAAAATGACTTCAGGATTTGTGAGTCATCTCTAGTGTAAATACGGCAGTAGATGTATTGATAAAATGCAAGCATTCTCTAATACATTATACAGCCAGAACGTCACCCGTAGTGAAATTTATTTAGACTCACTCTTATACGGCAGTATCCTAGAATGAACATGTTTCTGATATTTTTTTCTTTTTAACTAGAATGCCATTCTTCTATTCGTTATTAGGAGCAACATTCACAAAGACCAACAAATTCATAAAGGCCCAACAAAACATTCCAGTAAAGTATAGAAAACTGTGGACACTTCCTATCTTTCAAGACGAGAAACAGAAAGCAAATGATGCATCCGAGCAACCCCAAGTCGGTAACTAGAGCTTTCAAACGTGTTGCTGAGACAGCTAGCCCGATTATTTGCCCTGGAACCGAGGGCCAGAATCAAGATACATTCAATGAACATACTAAATCCCCGTTGCTTACAAATTCCAGTAAGTGCTCTCCACCATCAAGTATGAAATGAACTTTAGCCCTTGAAATTGAACGTCTAAAAGATCATATCAAATCAGAAGCTAACATAATCACAACTAGATGACGCAACATCTAAAAACCAGAGCAAATTCCAAGGTTTCCCCCTCGACATTGTGAATATAATACTCGACATCTTGCAAGAAGACCACGATAAAGCTACAATCATCTGTCTCGGCCTCACATGCCGAACCTACTGGAACTATATCCAAGGAAAACCATATACTTACTTTCAATTCGATAAAACCGAAGATCAGATAGCCCTTCGAGAATATCTCGCCGCATTTATCGAAACCTGGACGGGCCCAAATTATCGTCGTTTGGGACTTCATAGTCGATATATCCAAACACCATTTCTGTCTCGTGCCGTATATGGGAACCTTCCTGGAACAGAGGAAAAAGCTTTGGATGATCGATGGAAAGACTATAAATCCCTGGTTATTCATGAAGAGGATCAAGAAATTCACTTTACTCCTAAACCTCTCGGTTTAAACGCAGAACAATGGTATCCTCTCGCAGCACGAGAACTCAAAAAGCACATCTTGCGTGGGGAAGCCCGAAATGATAAGACTGAAATCTATAGCGCATATCGGGCTTCTTCTCTATGTCGCTGGCTGGTGTTTAATGGAGGCGATAAGTGGTTACTGTATAGTAGAGATCATGTGGCGTATGGAAAATCCTCACAGTTTTCGCTTAATCCTTTGATTGCGATGTTGATGGCTTTTCCGGATGATGGAAAGTCGTGGACGATGAAGTCAAAGAAAGTCTATGAAGAGAAGTATTTAGAGGGGAAATGCTAAAGAGAATTGGAAGGGTAGCAACCAAAATCGCTTGATTGGGTGCTATATTGCAACGAAAGAATTGGAGAAATTTCCATCGCTTTCAAGCAAGTCATGGGATAGGTACATTTATACTTTTGCGTTACGAGACACTGTACGCTGCTTCGTCCTTGATGTGGCAAAAATTGGGAGTAGCTTCATTGACGATGATAACTGGTTTAACTGGCTTGAGAGATATTCAAAAATCAATAATATTAAATACCATTAAGTCAGCACCAAGTATATTGAATATGTGTAAAAGTGGTTGAAAATCTGAATCTTGTGCATGAAATTTGATTACTCGCCCCAGTATCAAGGCTGAATGGATTTTATGCTATCTTACTATAGCAGGCAATCCAGGGTTTTGCAATAGGAGTTTTCTAAATGTATTTTATATTCTTGACACTTCAAGAATCATCTAACCTTCAGCAATCTTCTTCCCAAATTTATCTTTGGAAAGAATCCATAGAATCCTTCGATCTCTTTGATTCCTCGCATTGTTGAATGGCATGACGCGCATACCATTTTCAGGGGTGTTTAGCGATTGAACGAGGGTTGATACCCCGCATTTTCCTTTTGGTCGTGTCGCATCTCCCTCATCATTCCTTTGACACTTTGCATATGCCAACAGAGACAATATGGTGACTATTATTGTTGTCTCTCTGATACTCTTCCGCAGAAGCAATGCATAAATATCTGCATGCCATGCTGCATATGAGAAGAGCAAATTTAACGGACCCCAATCGGAATGTGGTGACAATTGCCGCAATGCAAAACTTCTACTCATCATCCTTAGGCGATTTTGCTCATAATTCATACATATTGATGAATCATAATCAATCAGTACGAAACACGATAGATGCGTGGAGAAAACGGCCAGAACATTAACTGCGAGACTGCTTCTGTTAAGAGAAATTGCCAACCATCTGTTTGTTTTGTGGGTGTGCACCATTGACGATTTCCCACGTGCGAGATCAATCTACTGATCCCCTCGACGATATAATTAATACCAATTCAGAACCAAATTTTCATCAACAAGAAACAAGAATGATAAATGATGGAGTAGAGATGGTAAATTTCCGGTCTCGGGCGTCAGGAAAGAGGATAAAAGAAAAGCTTTAAATAAATTCAAGGCCTCGGATGATAGATCGAGGGATGCATCTAATGCCAAGCTCCGATGATGAATAAATACGCATATAGTGGATGTATATGTACGGTGTACTTTGTAGGCACAAAGTCGATTGCTTCCTATTTCGGTATTATGGTCGCCAATTAGTTAATCGTACATCGATTCATCTTTTCAGATGGAAGTTGTTATAGATAATCCTACCATGGAATGTCCTTGCTACAGTATGAAAAGATAGTAAGGTTGTAAGTTCTATCTAGCGATAAATTTCCTATCATCATTTTTGGATCTTCACGATAACACCGTCAATATAAAATTAGTCCTCAACACACATTTTTTTCACAACGAGCAACACATCAAGGAAAAATAATTACATTCCAACTCAATCATCCTATCACAAAATCGGACCTCCTCCCCTCCCACTCACTTTTATTCCAAATTTCTAATCTCACATCTCACATCTACAAGGTGACCGACCACTTATCAAACGGCAAAACCCCGGATTCCTCCACCCCCATCTTCGACTTCAACAACCTCAACTTACCACTCACTATTTACTCCACAAGGAAAAAAATCAATTACTTCATAGCAGGTACAATAATCAAATTGAATCAATATCTATGTGGGGCGCAAAGATAAATACAACAGCCAATTTGTAACTAACTACATTCATCCTCATCCTCGACGATCTCTTCACTTTCCACGAAGTTGTGGACGGAAACCAGAAGCTTTTTCGGTGACGTCCGTTAAGGTTGCGATATTAAAGTACCGATTTTACCGTGTATTATAACCTTATATATCTCGTGACAAGATCTTCTTGTACATATAAGAAGATTTTTCATATTGTCAATTTTTCTTTCATTTGGTCGACATCCGACTTCAAGATGGTTGGTTCACGAATCATCTCAGGTCTTCTGCTAGGCATTGGAAGCTTCGCACGTGGTTCTGATGCAGTTGGCTATGGACCTAGCTATGCTACGAGCAATTCTACCAAATATGTCATTATGGATAATGATTGGGGTTCAACGGGTTTCATACCCTATCTCATAGCGCTAGATGCTGGATGGGAAATCTTAGGTCTAACATCCTGTAAGCATTACTTCATCTTCAAATCCCACCACGCCTTTCCCATCCCCGTTCATCTCCAGCTAACCCATTCATTCTATCTCAGCTACGGCAGATACATGGCAACACCAAGTCGCACTCCACGCACTAGCCACCCTCTCGCTCGGCAACCTAACGACTTGTATCCCCGTAGTACCAGGATCTACATTCCCGCTCTTGAACACGCCAGCCAGATTCCAAGCCTGGGAGGCAGTTCATGGAAAACTTCCTTGGCAAGGCGCATTTGCTCCTTATAATGCTACGGCGGAAGCAGCGGGGAAAGATCCCACGTCGGGTGATGATCCGTTTAGAGTTGTCCAGGGGGCTTTTGTAGAGGGTTTCCCGAGTAATTATTCGATTGATGCGTTGAAGAGAAGTCAGAGTGCTAGTGCGTTTATGATTGAGATGGTGCATAGATATCCGGGACAAGTATCAATATGTAAGTTTACACACTTTCAACCCGACTACCTACTCATCAGATGATCGATGACAAACCAATATCATCTATCTATCTATCTATCCACCATCCCAAACCCACAAACTAACACTCCCTCCCCCCTCCAAAAGATTCCGGCGGCTCCCTAACAAACATCGCGCTCGCCGTCCGCTCAGACGACAACTTCGCCTCCCTCGCCAAAGAACTGATAATAATGGGCGGCTACATCGACGTGAACCTCCTCCAAGTAACCGGCAGCATCAACCAAGCCGACATAAACTCCGACATAAACCTAATGATCGATCCCGAAGCCGCCAAAATCGCCTTCACGGCCAATTTTCCCAAAATCACTTTTGCGGGAAATGTAGCAAATCAGGTGATGAGTTCGCAGGAATTTCTGGATGAAATCGCTGAGGTGAGGAATGCGTATTCGGAATTGGTGCATGGGTATTATGGGACGAAATTTCCTTTTTGGGATGAGACGGCTGCGGCGATTTTGGTAGATGGGGGTATTGTGGAGAATTCTACCAGTTGTGAGTTTACCTCCTTTCTACCTCCTTCCTTTTTCCTTTTCCTTTTCCCTTCCATAAACAACTAAATAAATCCATCCAAACCACTCAACTAACTTCCTCCTCCCCCTTCTCCTTCACAGTCTACATAGACGTAGATACATCCTACTCCTCTCCCTCTTACGGGAACATCCACGCCTACCAAGCCGCACTGATGCCCCCAGGCTTACGAAAAGTCGAATACGTAAATCGAATTAATGGGGAGAAGTTAAAGAAAATGATTAAGAGAGCTGTGCAGTATCCTAGGAATTGTTCTACGATGGGTCGTTAATTAGGGTGGATGAGCTTAGGTGTTTCTTTTGATCTTTGAATTTTTTATTTTTTATTCAAGAAACACAAGGTTGCTATACGGTTTATTAGTTGCGGAGCATGGAATGCATATAATCAGTGTGGTATGGCATTATTCTCATCCAAGTCATGCGATGGGAGTTACAAAAGAGCAAATTTAATTCGAAATCATTTAACCATACAATTCACAATAAGAAGCACCACTACAAAACCACAATGACAAAGCACGTGAATCTAAAAATATCGGTATGCTATATGCTATTTCTACCAGTGCAACGCGGTGCAATGCTATAAAATTCATCGGCCGTCCATCCATTCATTTATCAAAAACCAGAAGCATGGCTAAAACGAAAGAAATTTTAATACACAGTACAAAAAATTGTTTCATCCTCTGGTCCCTTGATAGCCATTCTTTATCTTTCAACGGCACTAATTATTCATTGTTCCGCATCCCACATCCCACATCCCATAATCATTATCATTGATTCCGTCCCATCTTGCCCCTTGGCCTATACTCATATTATCTTATCTATATCTCCTAAATCACGCCCAAGTCATGAAATTCCTATGACCTCCCCAAAAACTTCAATGCCTCCTCTCTTTCTTCAACAGGCAACATAGATAAAACCTGTCTGATACCAGCCATAGCACCACCACTCAATCCTCCCTTAGCACCCGGTCCGCTAGCTCTAAGCAATGTTGCCACCTCAGCAGCTACACCCTCAATCTTCAGGTGTTCAACCTTCTCATGGACCACCTTTCTGTTCTCCTCGTACCACATAGCTACACTCTTGTCATCAGTTTCGAAAGCTGGGATAGCAGTCCAGGCAGCAAGCTTTCTCAAGTTCTCTGGTCTGGTACCATTTGGTGATTTCGAGTTCGCGGATAACATGCGCTTGAGGATATACTCCTCATTGACACGTCTTCGTACACGCCAGTAAAAGAATCTTCTGGCCTCTCTCCACTTCAATGACTCTCTAATGACACCCTTTGCCTTCATACGTCCAGCACGATCATGGAGATCAGCGAATTGAAGTGAAATTTGATTGTAGACAGGAAGTAATGCCTTCTCTCTCTGCTCAACCCTAAGCTTGACCTCAGACAGCTTTTCTTGACCAAGAGAATTGTCTAGTAATTGTTTCTTGAGTTCGGCGTATTCTGGATCGAGACGGGCCATGGTCTCCAATTGCTTATCTTTGCGGTATTTGATGTTGACAATACCTTCTGGTTCCAAAACACCACCACGAGCATCTTCATCAGCATACATCTCCATGTACTCTGGGTTGATGGTAGGATCAACAACGACCCAAGAACCACCTCTAAGCTCACCGAATGGTGGGATGTAAACGAAGATTGGCTGCTCATATTTGACCAACGCATCGACAATATAACTTCCATACTTGAGCACTTCGTTATACATATCACGCTGACCACCAGAGAAACCTCTCCAGTTAGCCAAGATCATCAATGGTAATTGTTCACCATTGTTGAAATCCTTGATAGCTTGAGCGGTCTTGAAAGCAGAGTTAGGATACCATACTCCACCAGCCTCATTACTGATTTGTTCGGTTGAATCAGGATTTGCGGGATCGGCTGGTGTGATGTTTTCAACGGAGCGAGTTTCAACAGCAATGACACCCATGGGGATACCACCAAGACGAGCACGACCAACGACAACAGTCTTTGCCCAACCGCCAAGGGATTCGACGAAAGAGTCCTTATCGAAGAGACCGGACATGAATCCTTCGTCATCTTCCTTACCAGCAATGATGTTTCTAACATCGTAAGGTTGTTTCTCAGGTGGAGTGTAGACAATATCGCGATCCCAAGAGTCAGCAGCAGGTCCAATTGGCAAAGGACTATTTCTCTTGTCAGGTACATAGGCCATCCACTCAACAATCTTGGAAACACCCTCGAAATCATCATTGGCAGTCATGTGAGAGACACCATTCTTGTACATAATTTGAGTACCGCCAAGTTGCAAGTTGGAGGTATAAACCTCGCGACCGAGGAGTTTGTTGATGGCAGGGGCACCGGTGAGAATGATGGGTTGTCCTTCGATTTGAATAGCACGTTGACCAAGACGAACCAAGTATGCACCAATACCTAAGAGTGTTAGCAAAAATGACCATAAACTTCAGAAGAAAATACATACCGACCGAACGACAAGTTACCAAAGTGATGGTGAAAATGTCCTCATAAGCTCTTGAAGTAGCTCCAGCAATCAAACCAGAACCCTTCAAACACTCAACACCAAGGCCATCCTCCGCACCAACAATGGTAACAATCTTATGTCTCGTCTCGCCATCCTCAACAACCTCCTCGGTGATAACATCCTTAGACTTGCCGTCCTCAAATCTCTTCTTGGTATCGGTGTCCAAGTAAAGGTATTTGAAACCAGCTTCTTGTCTCTCGGGGTTTTTCCAAGCAACCTTGAAATGAGGCATGAGTTCTTCAGCCATACCAATACGAGCACCAGAGTTTGCAGAAAGGTAAATACGTGGAATGCCCATCTTTCTTGCAAGTTCTGTGCACTTGTGGAAGAATTGATCTTCCTTTGGTCCGAAACTACCAATTCTGAAGGTGATATCATTGGCAACGATGACGAATTTTCTGCCTCGAGGATACTCTGGTGTCTTGGCGGTTACGAGCCAACCAACCATACCATGAGTATTGGTACCAGGTTCGCGCAAGACCTCAGCAAGACCATCATTGTCATCCAATACAAGCTCACTGTACTCAATACATTCGCCAGTAGGTGGTTGTTTATCAGCCAAAGAAGAGTGCTTGCGAACAGCCTTAACCCAGCTGTTCTGAATGGCTTGTCTGAATAGCTCTGGGAAATCGTAGACGTATTGAGTACCCATGAGATGAGCCTTGTATCTCTTTGGCTGCAACCATTCCTTGGTAGGATAAGGAGTAGATACTGGTCTCAAGTGCATGGAACCAATCTTTGTAGTACCGCCAATACTTTGGAAGACCCATTCACCACCCTTCTCAGATTTACGCTCAGCGTACATTTCAACTTGAATGACATAACCAGAAGTGTTGGTGATGACAACACGAACAGGATATGGCATACCAGTGGAAGGGTCCGTACAAATAATCCGGATTTCAGCACCAGTAACGCGGAGTCTCCAAAGACGTCTACCGAAACGCTCCAAGAAACCACCAAGAGCTTGTTCGATCTCGGGAGGTTGAAGAGGGAAAACTGGTGAGAAATTGATGAAAATGTGATTAAGGTCAGAGTTGTTGTTTCCGATAATCTCAAGAGCGTCCAAAATATCATTCATCAATCGATCGGACTCAGAGATCAAGTATTCAGCAGTAGGAATCTCATCACGAAGTCTTCCAGGACGAACGACAGCACGAGTGAAATATCTCTTGTCACTTGTAGCTTCCTTTCCAACAGCCTCATAAATGTGGATGTTTCTGTTTTCGGTGAAAACAGGAGTGATCTTGAACTTAGAGAGCCTTCCAAGTTCAAGTTGGAAAGCCAAAGCGGGCTCGCTGTGACGAATACTCTCATCTTCCTCATAGTTGGGGCCTCTGAATGTGTAGTATCCAGGGTACGAACCATCTTTGTGACCGCAGATAAATGTAAGACGACGAATGCGACGGTTGAGAAGTTCCTCTTTGTAGTCGTTGACAATCAGTTTGATCTTAGCGACAGTCTCATTGTCATCAAGACTTTCGGCATCTTGAATAGCGACATTGCACACAGCAGTAAGCTCATCTTCGGTATCAAGACGTGGAGGTGCAACCTTGCGCTTGCCACCGAGTTCTGGCAAGAGACCATTACCCTTCTTCTTACCACCAGCAACTGGGAAGACCTCAAGGGCTCGTTGCAAGTATTCTTCAGCCTCGTCGAGATATTGGACTGGAACAATTACACCCTTTCTTGTTGGTTCATGATCGGGCTTGTTGGTAAGGTAAGTCATATCACTGATAGAGCTGATACGTTTGAATGGGTTGCCAGATTCATATGAAGGGGTGGCTGGTGTCGAAGGAGCAGAGGATTGAATTGGCATTCCAAATTCTGAAGCTCCAACCTTTCTCAGGACGAAGTCCCATGACACAATGAAAGGAGGATCGGCACTCTCATTGTGGTACTCAATCTTCTGTAAAGAGTACGCTCTGTAGGCACGACGAATGTAAACCTCAAGAGCTGCAAGAGACACCCAGGGATCACTATGGCCGAAGAAAATTGGCAAGACATCAAAGACAGTGTACTTCGAGTCAACGACCTCCTTAAGAACCTCAAGATCAGGCTCTCTGTGCTCCCATCCGGTCTCACCATATCTCGATTCCACGACGGAAGATCGAAGGATGTGCTCCATTTGTGCAGCACGCTCCTCCAAAGAAGGTAGAGCACATTGAATAAGAATCTCACGAGCCTTCAAAGAAACCTTGGCAGTTTGGCGAGACTCAAGCTCGGTAAGACTTTTGAGTGGAGCTCTGAGATACTTGGCAACATCACCGGCATTTGGCTTGTTTGGTCGATACTCCTCGAGAATTGCGAGAATCAAATTGTTCTTTGCACCAACTCTGCTGTGCGACAAGACAGTTTGAACAACCTTGGCGATGTCATCCTTATTTTCATCTCTGAGCTTAAGAATAACTTCCTCATCTCGGGAAGTGCGGCCTGAAAAGAGACGCTCGACGGATGCATACTTCTGCAGAAGACCGGAGAAGACGGCAAATTCGTGCGCTTTTGGTCCATTTTGATATCGGTTGAGAATCTCAATCAATGGGGCAAGAGAAGCGGTGAGGAGATCGACATCGGCAGGTGCAACATTCTCGTCCAAGAATTTTTGCAAAGCCTTTGAAAGATTCTTAGCTGGGAATTCAGCATTGCGGGCCTTGCTACGGTCAAGGATTTGAGTCAAAGTAGCGTCCAATTTTTGGGGCATTCTCGCATGAAGAGCTGAGAACTGAGCATTGAATTCACCATATGGCAACTCTGGATCTCGGAGAACCTCAATCAACTCCTTCAATGTAGAACCCATGATGACTTGATTATCGAAACCATCAAGGATATTATTAAGAATGTTACGGAGGAGGACAAAGCGCTGAGCAGCCTTGGTACCTACAATTTGTGGTGGTCCAAGATCTGGAAGATGTCCCAAGAAAGGTTGGGCATGCTTGACTCTAGATGGATCGTCTAAAGCAAGTATACCAAGAATATCACCAGCTTCAAGAGTTGCTCCTGGTTGCTTGATGAGTTGTACGATACCATCTTCAGCGGCAATCAGAGGCATGTACATCTTCATGACTTCGACTTCGGCAAATGCCTGCCCGGCCTTGATGTGCTCTCCGTTCTCAACAGTGAACTTGACAAGCTTTCCTGGAGATGGAGTTCTGAGTTGCGTTGGGTCGTTCTCTTGCTCAAGTAAGCAAGTTTTGCTGTCGACACTCAAACGAGTAGCACCAACTTCTTCCTTCCAGTAAACATTGTGAGATCGTCCACTGAGAAGGACAAGAAGACCACCGTCACTCAAAGCACGAACACCAACCGAGCATTTAGATCCGTTGATGAAAAGATGGTAGCTGTCCAAGCTGGACCGAGTAGCAGTGAACTTGTATCGGTGACCGTCATAAATAAAGTCGATGGGGAAGACGGTCTTGAGGATATCTTTTGAGGGAACTTGACCCTTCTCCAAAGAAGTTCTGTATTCAGAAATACAAGCCTCGCTAGCAATGTGGGCCTTGGTCACAGCACCACAAACAACCGCAAGCATAGGATCTGGTCGCTCAGCAGTCAATTTATTAGAGATAAGTTCATCAAGCCATCCAGTGGTAATGGTGTTATCTTCGAAAGCAGGAGTTTCCAAGAGCTTAATCAAGTATTCGACGGTAGTTCTGAAATCACCACGAATACTCAATTCCTTCAAAGCAACAACCATATGTTTTCGTGATGCCGATCGATTCTCACCATAGGCGAAAATATGACCGAATTGAGAATCAGAGAAACTGTGGATACCACCAGCTGTACCAACAGAGAAATAACCCCAAACGTTAGAACTACTTCTGAAGTTCAATTCGTGCATTGTACCACTTGAAGGTTTGAAACCCTCTCCCGGATCTTCGGATGTGATACGACAAGCCGTGGTATGTCCCTTTGGCGTTGGTCTTCTTTGTGTTTGAATGCTCTTCTCTTGAGAGAAATCAAAATCGATTTCGGTAGTAGTTGAAGGATCAACTCCATACAATAATCTAATATCTCTTATTCTGTGCAAAGGAAGACCCATGGCAATTTGAAGTTGAGCAGCAGGCAAATTAACACCACTGACCATCTCAGTCGTAGGATGTTCGACTTGCAATCTTGGGTTCAATTCCAAGAAGTAAAATTTGTCATCGGAGTGCGAATACAGATATTCAACGGTACCGGCGGAAACGTATCCTACAAGACGACCAAGCCGAACAGCGGCCTTCTCCATAGCCTGGAAAGTGGCTTGTTTAGCGACAGTAACTGGGGCCTCTTCAATAATCTTTTGATGTCTTCTTTGCACGGAACAATCTCTACCAAAGAGCGAAATATTGTTTCCGTACTCATCAGCCAATAATTGAACCTCCAAATGTCTTGCATTTCCGGCCAACTTCATAATAAAGATAGGGGAACCGGGAATCTCGCTCGCGGCAGCTTTGTAAAGGGCCTCGAAACCTTGCTCGGATTCAGCTTTTCGAATACCCTTTCCACCACCACCTTCAGATGCCTTAATCATAACCGGAAATCCGATCTCTTTGGCCTTTTCCAGACCTTCTTCCCACGATTGGATACATCCCTTCTTGTACACCTCATCCTCAACGGTGACGATACCGTCCTCATTGACCTCGACCTTGTCAACACCAGTTCCTGACCAAGGTATACAAGGTACTTTAGCGTGTTGTGCGACGATCGTGGAGGAGATCTTGTCACCGAGCGATCGCATGGCCGAACCTGGAGGACCAATGAACACAATCTTTTTCGGACTCGCAGCTAAGGATTCCGGAAGTTTTGGATTTTCTGATGCATGACCCCTAAGAAAATTGTCAGTCTCTCTCCTCGAACAATGCTATTCTGAAACATCAATTGGGGGGAAACCTACCATCCAGCCCATACAGCATGAACATTCATTCTCTCGGCCACATCAACAATCAATTCCACATTTGCGTAATTGTTGTTATTTGTACCACCCGGAACTTCAACATATTGATCTGCCATACGAATATAATCCGCATTGGCTTGAAGATCTTCCGGGGTGGCCATCACCGTGAATTGAATAGCCTTTTCATCTCCGAAGGTTTCGTAGGCCCATTTCCGCACCGATCGAATCTCTTTAACTGCTGCAATTCCATTATTTGCTATCAGAACCTGTTCACCGGTTGTTAGTTATATTCGTCTGAAAGCATTGCGGTTTATGCAAATTTCCGACTTCCTAACCCCGCATCAAGGGAGCAAACTAAATTTTGTGCATTGTGAATGAGGACAAGTCCCTAATCCCCCATAGCCTGCAGCGCTCGAAAACTCGAACTGAAGATTCATTTCCTCTCAGAATATTCTGCCCCCACGGCAGTGGCCCCCGGAGGGCCAGCGGAGCGTCATTGAATTGAATGTCACCAAAACCTTTACTCACATTCGTAATAACAGTATGACCATCCGAAGCGGCTACAAAATCCTTAACCTTACTCGCGGGAGCATTTTCCAACTTATTACCGCCGATGAAGTGATCCGCAAGATTATGTCGAGCAGCATATGAGCTACCACCTCCATTTGTTGAGGAAATTATTGGCACTGTGCCATTTGTGTGTTGATCCGCCATTGTGATTTTTGATTCGTATATTTTTGAGAGAGATTCAGCGCTCAATGAAGAGCAGAGGAGAATATTTGGCCAAAGGGTAGAATTGAGGCCGGGAAATGGAGGTAGGAGGGGAAGCTGGAGGTGTTTTATCCCAGCTGAGAAAATGGTTGAATGTAAGATAATTGATGAGGAACGGACCCCGAAATCCACTCAAAATTTTCTATCAAGAACTCCGAAATGAATCTAAAGGCCTTTGGATATTGTGAGAAAATGAAAAATAAAGTGTGAACAAAATACAAAGTAGAAATTCGGAGTTTTGAAAAGGTTGAGAGGGCAAAGGGAAGGGAAGGGAAGGGAAGATGTTATGAAGGATTTAAATCTTACCTGGGGTATCTCAATCTAATGAATGGGCAGAAAAAAGATTGGGGACGGTCCCTTCCTTTGGCGAATGATGTCCGAAGATTGCAAAGTAGTGCATGTGTATCTTCTCAAGCACGTACTAGAGTTACAGCTGGACAAGACAACGAATATACCAAGAGGGAGTTTGGTATGGTATGAACCGTTTGAGTAAAGAGGTTAAGAATGTACGTGTGGGTGTATGAGTAGAGTGAAGAATGTGTATTGGTATTCAAGTAGATGGGTAAGTATGTATCAAATCATTAAAGTACGGAGTATTGAATATTGAAGCAATACAAGTACGTATTTGAATTAGCAGAGGAGAAGAAGATAGTCAACAAGTTTCAAAAATTGTTGATCTAAAATAAATAAATAAAACTTCAATTATCACGGCGGTCAATACTTATTTATTCTCTCCCATATCTTCCACGAAGAAGTATGTTGATCCTATCCTCTATTTTCTAGTTGCTTTGATGTCCGCATTCAAGCTCTACCTACCTAGGTATTCATGAGAGGTTATCACCACTCTCCCTCATATTCACTCCCATATTTCACCCCATCAACCCTCATCATCCCCATCATCATCCAAACCCTCAACCAACTTTGTTGAACCAGAACTTCATCCCTCCCTCCCTCACTTATCAACCCCACTAAACCGAAGCGAGTAAAGTGCGTCTCCCAACGATCACGAATTGGTGAGCTCTGGCATTGAATGGACCCACTGAAAACTTTAAAAAAAGTTAAGGCTTTTGGCTTTTGAGAAAAGTCCGGCAGAAACCTGGAGAAGGGAAATTTTAACGTATACCTAGGCAGATGTATAGTAGTGTATACTTTTTTATAGTAAACTATGACATGATTTTATGATAATATATAAAGAGTTGAAAGTATACCACAGATATCAAATCAAGAAAACACAATTACCTAGAGATATCTCAACTTAATTCTCCTTCTCATTCTCAGCTACAATATCAAAGATTCCCTCATTCAATAATTCATTCATTCATCCATCCCTAGCCATCGTATCGTGGCCATGCTTCTGGAATGACATTAGCCCGGTCGATCAATTCCGATACATGACATACTAACTAACCTTAATACAGGGGTAAGAAAATAACATGGTATATACTATCTAGGGAGTAAGGTAATATTGAGAATTTGGTGGAACCTTTGGTTTGTAGTATTGCTGTACGGAAGGTTACAATACAAATCCCAAGATCCTACAATAGATAAATAAAATGCACCACCACCATGGAATCTCTTTTCCTCCCAAAATCTCACGTGCTATGAATATCTCTCCTCTTCCATATTCTCTTCCCTATCATACTGACATCCAAATTGACATCATCAAGCCCTCTCTCTCTCTCCTCTCGATCCACCCCGTCTCCCTAACAAAAAGGAAAAAATAAGGTCCGACACCCAAACCAAACCAGCCCAAGCCAACCCAACCCACAACATCAGCCCTTCAATTCAATTCAGCTCACCCACTATCTCTCACCCACAAACAGGAACTCCCGTTGATCCCTTCCCCATCCAAACCACCCAAACACCCAAAAATCCAAACTATTACCTTTCATTCCTAATCAAATCATAGCGATAAGGCCGCAAAACACCCTTAGCTTACAGCTTACAGCATACATACATAACCTGGTCTGCCTCCACGGCAGTGGCCCCCGGAGGGCCAGCGGAGCGTCTGTCAAGTTGTCAACCATCATATAATACGAGGCTGGAGTATCTACGGATGTCCGATGGGGTACCTCTCGCTCGATCAGCTTAAGCTTCGACAAATCAACATCCTTCTGCGATCCGGCTCAAACTATATAGTACAAACCTCAACTTTCCTTTCCTGCTACCTATTAGATTCAATTTCCTAGCTAGAATGTACGCACTAAGTACTAAGCATAATACGGACTATATACATTTAATAGCCCGAACTTATTTCGGCCTCCGTCTCCCCTCCCATCCATCACATCTACATCTCCCGCCGAGTACCCACGGTCAATATTTAGTCCCGCAGGAACGAATATCAATTTTCTTTTTTTCTTTTTCTTCTTATTCATCACATTTCCCGCTTTTCCGCAGAGAATCTTACTACCTCTGGATATCTACTTTTTGCATGCATTCAATCTCTCTTCACAAAATTCATCTAGAACTCCACGTATTACTGCATCCACACATCAAGAACATTCAATTGAATCATCATAATCATTTCCTTCATTCTAGTAGTCTGCTTGTGTTTGTAACGCTCACTTCCAGCCATCCCGTGCCATCCATCCATTCATCCATGCTCTTTCTCCGTACTTGTTTTACCAGTCCAGCCCCTTCCAGGTTCCCTCTGGCCAACAAATGAAAATCTTCTCATCCCCGCTCCTTCTCCTATCATCAGCCATCTATCCAGCCCTCACCACTATTTACAAAAGAAACGAAAACTCTCCCCTTGAAAGAGAGGGATAAGAGGAGCAGAGCAAATCAATAAAAAAGAGGTATAGCAGTAGTATCAATCCCAAACTGTACCCCGTTCCATGTCCGCCCAGCTATGCACGAGTGAGAAAAACAAACGCCCTAGCCCATGCACGCAACCCAGATATACAGACCTCCACCCTCGTTCAAATATGATCCCAAATTCCCATTTCCATAACGGTATACAGATGAAGCGAAGAGGAGAAAAAAGTTCCTGCTCATCCATAAGAGCTTAATAACATTCCCCTACACCACTCAATCTCCTCGGCCTTCCACTTGGTGGCGTGGGAGCTTTACTGAGTCCCGCCGGTTGTCTGGGATTAATGATCCTTTCGTCCTCTTCTCGAAATCCATGACTCGTGCTCGTTCTCCTAGGCATAGGTAGACCCGACATCGATAAAGACTGTCCGCCACTTTTTCTACGAGGAAGTCCAGATAACGGTGTAATGCTCAAACCCTCGGAACCATTGACAGTTCCTCTTCGGCCCAAGGGAGTCGTATAGTCAGATCCTCTGTTCTCGTCGACGCCATACCCAATATGTGACACACTTTGTGAGTGTGTATGAGGTCGTCCGTCCCCATGCTTATCCGCATAGTTCCCCCCTAGACTGCTTTTCGCCCTGATCGGCTCCGCCACTTGTGACTGTGAAGAATGAGATGTTGGGGTCTTGGCGCCCGGGCGACTAGCCGTTGATCGACTTGGTGGCCGATCATAAATTGAGCCACTGGCGCGACTCCCTGGTCGACTGGGCGGCCTACTACTGTGTCGACTACTATCGTGCCCATCTCTATTTGCAACCGGTCCAAATGTGAGTCTGCCGATTCCAGATACGGATACTCGGGGAAGGTGTTTTGTTGAGGTTTCTTCTCCAGTCATGGATGATGTGGTGCTTGCGCTAGCGGTACTGCCTGCAGTCCTGTTCCTATTCCGTACTGCAACACCGGGGGGCATATAATTACTACCCATAGCTGATGTTGTCTGAGAGGGACTATTGACAGGTGCCGGTAATTTGGACCTGGCAGACTGAACTCTTTGCTCTAATCTTTGCATTTGCGCCGTAAGACTTCGAATATGTGTAAGGGATGTTGAATTTGGTAAACCGCGTGTAGGTGGTGCCTTTTGCTTTGTTTGACGAATCACTGCTGGCGTCGCGCTCCTCATTTTCGAATTGCCATTCGGTGTTGCTCCTCGGGAATTACGTACTGTCCCAGATACATAACGAGACAGGCCCTGCTTGGATGTTGAGCTTGAATTTCCAGTGGGCATTTTGAGTTTGCTTTGAGGTAGATTCATCGGTGTGTTCATACCGGTTCGTGCTGTTGCGGAAGCTTCTGACATTGGTGGGGATGGAGGGGTAGGAGTTTCGGAAATAGTATCTGTCGTGGAGATAGATTTTGTGTCTGGTGGAGTATTGATGAGTGGAGAGGAAGCTGTGGATCTAGGCGATGTCCCAAAAGGCTCATATGAGGGAGTACTTGGTGTGATATAATCTGTCGTGATGGATGGATATTGTCGTTTTCGTAGCTTGTCTTGCATAATGTCTGCTTCTACCTTCAAATCCGACAACTCATCGCGCAATCTTTGTGTTTCGATCCGAAGTTGTTCTCTTTCCTTTTCACCAATCTTGATTTCTTCTTCCATCAGTACCCCTCGTTCAATAGACATGTTAAATTTTGATTCCATGTCCTCCAAGGATGAAAAGGTATTTCGCGCCTGCCTCTCGATGTCATCATGTTGAACTTCAATGTCTCGCAATTGTAGATGCATCGCCCGGTTCGCCTCCCGTAAAGAAGTGATCTCCTTCTGTAATGTACTTTGTGCGGCATTTGCTTCATTCTTGGATTGCTTATATTTTGTCTACGAATAAATCCTCGTTAGTAAATTCTACTACGGACCTAGCATTTTCACATCTTTTAAAGACATACCTTCCATTCTTCCACTTCAAATTCCAAACTCTCTACCTTCTCCCGCAATGTCCTTTCCCTCCTTTCCGCAGCCTCTATATCCTTCTCTAATTCCGCTTCCAGCTCTTGCGAACTCGCCTGAAACTCGGTCAATTCCGCCTCCAATTGCTCATATTGTAATTTGTAGTATGCGATCGCGTCGACTAGATCCGAAGGCGGAGAAGATGGTAATTCCGACATCTGTGGTTATTCTCTTGTTGTTTCTGACCGGTCTTCAATTCGTATGGTATCGTGTGGTAACTTCTAACTATCTTAAGGCCTTTCTGTTGCTTGGCGGTAACATCCGTTCCTTGCACCTGCAATCTTACAAGGTAGTGACCAATAGGATATGCAGCTGTTGCGACTGTTGTTGTTGACCATAAACAAATACTCGTTTGGCGGTCAAAAATTCGAAATGCAGCTGTAATGTGGTGAATGGTCACCAAACAAAGTCGGAATTTGTGAAATGTTTGATCGCGAAGCAAAGAGTGAAGGATCGAGGTGGTAAGAAGAGTGAAAGATTGGTTTTCGTGTACAATAATGGTCGTAATGGGTCGTGAATCACCTTTAGCCTTCCCGTAGAGTAATATGAAACAATAATTAAGGTAGTAAGTAGTAGTCGTAGTAGTCGTAGTAGTAGTATTTGAAAATGTCCTGTAGCACTGCTGAAGCTGGCGAAGTGAGAAATAAAAATCCTTGGGTGGTTTTCGATGTATTTATTTGGTTGAATATTCCTATTTGAAGCGGTAGTTGTATGTTTTGTTGATTGTTGATGTCAGGTACATTCAATCCATAAGTAGTAGATATTGTACGGTAGGTTTTTGGCAATTCGAAGCGTAAAATGGGAATTCGTAGGTCGATATGAAAGTGTAATAAATGGACGTTTATCGAGATTCAAATTGAAGAAGGATCAAGGAAGTTGCGCTTGAGGTTGAGTTTGTTATTGTCGTCGATGTTCGTTTGTCGGTATGTACCGTTGGAGTGAATATCGGGTTGTAATAAAAAGTAAAAACGAAGGTAGGTATATTGCGTTTGCCGATTTAATTCAAAATAAGATAAGATAATGTAAACAGAGAAGAGAAGAAGAGAAGTAAGAAATAAAAAAGAGATCGACTTCCTACTTTGCTTGCGGTGTCGATAATGGATAATGATGGTGGTTGTCCAAGGATGTATGTGTGTGTATGTGTATATGTGTGTGAGTGTGATGTGGTTGATGATGATGCGGGCTGGGCTGCACAACGAGAAAGTTCCTGAGAGAGAGAGAAGAAGGGCGGAAAAGGGATTGTTTAGGAGTGAAGTGGGAAGACCGACATTTGGGGCATGGGGAAGAGAGATTCTAGAAATTCTAGAAATTTGAGTGGTCAACTTCTTAATGTTTGTGTACGGTACCGGGAATGGTAATGGTAATGAATGTACTATGGAATATGGATATGGGTTATGGATTATGGATTATGGTTTTATGGTTTTATGGTTAGTACCTACAATAATTAGGTATAGGATGGGAATTAGAACCTTGTAAATCGACATTTAGCGTTAGTTTATACTAGTTTACTAGGTAGGCAAGAGAAGAAATCACTGATCTAGCAACCATGGTGCAATTCATAGATACTAGACAGAGTCATATACTCCGTAAATTTGAAGGTACGGAGAAGTCGGTAGGTACCCAGCCACATTTTAACAACTGGCAGTCACATGAACGGTGAGCTTGAGATCTAGCTAAAAGGTGTTCCGCCCTTTCGTTCAATTCCTTTTTTCTTTCTAGATAATGGAGGGATGGATGATATTGATGTATTGAGAAACTTATCAATATTGAATGGTGCGAATAGTTACATCTTTTTTACTTCTATGAAGTGTTTGAGTCTCGTCACCGTCATCATCACCATCATCGTCACCCCATCTCCATCTCCATCTCCATCTCCATCCACATCACATCACATCTATCAACTTACTCACCTCCTACACCAGTACCTTTCACTTACCCCTCGGTCATTCACATTTATGCAACTAAATCGATAAATGTGGGAATCTTGACTGCTAGCATCAACGTGTTGACGTGTAAGATAAACGTCCCATGATAATTTTAGCTACTCGTGCAGTAAGGTTACGGGATATAACTTCTGCACAATGTCATTCATGTACCTAGCACCCAACGGTAACCTTATTCCTTGCAGATCACCTGATTGTCTTGTATACTTTGACATATGGTATGGTGCAAGGAATTGAAACCAAGGTCGATTTCCTATAAGTCAATAGGTATTAATCTCTCTTTTTGTGTCCTGCAGAAGGGAAGGTTAAGGTTACATTTGATTCGATATTTATATTTCATGACTTATTAAGGATTTGGTGCTGCCAGCTCGACTCTTTACATGGATCATGAGGGGCAAGGCAAAGCAAGGGCCTCATTAAAACCCTCAAGATATCCCTCAAAAGCACATACATGCACACACATACTTCCTGTCACCAATATCAATCTCCAGCAAGATATATTCAAACATTCAATTCTTTCAAACTGATTGACATCTCACATTTCACACAAAATCATCTCCGAAAGATTCTCTTTCATCCTTCAGTCTCAGCTTCTGTCCCACGTCCAAAATTCATCCAATCAAAAAAGAGGTGTCATGTCTGATCGCATTGATGTTTCGAAACATAAGATTGGCTTTCTATTTTCATCAATCTAAACTCTTATGACCAAGTCACGGGTCAGTGAATCTTGAGGAAATTTTGTCGATGACCTGAGATGCGACCAATCACGAAAATCCAAATCTTGGTCTTGCTCTCCATTAATTCGCGTGCGACCTTTTTATTCATTAAAGAGGTTGATAATCTCTTGTGTATTATATTGGAAATTAACAAATGCGTTTAACATAACGCGCACAAGAATTCCATTCATTTCTCATTATCTACTTTATTCTACCCCTCTACGCCAAGGACATACCGCCGCCATTATCATCATCATACCCCTCTTCCATCCCACTCAACCACTCTTATTTTCTTCCCTCTTCTCCCTTCTACTCATCTCATCCGAATCTGTCCTTTCCACACCCGCCACCACATCCACACACTCAAGTTCCGGTCCCGAAAACCTCTTTCTGGCTGTAGTTCCCCAAGTCATCGCTGCCACCATCATAATGACTCCTATTGCCGCAGATGTATAATTCATATTGTCGCTAGTAACCGGGTATACAGAGGGAAAATTAAATGTAATACAAGCAAAAAGTAAATATGCAAGACCAACTCCATTAACTAGCAATGAAACCACAGGTCTCATAGCCCAGGGTCCTGTAAGTTGTCGATGCGAACCATCGAAATGAGATATCAAGCGCACGAGAAGAGGCATGGCGTAGGAGAGATAGAATCCTTCGGTCGCAATGGCGATTACCGTGTTAAATCCTGTGACGGTTCCAAAGTAAATGCTGTTAAATGCCATTTGTACTACACTTCCAATAATAATAGCCACAACAGGAACTTGATGTTTAGCACTGACTTTACTGATTTGGCTCGAGAATGGAAGTCCATGGTCTCTAGCGAACGCATAAAGACTTCTACTTCCCTCCGCAAGCAGCGCGTTGGAGGATGCAACGTTGATTATTACAATCATGGATGCTAGGAAACATGCTCCAATGTGACTATTTGTTGAATCGGCGTAAATTTGAATGAGTGGAACCAGAGTAGGTGTGTTGGCAACAGCGTCGATGTCGCCGACGCAGAAGCAGACGGCGATGAGGAAGATGAATCCTGTTATGGCTCCAATGTAAACCGAGAGAACCATCGCGCGGGGAGCTTCTTTAGAAGCATCTCTTAGTTCTTCAGTCATGTGGGATGGTGCATCGTCTAACTCGTAAATTCATGTTAGCCCCGCCATTAAGTTGTGTCCAATCAATTCAAGTTAGGAAGATATCAGACTGTAGTTGGGGAATGATAGCGTGGTAAAAAGAACTTACAGCAACACATGCCAAAAGCTGGCTGTAGTATCCCAATAATCCCAGCCATAGCTGTGCCAAATCCTGTAAAGTTTTGAAAGTCCCGAAAGACAAAACTAGCACTTTGCTTTTCGGTGTTGCACGCAAGAATTGTGACGACCGTCACAACAAATGATGCAATATTGAAGATGAGCGCAACTGTAGATACTTTGTCCAGAATCTTGGATCCCCATAGATTGATGAATGTCGCAATCAAAGTCACCGCATAGGCTACCAGGACCGCGTGCCACCTCTCAATCACGTATGATGGGTTAACGAGGTTCGCTTGACCTAGGATGAAGTTTGCGCCGATGAAGCTGTTGGTTGCGCCCATGGCAAGAATACCTGTACTCATGTCAAGAAAGTTAGAAATAGTAATTTCCCATTGGAAACAAGGAGTATGTTGTCAATATCCTATGAAAGGTCATGAGATGCGTCTCTCGGTAATATTCCCTCCCGGGTACGACTGGAATATGATGTCAATATGACTAGAGGAATACGACTGACCGATTATCATAAACCATCCGGTCAGATAGGAGAATTGTCTCCTCACCGGTTTCGGTGAGAGAATATAAACCCATGAGTACTGGCCTCCGGCAACGGGATACTCAGAGCACATTTCTGCCATGGAGTAGACGACGCATAGAGAGACGATACTGATGCCCACCCATCCCCAAATCATCTGCGTAAGTCATTGCTGTTAGTTGGGCGTTCGAGTAGCATCAAGATACATTTTGTCATTATTGACAACTTCAAATGTCTCGGACGTCGTGGAACATGTTTGGGGCTAACGTCGCAGTACCAGCGCAGTGCGATGTATGAACCTCCTCGAGATTTGACTAAGAGTCTGGAAATCGACCCATAGATAGGAGAATTAAGCATGGAAATGAAGGGATGGTCAGATTTAAATGAGAAATGTGAAAGGTTACTCACTACTGGTGGACCACCAGCATTGACACCTGTGACAAGCACACCACCTAGGGCACTCCAACTGCAATGAGCCGTCAGCAAGCGTTAAGCGTCCCATCTTGCCACGTTTTTCTGATCCAAGGTTGCAACACCGGTGCCGATCACCGGTGTTGGGATTCAGAAGATGCACAGCATACGCAGAAGAATACTTACCTCGTAACAATGGAGAATGAGAAGCCAATCATGCCCAGAAGGCTGAATGATCGCTTGAGTTCTGAAATTATGCTTATCAGCGAATGGTCAAATGACGCCAGTTTGTAGAATCTGAGGAGGTCGACCCACCCGGACGATAACCCATATTCTCCAGAGCAGCATCTTCGGCCACACCTGGAGGAAAGACTTTTCCCACATACGCTTCTTCCTTCATCTTATTCGTTACAGTGAAATGCAGATACTCGAGATGAAGGATCCCAATACCACAGTTTTGGAACAAGGCAGTGGCAACTTCCAAGATATGCTGTACTGTTGATTAAGCAGTAGAGAAAATATGACCGAGGATACAACCCAAGGTATTTATAAACGCATCCAGAGCATTCAGCGAGAGATCCCTACCTTTTCGGGATCTCATTGACGGATATCAGAAGGGAGGTATATGGCATGCAAGTTTAATGCAACATTGGGAACAAATTGGAGAGATCTTTGTGGAATAGCCATGCTAGACTCTTCCTCGATCAAGTGATATAGACTGAGATAGCTAGGTTCGAAGTGTAGTGTATGATTGAGGTACGAAAGCTGAGATAGGGTTGATTTCCCATCTCGTCATTTGTGTCCGATATCAAATCGTTTGTCAGTATCTCATCTATCACGGCTCTTTCCGGCTAGCCCATCATGTTGCTGTATCTATGCATACTTGTATCTTGGACCTTGTCTTGCAATATGGGGTCGGAGAAAAGATTGAAGAATGGGGAACGAATGTTTGGATGAGCGTTGAATTTTTTGGTCGGCGGGGTCATGGTTGGGGGTTTCGATTGGTCCGGAGCAAACATTACTGGGATAATTTTTAGGCTTATCTCTAAGCCTTTCTCCATCAAACTTCTTTTTCTAGGCATTTTATTCCGCTGTTCATCAACATAAACTTCATTACGATTCCTTTTCTTCTTGTGATATGGCACAAAATATGGTACGTACTACAACTGACTTCCTCGGCTTTCTAACTTGCTTGCATGGATGCTTGCATATAAATATACGAATGAACATGTATTGCCCGAGATCTTGGTTAAACTATTTTTCCTTTCAAATCGGATCACTTCCTCGCTCCCCTCAATCTACAAACAATACACAGCGCAAATGCCATAACGTGGTCTAGTCTTGACGTACGATCCAAGGCCCATTTAACATCAAAAGAGACAGCTTCCATATCCTTGAAGTCCGAATTGCGAAGAGTTGTGAACTAGATTTGAGATATGATAGAGTTTTATTCTGGTAACACGATGCAATTGCAGGAAAATATTGATTATTTGTCTTCAAACAAATCCAGAGGGATGTTGCATGCTTCCGACCGAAGGTGGCCGAGTCTCATCGTCTGTTCATCGGCACCAACTAGACGCAATGACTCGCGCTGAATGTGTTGGAGATCTATACGAAACATTTGCTCTTTGATCCCGTCGCCTCTGATTCAGGCGATTACCAACAATGTTCCCGGCGACCAATATCTAACTTCAACATGGAGCGTGTTGACTTGAGCTACCTAGCTGGTGAGATTGGACGAGGAACTTTCTTCTCGACGCTTTGGGTATTCACAGTCTCTTCTCGGCCCCACAAGGTTCATCGCCGCGGGGAAAAAGGAAGAGGAAAAGGGAATTGCTTCAGCAGGCTTTTTCTTCCGTCGGATATCTACATGGAACCTGCGCAAGACCCAGCGCCATTCTTCTTTTCCATTATTCATTGTGGTGAAACGAGACGGGAAGCTGCACACCGCCCAGCATTTCATTCGATGATTCTTTTTTATCCCTTCCTACTCATTGCACACTAATCCGAATTTCTGGTTTGTGCCACCTGCATTGATCTACAATTGGGTGATACCAACACATCGGCTGGGCTAGTACACCCATTCCAGAATCTGCAAGATTCCCGCATGTACTACCCCGGATTTTTGCACTGTAGGGGAGCAGGCTTGTGCAGGATCTCACCAAATAGACGACTGACTTGAAGGATCAGGACGTCGTGATACAATTTCAAGGAAGTATGTTGAGGCTTTGTTGAATTCTATTGACGCTCCACGGAGGATCATACGTAGTGAATTGAATCAAAGCGGGCATGGCTTTCCCCCTGCAATGAGCCGTCATTGATGATTGCCTCACTTGAAGTCTTACGCCATGTTCTCATGAACTCCCCGCAATATTTGTAGGTACCCGTGGCAGAACAAGGTCTTCCTGTACCTGCAGACAGTACATGATCGGACCTTTGGAGTATCCTATCAAAATGAAGAAGTTTGTCAGATCAATACATCAATCAATGAAGCAAAACTGATATAGTTATACATTAATAAATACCTTCCTTAAACTACCTATCTCTCCTTCAACTTCTTTATCCTCCATTATCTCTTCATCTGTTGTTTGCAGGCTATAAGGCGTTTTCTGCGTATCAAAGCTTCCTTCCTTCCTTATCTATTTACTCGTGATTTCCTGAATTGTCAACTTCTACCGTATTCACCTATGTAAACATTCTCAAAATGGAAGGACCAAAGGGCTCTAATGTTTGCCAACAAATTCTCTCTCCCTCACAAGTTCTTCCCTCCTCAATCAAAATTCAGATTGACTCATCCACCATTCTTCCAATTGTTGAACCTCACCAAATTCTCTCCAAGATCTGTACCAACGGCGATGCATCAGTGGCTTCTGATAAAATCTTTGACGAAATCGATGAGTTGAAATACGAAATCAAATCTCGTGCAGGAACGGCAGTTGTTGTAGCGAACAACAAACCTACAAAATCAAGATCTTCTCTTTTATCCAAAATCCTCAACTTCCATCGGAACCCAGCACGTTCAGTTTCGAAACCAAAATACTACCAAACCCTCGAAATGTCATCGCCAGAAAATTATCTTCGCTCCGCTGAGCCGGCACTCATGGACATTGATACCGTGAGCGATCTGTTTGTGGAGAATTACCAAGAAACCAGACAGATCTGTGCCAGACCTTACGATTGGCCTCATGACAAGTCATTCCAAAGACACACCACTGCGCTAGTCATTATCGACATGCAGAAAGATTGTAAGTCTTATGTTCCCTTCTCTTCCGCCTTGGGGGTGGAAACGATGTAAGAGATGCTCTATGATTGTTTTTAAATGCACATCGACTGCATACCGTACATGAGTTTGGAGATCCTGAAAATCACTTATCACTACGACATTGTTTGTACCTTGGAGAAGCATGTTTATAGGACTATTGCGCCCCCAAGCCTTTTGATTTCAATGAATCTACCTTGAAAATGAGCAGTATCTTAAAGATCCTACTAATACTAATTTACTACAGTTGCCTCCGACAAGGGATATCTGAAAAATCAAGGTATTGACAATCAACCAATCCTCGATATTGTTCCTAATATTCGCAAACTTCTCGATGCTTGCCGAGCCAAAGGTTTCACTATTTACCATACGCGAGAAGGCCACCGATCTGACCTGTCAACACTTTCCAAACGCGAACATTTCCGCTCAAGAAACAACGGGAACCGCCTTGGTATTGGTGACCCCGGCCCACTAGGACGTCTCCTTATTCGCGGGGAGGAAGGCCACGAAATTATCGATGAATTAGCTCCTCGATCGGATGAGCAGATCATTGATAAGCCCGGTCGGAGTGCATTTCAGCACACAGAGTTTCGGCTCATGCTAAACGTGAAGGGGATCAGGAACCTAATTTTCTGCGGTGTAACAACGGACGTTTGTGTAATGAGTACGATGAGGGATGCCAACGATAACAACTTTGATTGCGTCCTGGTAGAAGATGCGTGTGCTGCTGGTGTCTATGAGCATCACAAAAGTGCAGTTGAGTCAATTACTGAAGAAGGGGGTATATTTGGTGCTGTCACAACGGTGAAAGATGTTTTGGAGAAAATGGAGAGGCTCTTAGATACAACTGAGCCTGGATTTGTGTCTCCCCATTCAATTCCAGCAGGGACGAATGCTGATGATGAATCCAAGACCGCCCATTCAAATGCGGCAGGGATGGACAAATCAACACTTGTCCCCGGAACTGCCATGGGAGAAAATCAACCCCCTTCTGGAAGTCAATTTTCAAAAATCTCCTTGGCTGAACCTACATCAGAAGTAGGGGATTATATTGACGACGGCTCGTGTCGCCGTAAGCCCACACAAGGAATCTCAAACCAATCAAAACCTTCTGGTGTACGTACCAGAAAGCAATCTTCTCCGAGGCTGGGCATGGCTTATCTGACCCAAGGAAATGATGAGAAATCCGTATCTAAAAGAATGAATGTCTCCGAAAACGAGGAGGATACGATGCCCACTATTACACACACTGGAAGGCGACATGAAAATCAAAAGTAAATACACTCCCCACCAGGTTAAGTTTCCACGAGGCACACGTTTCTAATAAATTTCAGGAGTAGGAACAACATTGATAAGCACCTAAGATCTAACGAATAAGGTCTCTTTTTACCTTTTCCTGTATCTTGAGAGTTTTAGAACTTTTATTGATAATACCTTTCTGAAATCTCGAATCACAACAATCACAAGACCAGGGGAAATAATAGGGGAAAGCCTGGTGTTTTGATTGGATCTGAAGAATAGTCATGTTACAACTATGGTCAAGGAAGGAGACAAGAAAAGCAAGACGTCGAATATTGATAATACAAAGTAGAAACGGGGCTCAAAACTTGGCCTGTTGAGCTTGGGAATAGGGTAGGGAATTTTGAGCGCGTATGGGCTGCCAGCGATAGCATTTTTGGGGAGAGGGGCGGAGGAGAATTGTCGACGCGGCTAGGAGCTTTTGGCAGAATTACTTGTTTCGTCTGTTTTCATTTCGTTTGGCTTCGCTTGCATTGTTAGGTATTCTTAGAGGAATGAATGAGGAGTATAATTTATAGTAGTACAGTATCAATATAAATCATAATATAATTGGTGACAGGGTGACATACTTGTGGAAAGATCATTATGGAATGACGTTCGAGCATGGTTCTAACTTCACGATACTTTTGTACATTTTATGAAAGGCAATCTCCCCAAGTTTCTGGAATATCTTGAAATGCCGGGACATGCCAGTTTGGTATATTTTGTTTTAAAAATAGCTACATGAGAAGTTGTGTGTATATTGTGTCTTATTATATTCATTGTAGTCCTGTACCCTAGCCGGTCTTTTACTAGGTTACTCATACCTGCTGGTTAATCTATTAATAGGAATCATGGAGTCAAGAATGATGACTGATAGACTAAGGCTAATCATTTAAAGCTTCAGATATATTTTCTATTAAATATTGTGTCAATCTGGCTATATATAGAGCTATGTCTTTTATAGAGTAGATTGGTCTTTGAGTCTCGTCCACCATTGCGGGATATGAATGTGTTGATGCATCCCTTACAGTGCTTGAGATAGGAGATTATCGAGGTCTAGGTGTATTTATCAATTGAGTTGGAGTAACTAGGTAGTGTTACGATAGCGAGTGTGGTTTTAGTGATTAGAGGCTCGTTCTGTAGTTAATTCCTCGTGATGATCATTACGTCATGATCATCGGCAGCTCTAGAAGTTGAACAACAGCTCATCAAGATGACATGAAAGAACAAATCCTTATTTTCTCAACGAGAAAACATAGATAATTCACTATGGAACCAGTTGCTGCAACAGCTGCTGCATATGGTGTCGAAACTGCAATTGAAGGAGGAATTGCTGCTTATTATCTATCCAAACCGACAATACCTCTAAAAGGACACCTCGAACATGTCACAACCACTGATGCATTACCGCGATGTGGACATACAATGTCAGTGATTAGTGATAGAGCATATATTTTTGGTGGTTCCGAGGATCTGGAATCTGTGGAATTAGGCAATGATATGCATGAGCTTCACATCTCAACCGATGAGAATAACACAACTGCACTTTTACGGTCAATACCAGCAGTCGGAGATGGGGAATTGAACAAGGCGCCTGTACCATCGGCTCGCATATTCCATTCAGCTACGGTTGCTCGAAACCGTATCTTCATTTTTGGCGGCAATGGATATTCATCTGGTAAGCAAAACCTTAAGCCGTTGGAAGAGAATGGCCGATTGTGGATTTTTGACCCACTATCATCGAAGTGGTCGTTCCTGGATCCTCCTCCACATACAACATTTCCCCTTTCTAGGTCGGATCATATCAGCACATCGAGTCCTGATGGATCTGCAATCTTCATCCATGGGGGGAAATCATCTGATGACGTGCTTTCGAATGATGTATGGGTGTTTTACTTGGATGAAGGGAAGTGGACCAGGCTCCCAGATGCACTAGGGCTACCGAGGTCCGGAACCAATCTCGCTTGTGGACAGGGAAAATTATGGAAGTTTAACGGTAGTAAAGAGGTATCTGAAGGCTCGGGCCTCCGGGGGTCAATACACTTTTTGGAGTATCCTACCGGTGGTACAGTAGATGATGTGACTAAAGATTTGGCTCATAGTTCTTTGGGCATTCCCAAAATTGACTGCCAATGGGAGAAATTGGATACGGGATCGAGCAAATCTGTGGAGACACCATTTTCTAGCGATTATGCAGCCTTAAATTTCATTACCACTGGAAATGGCAGAGATTATCTATTGTTAGCTTTAGGATCCGACGGCGGAGAATATTCTTCGGATATTTGGGTCCATCAGCTCCCCTCAGTGCAATACTCAGGTGCAAAGGTGAAAGACGTCGTACGAGAGAATTTACCTGGCGTAGAAAGTCATGTGGGGGAATGGTCCCGTCTCGAAATCAGTGGAATAGAGGTCGGTGGGGATGAAGAGAAAGGTGGGGCATGGACTGGTAGACGTTATTTTGGAAGCTCAATGACGGGCACGAAACAATTTATGATTTGGGGAGGACTTAGTCCAAATAATGAGACGCTTGGTGATGGGTGGAGGGTTATTATTGACTAGTGATATTTGAATGGGATGGAATCAGCTGCTCGTTCTAGTATCCTTTCCAAGCTCAAATTCTAATATGTCTATGACATGGTCATTTTACGGGAACTCGATATGCCAATCTGAGAATGGCCACATAGACCGAAAAATCACAGATTCAGCAAATTGAAAATATGGCGATTGGTCACTATAAGATTTCATGCATGCATTGGGTAGGAGCTAGTGGGTTGAAACAGACTTGGGAAGATACTTACTTAAGATAATGGGTATTATATTTTGCAGTGGAATTAATATTAAGTTGTAGAAGTGGTGGAAATCATAAAGAAATCTGATGAGGCATTTCTAACATTAATCATTTATGTGCATCACAGTCGTGAGTGGAAAAGAAATTGACTTAACTGGCTACTAAAGCGATCAATCACCTTCTTCTTGCACGCGTGGAATCTGCCATTCGTGAACTGGTGGGCGGAGGAGATGCCTTCTTGCTCTACAGGTGGGACATGTCACATGTTGGCCGCCGCCTTCCCTGAACCAAGGGACAATGCAATCATGATGGTATATATGAACGCCACAGAACACCCGACGAAGACCATTGGGTCCGCAAGCTTCGCGATCACTCAAAAGAAGCCGGCAGATACCGTAAAATTCATCAGGTGGTGCATCGGCGAAAAGAACTGGCGCAAGAATTTCCGGATTGACATCTTTCTCATCGAAGAGATATCGACGTCCGACACTGGGTATTCCACTTCCTAATTGCCCGGGGTGGTAGTTTTGTTGCGCGAGATACCACCCTCGCATTTTTTCAAGCTCGATGAACGCCCAGCCGATTCTCTCGTATTCCGGACCATCAGGAACCCCATTAGGAGACTGCCGTGTAAAGTCTTGGACATCGATGAGTGCAGCTCGGGCATTGAATTCTAAAGATTCTTGTCTTGCAAAAAGCTATCTCTGCTCAGCAACGTATTCGGTCCAGTACTGATGACGAGGTTCGATGTCGATTCTGAGAAGTGCTTCATCATTCCTGTCCGATCTCCATGTATTAGGGGCATTGTATTCGGCATTAGCGCAGAACGGACATAAGAAATGAAGGATCGAAGCTTGTACGAAGTGATAGGTACCACAACCATGACCAAGAGTTTGATCATGGAGAAAAGGATCTTGATTCTCTTCTCGGCAATTATCCACTTGTTTGACTCTCGTCACTACGTGCCCACAAGCTCTGTAAAACCCTTCGTCAAAGACGCAAAGTGATTCTAAAAATTCCGTATTAACTTGTGCTTTTAGGTACTTTGGGGAACGTGGAGCAATTACTTACATAATCCTCGGGTGAACTGTATTTATACTGATGATGGAAAGCATTGTTCTCCGTGGTGATGATTAGATATGATATGTTCATACATTTCTTTCCCACTGTTCTCCATATATTTTGAATTTCTTGAACAGGCTCAAAACAAAGACAAAAAAACAGATTGGTAAATTCCCAACAACTGCTAAAGCCAATCTCGTAGTCCTGCAGTGATAATGTTAATTCGCCATGGAATCTTAGATGCAGCACTTTCATGACCATGGAGTTTTGTTAAATGTAAACAAAGCCCTCGGAGCATGAATTTCCGCAACTTCGTTAAAACATAAAATCATAGTGCCACCAACATTGAAACTCAGTATATAAAGAATAAATGCAATGGATATACGTCCTGATCGTGGAAGAATGGAGGTCGAGGGGTGAAGGTGTGAATGTGAATGTGAATGTACGCGGTAAGGTGACAGAAAAAACCTTGTTTGTCTCGCCGCATTTTCTAGCTTTGTTAAAAATGTGGCACACTAATAACACAAATTGACCCTTCATATATCAGTTAAAATTCAATTGAAATTTATTGAAAGTTACACAGTTGATCCTGCCAAAAATATGAAGCCGCAGAGAAAAAACCCCTCTCTCCATAGCGATTCGCTACTGACGAAGCTTGAGTGTTATTTCATGGGCATGGAAAAGAACGAAATAAGCATTTGAAGCTTAGGGATCATTTGACCAAAATTACCCTAACCCTAAATGCAATGGGTTATCGATTGATGATGGTGATTCCCTTCGTCGATGAGTTCATTTCGTACTTTTAGGGGGGATCGTGATTGTGTAAGGTTAATCTGTTCGCCGTTCTTCCCATCCAGGTTATCCCTCAAGCTCACATTTGAGTTCAATCCATCAACAGAAAAAATAACACGCATACATGCATCAATTAATGTGAGCAATCAGTTAAGATGAGAGGTGTAATCAATCTTGCTCCAAAGTCTAACATTTTGGTGCATTCTGACAGCTTTGGGAACATCGCACAAGCTTTGCGGAGAATGGCGCGCTGTTATGCCTAGATTCAGATTCTGCTGTCAAGAACATGTTCACCTAACTATCCTACATCGATTTCAGATATAAAATTGTAGACTGCAGTTTATGGAGACTTACAAGGCTTCATATGACTCGATACACATTTCAAAAAAAATTGTTATGTGCGAATGTCGCTTCTGCCTCTTTTAGAACTGACAAAAAGCGATGCAGCCGCGGCTACTTGCCCTGCCATGCAAAGTCGTCAGCGTCCCATAATTGGATAGCTCAATCGGCGATGGTGTATTCAAAACAGGCGATATGTGCATAAATCATGTTACATCAAACAGGCACAACAAAAATTAACGTGCCCGTAAGACCAGTGGTGTGATGACACAAAATCCAGCCACGGTGAAACCATCCGATTGGTCATTTGAACTTATCCCGATCATGAACCTCGAAAATCACTTCAGTTCTCGTGTCACATCGATAAAAGCGTCTGCACAATATATAAGGCATTGGCACCCAGTGAATAATTATTGCACCACCACATTCATCAGGTATCACCAACAACAGTACTCACAACACAATAAAAATCAACTTCACACCTAGCATTGCGACATCAAGTTGAACCGAAAACACTTTCACAAATCATGTGTCCAGCACCAATGAGAGGATACTCGGATATTATGAATACCAGCGATAAAGGCTCTATTGAGTTAAATGGTAACGGGCAAAAGGTTGCCTTTCCCCACGAAGATGCGGGTGCTCATACACTTTGGAAGCAAAATTCAGAGGCAAAAACTCCGATATGGCATCTAAGAGTTACTGTGATCAAGAATGGCGAGGCTCGAGGGGATTGTCCTAGTCGTACCTTTGTAAGTCTTTTTATTGTCTCACTGGTAGTCGTTTAGCTGCTTATCATTCTTAGGCATTCAAGACCTTAGAGGAAGTCACTCGTGCCATCAACCAAGTTGAGACTGCATTTGGAAACACGTTTGAGCTGAAGAAATGTGGAATCGATTCACCAGATGCTATGGGTGGGAGAGTTAACGATGGGAGAAGTGAGAATATTACCATTCAATTTGATTCTGATGTAGCGAAGGAGTCATGGACGGAATTCTTGGGAAGATTGAAGGGACTGGAGGATGAATGGTCACATGCGACTGAAGTTTGAGATCTTTGAGGTTTGGTCTAGCACGGAAAAAGAATGTAGGAAAATAGAACTACAAAGGGAGTTGAGATCTGAAGAAATTTTCACGGCATGGTTAGTTCGGGGTCAAGGGGACACTGAGAAGGCGTTAAAGGGGGTTGGTGTAAAACTTTGTTGCTATTTGTAAAGATCGATTTCACGCAGTTGGCTTATGAAGACTTAACATCTGCTTGAAGGAATGTGATGGGCCAGAGGTCAGTCTGAGTTACGACGGTTGAGCTTACATCGGTGATTGTTTCAGATCATGGGAATTGCTTTCTGATCCGAGAAATTTCACCACTTACCCCAAGAATGTGAAGGGCCGCGACTTGGTATTAATGTTCTAAAAACTACAATTTGAAGATAAATCGGAATTGTGGTATCGAAATGTGTTGGTCATATTGTCATATAAATGGGGATCTGACTGCATAAGTCAAAAGTTTCACTTGGAACTTGTAACGGAAGAAGCTTCAATTCGCTTTATTGTGAGTTTTGTTTGGAGGGGAATTAAATCTCTTAGACTTGATAAATGATTATTGTGATTAGATTAAAATTAGTTGATTTAATCGTCCAATGCTCCTGCATTAAGTGCATCAGATTACGGACGTGACAATGCTAGCACATGCCAATTCGTATGCATAGTAGTACATTATGATCAAATTCATATCTTTTCCTATACTGGTTGATATGGAAGTCCATCATTCCACTATAGTCCAGATCGGAGTGCAGATTATAGTTCCGTGGAGATTTGAGGACTCAGCAGCTTGGAAGCAGCACTAATCTTCATTTTGCTATGTACCTGCCAGCCAGAGCTGCACAAAAGTTAAAGATCATCTAATCAATACACCTACCTCAGTGGTAAACAAAATAGCGTTCTTCTTTGGAAATGGACCAAAAGTATCTTCTCTGTCTGACACGAAGAGCAGTCCATTAAGTGCTCAAGACATGATCGTCACTCCAACACTACTTTTCCGCGGGCAAACCACTCCGCAAGACTGTTCGCAGGCAGAACAAGGTGCATCACAGGCTTCTCGAGAAGCATTTTAACAAGCCTCACAATCTATACAACAAGCACGCCAATCTGCATCGGAGGGCACCCAGCAAGCATTAAAATCAGCTTCGGATTCTATGCGACAAATATACAATAGCGCTAGTCAATTGATTGCTGCTGCTTCGGGAAGCTCATCAAGTGTTGAGAGTAGTGCAAGTTCAGCGATTTCAAGTATACAAGCGTCGGCCAGCTGGGCTGTGGCGAGAGCAGTTGAACAAATGCAAAGTGCACAATTTACTGTCAGTCTACTGTAGGTAAGTGAGATGGATTTGTTGAAAATAGTATTAATAAAAGGGCGCAGCAGCGCTAAATAGGTTGGAACAGAGTTGTTAACGTTGAATCTTACAGCAAGAAGTTTCAAAGGCGGGAGCCACTGCATCTGTCGTTTTCCCCTCATAACTTATTTTTCTATCCCTGTTCCACAGCTAAGAAGACTTAGGCATCCAATAAAGAGGCTCAAGAATCTCAAAACGCAACCATTACCGCGACACAGGCAGCTGTAGCGATAGTGGAGAGCATAATCGCTTCCACGAATTGTACGCAAAGGAAATGCACAAAAAACAAGTCAGTCATAGATATGAGCCGTAAATGAAACAAAAATACCCAGCATGGAATCCTCAAAACCACCAAAAGGCATCAAGTCTTGAATCTTGGTTACAGTTCGAAGTCAGAGGTGGACTTACACCTTTCCCTAATTGCCCAAATATTTTACAAAAGTCTAGAAATAGTGATGAAAAAATATCTTAAGAGGAACAGGTATATTCACCAATAAGTATGATGTCGATGGAAAGTCAAAGTATTACTATTCCCGGTGTTTCGATTTCTTTTAAGTCAATCACAACAAACAGAGATATAACATCACTTGAAGATGACCAATACATAGACGCGGGATTGGAAGACAAGAAAGAAGATCGAGTTGAACCGATAGTGAATAATAGAAGAGAAAGTGCATGGACAGATGATGTACGGAGTACGATCCCTCACGAGGAACCTCCACTTCGACCCTAGAGTTTCAAAAAGCTCTTTCCTAAACCTGATCAATCTGTTCGCAAAACCGCACAATGATCCATGGAGCAGCAACAGCAAACACAAAGCTTGGAAACACCAACACAGAGCCAGGATTTCATTAGAGTTTATTGAAGGATTTTGATTCTCCATCAACACTAGAAGCGTCGAGGATTAGCGATCTACCAAAGACGCCTAAACTTGGCGTAAGTGTGAGCATTAAAAGTATGAAGGGGGGAGTGCATTATGTTAAGTCAGTGAAGAGCGTCAAAGGGAATCTTTCAGGTTCTCAGTCTCGTAGAAAGACTGTTCAAAGTGGTGATGAAGACAGTAGAATAGAGGGAGTTGGAGAGAGTGGAGAAATTAGGGAGATAAGTTCATAGATGGATTTCCTCCTGGTTCCTAAAGAAAGAGATAATTAATAGTAATGATGCTAGGTGTACTTAGAACGGAAGGTATTTAAAGCAAAAGATGATAATTACTAGGTAGTTGAAGAATGCGGGATAGTTTTCACACGAGAATCAGCAAATGAAGAACCCGGCGAACAACCTTTCCATTCAAACAATTCCCCTCCATTTAAAATGCAATTAGTGCTTGGATTATACCACACCACAACCCATATTGAAAGATTATATGCTGAGAGAATCACTCGAAATTCGAATCCCTGAATACCACCCTCAATACCCACCCTAACAGAAACCAATGTACCCCGCCCCGAATTATATATATTGAAGTCCCTCGTCCACTCAATCGTGATCCCACATCCGCAACTACCTTGCTGCATCGACTGAACTTTCATAAAACTTTTCCATTTTCATCCAAAATTCCTACCATCACCACTTTCTCATCGCTAAATGGGTTATGAACATAAACTTCTTTCTCATCGTAATATATAACATGATTCTCAGGTTCCGAAATCAGACTTCTTATGTTTTGATGAGACCTGCAACTAGAAAGATTTAGGGGCCTAATTGATCTCAAATTAGCATGCCACACAATGAATATCTAGGTACTTCTGGGTAGACTTACAATGGAGGCAAAGGCTTTTGTTTCTTCACAAGAGCTTCCTGAGGCAATGGAGGTAATGGTTTATCGTAAATGTAGAATACTGTTCCATCACATGGGCCTTCACAGCTCAATCGTGATTCTCGAGTTCGAAGTATGGTGGGGCATGTTTCTGCAACAAGTGTGGTTCCGGTGTAGGCTGAAAAGTTTGAGTCACAAGAGTTACGGCTGTAGACTGAGGAGCTTCGGTTGTGTTTTGGGCCAGGTGAATTAGGCACTTGAAGGAATACTAGGTTCGACATAGCGATATATCGTAGCTTTCTCAATCAAAATCCTTTTTAGCTGATACGTGTTTATTCCCTCGGTCACGCAATGAATATGTATTGAATTGTCTTAGAACAATCGTCCAACGGGTCCATAGCTCTTGACTGAGAAGAGCTATCCATCTTATGTATATCCTCGAAGCTGAAAGCTTTAGCAAGGATATGGTACGACTACGTTGCAATAGGATTCTTTCGCACGATTAAGCCGAAATTTGGATGATGTTTGGGGCGCAGAAATAATCCTTCATGACGCCTTGAAATGCTGAAAGTCGCCTCGTGAGATGAAGGGGCAGGATTTAAAGTTAAGCTTTGACGAATGACCGATGACCCGATGCAGGCCTACAAACCCTGTATTTCCAGGGCAGCAGAATCCTACATCTCACCAAAACTTTTATATATAGAAAATGTTTAATTATTTATAACATTTCATGGATTGAAACCTGGTGTGGATAAATCTCTTGGCTCATAAGAACTCATCTAGAGCAGTGTTCGAATAATTATATTGTCTTTAGGCCTTGTTTTAGAGTCTTGAAATGGATGTGGCTATGAAGACTTTCGCAGTTTTGGAGCGTGATACGTAAAAATTTATCTGCCGGGTTTGTTTCTTTCGCTTCTCCTGTCCCGCTTCTTAAATTTAGCTGCTAGCGCAGACCTAAAGATTAAGATATGCTTACGACGTTATGTCGTACATCGAGCCAGTGATTCGTGCTTTTTAATGTCTCGCGGTAAGTGTCGTGTCCCGAGATCTCGTCATCTTTGCTTTCGTGTAGAAACATTCTCGGCATCTCAGTGAACAACAATGAGCTGTACTTATTGATATCTTTGGTATCCACTGCATGCAAAAATTACCCCTCTGCTAGTTGTTTATTCACGATGCGTAATTGCCTTACCCGTCTAGAGGCGGAGATGCTTGCACCCCCTCCTGTTCCTGGGAATTGGGAGTACCTTGGACCTCGGAAGGCCATTACTATGAGTTCGCAAGGTATGAAAATTAGGAGAAGGAGAAAAAGAGAGAGCGAGGATGAAAGGCACAGAAACGGAAATCATTTTCAGTTAGGAAGGAGGGAAACATCTAGTGGTATTGAGGGCCTAACATTTGATTATGCTGGGAGACCGGTGTAAGTCTAGCTTCCTGCTAGAACGCTTGGCTAGATCAACTATTCGCTTGTATTTTTTGGCTAACAATGAGTTCTGCCCAATAGCTGGCGAGACCCAAGGAAAAAGACGAATAGTTACAGACGACACAGATGTTCCAAAAGCCGAATACATACAAGAGAAACTATATTGTTCCAGGGCCTGGGAATGTTGTCAATCAAGCTAGCAGAGCCAGGTTAAATGGCCTAGCAGTCATAATTCCATCCTAACCTGCTACCCAGCGTGGTTTTGTCGGAAAGTTTAGAACAATGATGATAAGCTCGCTAGCGCTGGAATAGTTCTGCTCATTAATCTTATTCTTTTGAACTTTGTTGTTGTGTACATCGTTTCCATCCCATTAAGCAGTTTGTCATTTGTACCAAGGTTGTGGATGAAGAATGGCATGATGAGCCAGTTAGGAATAGCAAGGGAGCTATTCTAGGTCAATATTGATTTTAGAGCAGAGCAGAATATAAAAGGTACTCCATGACTCTCCTGTTTAAGATTTGCGATGGACAATAGCAACCTTCAATCATTTTTTATCTTTGAATTCGAGAGTTCAAAAGCTAACCTCTGTCTCGAATCATATATAGATAATTTATTATCCCAAAGAAACTCACAACTTTCTTTTCTCTGATTGATGGATTTACAACCTCACGCAAGGGCCAGGGCCGGATGGTTTTTTTCGGAAAAGGAAACTCTGCATTGTTGAACACAATTGTGTGGACTATATGTGAGATCAAGAAACGGATCACTTTGAGTAAGACTTTTAACCAGATTGCATTATGAAGCTAAATAATTCCCCAGAGATTCACTCTATTTTTAAAACATCACCATATACACCGTTAAAAACTACATTCAACGAATTAGGCTTCTGGCAATTCCCAACCAGATTCTCATATTCCAGTACTTGGATATCTCCTGTGAAGATTTACAGACCACTAGCAGCAAGTATCGCCGGTTGCTCCAAGATGAACGCAGGGCCAGCAACAACAGACTCCTCAGTGGGCGCGTCCACCTCATCAGAAATAACTGCCAAGATTATACCCTTCAGTTCAAGATTGGCAGGGAAAATTGTGCTATTCGTAGCGACATCGTACGGGACCGAAATAATCTCCAACCCGTGAAAGAAAACAGCATAATAAATTTTTCCCTCCTCAAAACTTGGCACTTGACTCCCATTACTACCTGCTTCGTAAACAAATGTTAACTTCCCTCCAGGAGTTATTTGTCCCGGCGCATGTAACTGTGGTAAGTGCTGACTAGGAGACGGGTATTCAGGGTTCGCACTTGGACATGAACCATCGATAATAAACCGATTCGTCGAGTCTAGGATTTGATTCGCATATGGAAAACTCGTATCTATTGGACCAGCGAAAGGATCAACTCCCCAAACTGAAATCAAAGCCCACGTGGTGTGACGAGTCTCGGTCTCTCCAATCCCCATCAATGCGCCTTTCGTTTCGTTCATCTTTGCTTGCTGCACTAGTCCGGCTGCGAATGCCATACTTGATACTTCAATCAGAATTTGCATTTCTAAGAATTCGGCTGCGGTGCTCCAGCCAAAATCGTAACTGCAGGGACCAGGTTTAATCGATGTGTTAGATATCGAATCCTGGAATATCCGAAGATGACCAGCTTCGTTATCGCGGATCTCTTGAATGCGATCGTAGGTTGTATTCGGAAATCCAATGGATGTAAATGATGTAAAATTTAGAGCTTCGACAGCTTGCTGGTAGAAGGAAAATACTGCCCATTCTGCTCCGAGAAGGTTTTGAAAGAGAAGGTCGTCAGGTCCGGGTGGACCACTCGCTGTTGGTAAGATAGGTGCTGTGTAATTTGCTGGAAATGGTGCAGATTTACCACGATATGAACTATAGTAGTCCGTTTCGCTGGGTATTGGGCCATTGAATGGATTAGAGACGTTGACAGTTGTTGGAAGTGCAGCGGAGAGGCTCGCAGCAACTAGCATAGACAAAAGAACGAATTCCGAGTGCATCTTATAGTTTTCTATATAACTTGAATGGCTTGGATATAAAAGTTTTATGTGAGGAGACAATGTGTGAGAGTGTGATAGAGATTGCTATGAACTCCAAAGCGAAGAAAGCCCTCTTATATATATCAAATACACAATGCGCTAAACAGATTCACCGAGTAGTCATCAAGCCAGTATCAACGAGCCCCTAATTGTATACTGGTATATTTACGAAACCATACCATTTTGGTTGAATTGCCTACTTATTACCGTTGATGTTCGACTAAGACTCGAACTACGAAAAGATTACCTATTCTGTAAGATGACCAGTGCGTCTAATATCCCGGATTGCAATCGATCCAACGATAGAAGGACTCTTGAATTATTCAGCATAATCAAAAGCTTTAAATTTTACCATTAATTTAAAATAATTCAATTATCGCAAAAATTCAGAGTATTAGTTGGAATATTTAGTTCATTTGGAATATTCGGATCATATAAAACATTGAATTCATCTCAAACTCTGAACTATTTTCAGGTACATATTGAAAACTCCAATATAGTCTGCTAGTCCAGATTACACAACTGAAAGGTAACTAGATCTTATTACAAGCTAATGCCTCTAAACTTAAATTGTATCCCATCACCACTAAAATCACATCACGTCATTTGCGCTGGGGTTACCCCTTCGGGTAATTTTAGAGTCGTTAGCAGCTCGTAGTGTCAAAACTAAAATTGTGGGTACAATTGAATGAGGCTGAGCCTGATCGACGAATGAAATATGAATCCACGACTCTCAGATTTAGACTTCCGAAAGATACCTAATGGGTTGAGTTGTTACAAACATTTCAAGTGGTCAAAAATCATCAAGAATCAAAAATCTTTATAAAGACCTTGGATAAAACAATATAACATTTATCTCGTATCATATCAGTCAGCCCCGCCCAAAACTATCCGCTAGTAAACAATATCACAGCAAAACCGAAGGAAATGTAGTACATATTTGGCCCATCATAAGAGAACGAAAACGAGACCTTTCCTATACACCATTTTTTGGTATCAAACGACCCCACCCTCCTCGACCAGCCAAACCCGCTTCATTACTCATTAGATCATCTCCATCATCACAATCCTTTTGATCGCGATCCATTTTATCACAATTCATCCTTTTTTCCAATCACAGCCTCAGTAGCCTCTCCAACGACGCTTCCCACACTACTAGCCATCTGTTCAACTCCCTCACTTGCTTTACTAAGTGCTTCGTTTCCGCCCTCTCCCACGCTTGATGCAAACTCATTTAATCTGGCCCGTGCTGACTCCACTGCGGAATTTAGTCTTGATTGCGCACTCTCCACAGCCCCCTGTTCGTGGCCATAGATAGCTTCCGAGACCTTTGCTTGTGCAGCCGAGTAAGAATTTGCAGCCGCGGAAGTGGCCGATTCGTAGTTCTCTGCAATAACCTTGGTTGCCGATTCGTAAATTCCAGTAGGTGTTCCGTAGATTGCTTCGGAAATGGCCTTTTGAGCCGAAGCAGCGGCGTTCGAAATCGAAAGCCGAGCTTGATCCGAATATCCTAGTTGAGTGCCATAGAACTGGACATTGGCAGCTTGGACAGCCTCATCAAGATGATGGGAAGCGACATCAAGAATCTCCTCGATTACAGGGGGAGGAGTGAAAATTGAGTTGGCAACCGAGCTAGCTGATGCGTAAGCCTGACTCGCGTAAGATGAGGCGGAAGATACTGCATCGCTTGCACCAGTGTAATAAGCGGAGCTCAGGCGACTATAAACGCTTTCGGTGAAATCTGGTTCCTTTCCAGAAACCAGCTCATTAACAAGCGACTGCACAGCCGAGTATTGAGAGGCCGCACCGTTAGTAGCTTGAGCAGCATATTGTTGAACATTCGAAAGAAAATTGCCAGTCACGAAGTATGGTGTGGGGGAGCCATAGACTTGCTGACTAGCTTTCGTGATAAGAGCTTCCCAGTTTTTGCTGGCGACAGAAGCGATAGATTCGGGAAGTGGTGTTTCGCTACTAGAAGTAACCCCTTTCATCTTTTCAGCTATCTCGGAGGAAAGGCTTGCATAAGATGAAGAAGCTTTAGATGAAGCCTCGGCAAAACGCGAGGATGCAAGATCCGTAAATTTTGCAGAGGGAATAGCATCACTAGCAACGTTGGCGACTTGACTAAGGACTTTGTCAAATCCGGCTTGAGCTTTTGCGACAGCACTCGAATAATCTTGTGAGGCTTGGGATAGAGCAGCTTCGTATGCTGGAGTTGAAGTCCCTAAAATGCTGGCACTGGCTCTATTATAAACACTTGCATGGAATGGTGTTTGAGCTGGCATAACAGCTGAAGATGCTGCCTCAAGGAACTCGGAGTATCGAACATGAGCCAAACCGACGCCAGCATAGTACTGATTTTGAGCTTGGGTAAGTAACTGTTGAGCCGCTGGGGTAGGTGCAGGGCCAAGGTGACTCTTGGCAGCATCGTACTGAGAAGAAGCAGCTTTTAGGCCTTCAGATAATCTGGATGCAGCTACGGATCGAATCGATTCCATGGCATCTGTCGGGGCTCCATAAATGGCGGTTGATGCTCCAGAAAGTGCAAGTTGAAGCCTAGAACTAGCAGCATTGACGGAATCAGAATAAGCGGATTCGACAGAACTAAACATTTCCTGGTGAACGGGCTTTGGAGATCCTGAAGCTTGAGCAGAGACAACAGATTTTGCTTGTGAGTAGTGCTCAGATGCCCTTGATAATGCGTCATGATACACTGCCTTAGCCGAGCTTGTAGCAGAATCAAGGATTGGCGCGGGTGTACCATAGATCACAGAGCTGGCACTAATCCAACGTCAGTAGATTTCTAAATAACAAGACTAAAAATTGCTCAGGATGTCCAATAGTCCGGACAAGGAGACTAGGTGCGAGGGTTTATGGCTTGAGAACAATCAAATATTTTGAACAAGTACGATGTTTCAAATGAACTCGGGAATCAAAAGTCAACTCGTTCTCATGTTCAAGTCCGGACTATTGGCAACAATGATATTGCTTAACTTACGCAGAAACGGCGTCAGAATAACGACTTGTAGCAACACTAGCAACACTTTCACCAATACCTTGTTCTGTTCCATAGAGTACTGAACTCGCGGCAGCCAAAGCACTAGAATATTGTTCAGCACCAAGCTTTTTTGTGCTGCTAGGTTTCAGTAAGGCTTCGCTGACTGCTCTTGTCATGTCACTAAATCGGTCTCCGGCGACGCTTGCCATACTTTGTATCTTCTCACTGTAAGTTTCCTCGTCGGAATCATCAATCACATCGTCAAAGATGATCTCCCTTGCTTCGACATGAGCAGCCATGGCTCCGCCCCAAACTTTCTTGGACGCCGTGCTTGAGGCGGCTGAAGCAGCTGAGGTCAGGGAGCTGGTAACATCAGTTGCACTCTTCGATAATGAGCTTGCAATAGACGATGATGCGGACTCTAGAGATTGTGACACAGTTGATGCTTGATCGGAGATCGCATCGCTAAGAGATACACTGTTGGAAACTGCAGAACCTGCCGATAGGACGCTGCTTGACGCTTGGCTTACCACTCCTGGTTGCTTACCAACTACAGACGAAGATACTTTCATTGAAAGACTTTCGATACTTTCGCCAAGAACCGAGCTGACACTTTCGATACTTCCCTGTGAGGTACCAATGACAGTGCTTGAAATTTGGTCAACAACATTGCTCACTGAGTCCTTGGCCACAGATGCAACACTCTCTACGTTTCCTTGAGGGGTCCCGATGACACCTGAAGAGATCGATGAAGCCGCCTCATCAGCCAATGATGAGACGGATTCTAGAGTCTCTTCTGTAGTGTCGGCAATGGCCTCGCTCGCGTCGTTAATTTTCTCGATAACTTTTTGACTTGCGACGGATGCAGCGGGTGGAATGTATTTAGTGCTAAAATCATCACTGGAGTCGCCGCTTGATACCTTCCATTTTCCAATTTCTTTGATACGGGAAAGTTCAATGGCTGCGTTTTCGGCCAACCCCATGGCTTTGCTCTCCACATCTTCTGAGGCTGCTCGAGCTTTCGCGAGACCCGGGTGTTCGGTGACGACCTTTTCAACATCAAGTCGCCACTCTTCGAATTTACTCTTCAAAGCATGATATTTAGTCCAATCTTTATGAGTGATTCCATCGGTCCAGGCCCATCGCATTCCAATTTCTTGTAAACCCAAATCTCTTATGTGGTCGATTATATCAAATGTATCTTTGACTGATTTGGCAATGAGAGAACTGGTCTCCATGTCGAAGCTTTGCCGCCAAGTTCTGACGGCCTGAGCCTTCTCCTTAATTGCAACTCCTGCTTTTCGGACGGCAGTGTTGAGGGAATCCTCGGCTTCTTCCCCAGTCTTTTCAGATTGTATGATTGAAATTATGCTGGATTTAAGGGACTTGAGGTTTGCATTGATGGCTTCTTCCAATTCGATGAGAAGTGCAGATCCTACCTTATTGGCTTGATTTTGAACCAGCCTTTCAGTAATCTCGGTCACTCTCTCATCAATTTCGTCGGAGCCCTCATCTGCAGCTTTGGAGAATTTTTCTTGCCAGGTTTTAAGATCTTTTGCAACAACGTTTCGAGCATTTTCTCTAATCTCGTCTTCACTCAAGGGCTTATTTTCAGGTGTTTTGGTAGAGGAAGTAGAAGCTGAAGAGGAAATGGAGCTCAAGGATGTACCTGTAGCGTGCGCAGATGAAACTGAAGAAGAAAGCGATGAGAGTGTGGAAGAGGCAGAGAAAGCAGAAGACGATCTAATTTCCGTAAGCTAAGATCTAATAAATACATCCAACGAACTCACGAAACAACACTGTCTACCACAGCCTGTAATTTCTTGCCATCCCTATATCTACCTAATCTCTCTCCAATCCGTACCAACTGTGGCTCCACATTTTCGCCGTATAAAATCCTCAATTTGGGCCAAACCTTTCTATCCAAAAATACCCCAGTCGAGGTCAAGGCCGACTTTGTATAAGGAATCCCGGTGCCTACGACAAAATCATTCGCGTATCCATAACTCTGAACGGCATATGGTTGTACAAGATTGAACGTTGGAACAACAAGTTCCTGGTATGTTTGTAAGGCATTCATCTTGGCCAAATTGAGATATGGACCACTCGCCTCCGTAACCTTGTTCCAATGAGGAGCCAATGTTCGATCGTATCTAGCCTTCGCGATCGCTTGGTATTTCAATACCTCGGGCTGTAATGTTTTCTCCCATTTTGCTTGACCATATGCTTGTGCTTGTGCCACTCTGGGAGCACCGTATTTCATAGCCAAGGCAGTCGCCGGTGCAATGACTCTCTTGTCGAGGGACTGATAGTAGGGCTTGGCGACATTCACATATGGTGCGGCATATGAGTCGTAATATGGTTCGAGATGAGGTACAACGGTTGATCGTAATTGAAAGTATGGCTTGCAGATTTGAGGGGTGGTATCTGTGACGAGGTCGAGGGTCTCAGGACATCGTAGTAATACTGTGATTATCGAGTACCAAGTGAGGATTCTAAAGGATCATTAGTCATTGACAACGAGATAGAGCATGAGTTTATAGCATACCGGGTAATAGTACCCAGACTGAAGATGGTAAAAATGATGCTCTTCTTTTTCTCATCATTCTTGCTCTTTGCTGGTGGCAATGCGGGAATAGCAGTGCCGCCCTTTATCCCATTCGCTTTAGAATCCACCACTTTTCCATTGCTACCTGCCGCCATGTTCTCCTACAGCATGTAGATTTGAAGAAATTTCTTCTTGTTTCTCCCAATGTAAAGAAATTATGATTGGGTGAAGGGATTTTATTGGGGTGGTGAAAATGTAACAATGTTACAAAGCAGTAAAGTGGGAGGGAGAGCTTGCCGAAAAGTAAGTCAGCATATAAGGTTAACAATAAGTAGGTAGGCAAGGTTTGAAATGGTGGTGGTGATTGAATGGACCTTGATCTGGCTGGAAAAAAAAGTTATGGGATGATGATTTTCCAAGTTCTGATGTGTGCCAAGACCTTGTGATAATGGGAGGTTACAGTACGTACGGTACGGCTATCGCAGATGATTGATGACGAGGGATGTCAGAAGTTGGTGAAAGAAAAAAAGAGCGGAGAAAAAGAAGGAAAGGAAAAAGGTATGATAAAGGAGTGGGTTAGTTATATTTTTATCAATTGTCAGTTATCTGTCTGTGAAATACCTAGGTAATTAATTACTAGGTAAATATAAGTTGAAAAATGTGGTTTATGTTTTGCTGTCTACAAGTCTCGCCCTCTATTCTTGTTGTTCTTACAGAAGATCTTACTTCCCAGGTTACAGTACCTAGGAGTACCCAGCATAGCACATCTCTTGTTTCCAGTGAAGCTTTGAAGCCTAGGCCATACTAATGTTTAGTGCCCGAAAGCGAGAGATTGTGATTAGCTGGAACAATGAACTATTCTGTCGTCATACACAGGGTCATACCGTAGGTGCGGCTGTCTATCTGGTCGTAACCTTCAGATGAAGGGTGAAGACCAATATTTCTACTTAGTAGTACTAGACATACATACTAGGTAGTAGTTAATGATATTAGCTTTATCATTCACCAAGAAGTGTTGGATGAGACGAATGGTGGTGATCAGAATTGACTGCAAAGTAGGTAGTAAGGTTACATACAATAGGTAGCTAAGTATACTGCTAGATGAAAAGCAGCAGGCATATAAGGTTATGGATATGGATTCAATTATTATTACAACACCATCAAACATTGGATGACTCGCTTCTTACAATTATTATCGACTTTTCTTCAAGTTATAGAGTACAAACTACCATACAAAAGCTGTCCTCCCCTCAAATCTTCTACAACGGATTGTGATGCGTCTTTTCATGAGATTACATCCCGAAGTAATTCTGTTGTTTCATGTGATCCTAACACCCCCGCCTCATGCTTCATATATACATTCATTCCTGCCTTTGTGTCAGAGGCACTTTCCTGGTTACTCTGAAGCGGGGGAAGAACCAAAGCACCAGCTGTTCCAGAGGTCAAAATTGAAGTAGAGAAAAATGGGTGAATCTGGAGTACAAAATAATACAGAACTCAACGTCTAATCCATACTTTTTTTTTTACCAGGAATCACCCCGCATGAAGGATTTCCGGATCTCTGCGGGTCCATTGATTATCTGATAGTTGAGATAGTACGCACGTGACCATTTCTCCTCCATCACCCCCAGGGTATTAGGTAGGTAGCTTGTTGTGCTCGAGAGTGTAGATATGATATTTCCAGATAGTCTGCCTCCATGGCAGTGGCCCCCGGAGGGCCAGCGGAGCGTCAATCCATGGACTAGTAATAATTCGAGTACGAAGTAGTATGTATGATTATGATTATGATCGGTGAATGTTTTATGTTGTTACAATCTAATCTCACTTCAAGGTGATTAGCCCTAATGAATAACCATCCAAGTCATAGCCAAAAAGATCTTTCACATAGGTATCTTCACAGTAATAATCTTGAAGCACTATCTGTTTCAGGTAGGTGTAAGACCGGAAATTATTGTTTATCAAGTAGAATATCAGAAATGATATATTGTTGAAATATTGAAAGGTTGATTGAAATGTTGATGAGGGCGGTCAATGTTTATTTTACAGAGGGTTGGTCCCTATCAAGGACAATCTAGGGCTGTACTACTTTCTCTTAGCGTTTCACAACAAAGGATCAATGGAATTTGCCATTGACTCGATTAATAATAATAATAATCCTCAGAACCATCTATCTATTAACCACCTACTCAATCCATCATAAATTTTGTAATCATATATTATATCATTGCTTGACTACCTTTTTCTACCATATTCATAAAAGTATCTTTTGTAATTCCATTTACTTTTATTCCTTCCTCTTTCATATCTCCTTTCTGGTGCTGCCACTCCCTCACTCCTTCGACAACTCTGTGCATTAACTCCGACAATCGTCGCTCTCCCCATCAATTTACCACCGACCACTGCACATCGGCACGACGCCACACTGTCTAGAGATATCCGAATCTCCCATGCTACGACGAACATCATCAATTTAAGGCATTGATTGCACTCGACACTTTTTGCCCACTGAACTTGATATCGTTTTCCGCCTTGCGATAAAACCCTTTCTCTTTCTCATCGTTCCGACCTTCCCACGTCCCTTCCACCATGTCTACATTAGGGATTCTCCCCACACCCGACGACGATCCTATGCCAGACGTCATGAATGATCCTCAATATGCGACCAATACTACAAATGGGAAGGATGATAATGGTGATCCAGACACTTGCAGAATATGTAGGGCCGAGGCGACGGAGAGAGAACCTCTGTTCTACCCTTGCAAATGTAGTGGGAGTATCAAGTTCGTTCATCAGGATTGTTTGATGGAATGGCTATCGCATTCGCAGAAGAAACACTGTGAACTTTGCAAGACACCTTTTCGATTCACCAAGCTCTACTCGCCCAATATGCCGCAGTCATTACCTACTCGCGTTTTCCTAAAACATTTTACCTTCTACATCATCAAGAACATGGCTACATATTTAAGATTTTTTCTGGTGATTTTTGTTTGGCTTGTAGCCCTCCCATTCTTCATTCGACAAGTATGGCGATTTTTATTCTGGTTCAGCGATGGAGGGACACCAGCCCGGAGCTCGGCAATCAATCTCAAGCGGAATGAAACGGCTTCAAGGGCTTTGGAAATTGCTCGCGATGTTGCGAATTCTGCTTGGGATGAGGGGGTGACACCTGTAACGCCTCTCAATACTAGTCATACTTCGCCCGCTGGAATCGGAGGAGTCATGGAAAAGCTGATGGCTATCATCATGCCCATTTCTCAAACACTCAATATCAGTGGCTCGGACCCTCTCACAGCTGGTTTCTTCAAGTCTCTTTATTACGGCTTGGGAATGACCAGTGCAGTCCCTTTGGACGCCTCAATCAACGGCACAGGCATGTTCTCAACGGCGTCCCTATCTGGGGCTCAGGGTGATTCGCTCCTAAGTAACGTCTCTTTCTTAGCAAATATGACTAGGTCCCCCTGGTTGAATCAAGCCATTGTCGACATGACCGAGGGTTATATCATAACTATAGTGATCGTGGTTACTTTTATTCTTGTCTTTTTGATCCGTGAATGGGTAGTTCAACAGCAACCTGTAATCAATATGGGCGCAGCGTTTAATGCGGACATGGCTGCCGGTGGTGCAGGTCCTCGTGAAGATTTACCTGTTGATGTCCATGACCTCCAAGAACAAATGGAGGAGCGCATCCGAATACAAAGGGAGCGTCTTGACCAAGTTCGTGATAGAGCGATCGCTCATGCTCGAAGAGGCCGGAATAACAATGGTGAGCCTGGTGTTCAACCGGCTGTACCAGCAGAGATACGCAACCTTAATGGCCCTCTACCTTTAGCTAACTTCGATATTGAACCTGTTTCAGGAGTTGAAACTGGTGAACTAAGAATTCCACCTTTGACCTTCAATAGGCAGCTAGATCCTTCTGACCCAGAAGTTCAGCTCACCGATCAATTCTCAGCCATATGGCGCCGAGCGGGAGGAGACCCTAAAGAGGTGTTGGAAATAATAGACCAGGAAGGGTTAGGAGACCGAATGCAGTATTGGGTCGATGCCATGAATCTACGGTTGCAAGGTGGAGATTCTCAAGTGGCTAACCATATCGATACAGCCAAATCAGCCAGTAGTAGTAGGGTCCCACTGGTATCAGATCCACACCGAACTGCCAATATGAGCAATGTAGCTAAGTCAGGAAAGGTGGTTGAGGTGGACAAGGGCAGTGTCAGCTCGGGTATTTTGGAGGAAGCGCCCCAGTATCCTCAGAAAAAACACAATAATTCGACGTCAAATGGAGAATCCAGCCGGAGCTCCGTCTGGATCTCAGCAGATGACGAGAATAACAACGAATTGAATGTGACATCGGGGCATTGGCGGAGGGAAGAGAATTCTCACTCGAATATTGCAGATGAAAATGAGGCCAAGTATCCGATGATTTCGGGTGGGCGGACTCCTGCATTCCCCAATCGAGAGCCGTATCCGCTTCCACTATCTCAGAATAGGCCCAGGGCTATCTCAGATGTTCCTCATTGCCGCGACAAGTCACCATTAGGCCGGAATAATTGGGCATTCTCCGATCTTCCCGATGAAGACTTTTCTGATCACAATCTTCACCTGTTTCAGAGTAAAGGCCCTAACGAAAGTGACATGATTTCCATGTCCCGAAAGGCGGTAGATGGTTTGGGTTTGCACGAAGGGGCGATCTCAGAATCAGATGTTGGTCCGAGCAATGCGCAATCACCTCCTCAAACCCGGGATGATCAGACCTACAATCTGGATTATGATGGTCCATTGGAGATAGTTGGCCAAGATGGTGTAAGTCGAACCGCTGAGAATTGGGAAGAAGTTTTCGAAAACAACCCCATCTCAGATGACGACGAAGATAATTTTGATGAAACGGAAGAAAATCCTTTTGCTCCGGACACCCCTCTACCACCACCTCAGCGAGAAGCCATTATTCCACATCGACCAGCGGAACCGGAAGGTATCGTTGGGAACATTGCAAATTGGCTCTGGGGTAGACCTGGGGTTGCTTTACGAGAAGATGATATGGGTGCGAATGATGAACATGTAATTGAAGATATTGCAGCTGAGGCCCCATTTGTACCAGTGGCACAAGCCCGTCGCGATGACTTTGACCGCAGGGGGGCTGAAAATGAAGAGATCAACGGAGCACACGAAGCTGCCATTGTAGAAGCCGTCGATCCTGAAGGAGATATAGAAGATGGTGAGGATTTTGATGGTATAATGGAACTCGTCGGTATGCGGGGTCCCTTGTTCGGTCGTTGTTCAGGGGGCCCTTTTTTGTTCTTTTCTTCTAGGCATCACAATAGGCCATTTTCAGTTTGCTTTTCTTCTAGGCATCACAATAGGGATGGTTGTTTGGATCATACACATGGGCCGGAATTCAATCATCTTTTGGCAAACCCTGGACCAGCATTTAAGCTCCCTCTTCGATTCATCTTTGAGGCCGCGGCTTTGTTCAAGACACTGCATTAGTGGTCTTGGGGCTCTTGTCGTACTGCTTCATTGCTATCGCTCAAATACCACTACGTCTACTTGCTCTCTCCAGCTTACAGGGAGGACAGGATGCGCTTAGACTAGCTCAAGCTGCTTTCGAACGAGTTGTGAATGGCACCGTTGATAGTATCATCCACATTGCGGATTCTGAGATATTCACGTTTTCAGCTGCGTCACATGAAGCTCTGATGGTGATCAAATCTAACTTCTTGGGTGCACTTGCGACTATCGGGAACGGATTTATGTTTTTGTTATCAGGAAGTTATCAAGTGACCGTCTCACATATCGAAAACCTGGTAACTTCTCTGGTCGAAGCCGTTGTATCCTTTGTCTTTGGAATACCCGCATTCTTAGCACGGCCCGATTCTTGGGTTATTAGTCTAGAAGTCCCCAAACGATTAGCACCATTGGATCCAGCATTAAGTGTGTGGGGTGGGCTGGATCGGACGTTGGCTACGCTGGCAGGTTTCACGACCCTTACTGTATTGGGTGGCCTTTACGTCAGGAGAGGTACACCATTCTCAACAGAGCAGGGTAATGTAAGAGATGTGGAAAATGGGGTGATTGATATGCTCAACCAGGCAGGTGGAGTCATGAAGGTGATTTTCATCATCAGCATCGAAATGCTTGTCTTCCCCTTGTATTGTGGCCTTCTACTTGATGCAGCTCTATTGCCACTATTCGAAGGGGCTAGTATCATGTCTCGTCTCAATTTCACTAGTCGGTCACCTCTTACCTCAATATTTGTACATTGGTTTGTTGGAACGTGTTATATGTTTCATTTTGCCTTGTTTGTATCCATGTGTAGGAAGATAATGCGGAAGGGAGTTTTACGTAAGATATTGACAAATATTCATGCCAAAAGAGCCATTGCTAACGTCAGCAGATTTCATTCGTGACCCTGATGATCCGACGTTTCATCCTGTTCGTGATGTGTTGGAACGAAACGTGACAACCCAACTACGAAAGATTTTGTTTAGCGCTTTAGTTTACGGGGCTTTAGTCGTTGTTTGTTTAGGTGGGGTAGTTTGGGGACTCGCATTTGCATTCAAGGGCGTTCTTCCGATCCACTGGTCCTCAAATGAGCCGGTGCTAGAGTTTCCGGTTGATCTTCTCTTTTACAACTTCTTAATGCCTTTGGCAGTCAGGTTCTTGAAACCTTCTGATGCTTTACATTCGATGTATAGCTGGTGGTTCCGTCGTTGTGCTCGGTGGTTGAGGTTGACCTGGTTCATGTTTGATGAAAGACAGCCAGATGAGGAGGGTCAAATTGTCCGCCGCTCGTGGAGGGAGTATTTCCTAGGCCCAATGTCCCAATCCTCGGAAAATGCTAGCGACGATAACATTCAACTCATACACGATGGACGATATGTAAGAGCACCCGCATCAGATCAAGTCAAGCTACCAAAAGGTACAAGGACATTCCTCGAGGTAGACCGTAACAACAACCGCTTGGATGACGTTAAGGACAGCTTTGATGGTGTTCATGGACGGAATCCAGAGAATTATAAGTTGGTTTACGTACCACCATGGTTCCGCCTGAGAATTTCAACATTCATTCTTTCCATCTGGCTCTTCGCTGCAGCAACTGGAGTTTGCATCACCATCGTGCCGTTGGTATTTGGAAGATATATATTCGCAAAAGTTATCCCAGCGGATGTTCGTAAGAACGACGTGTATGCTTTCTCCATTGGAATATACATACTAGGGAGCGCACTATATGCTCTCTTACATCTCCGAACCGGTTTGGCAACGCTTCGCAATTCGCTTTATATCAATGGAGACACGCCAAGCATAATATTCACCCGCCTAGTAAAAGTTACTGTTCGTCTAGCCCGAATCGTATGGACTTACACAGCTTTCATCCTTGTCCTTCCTACTCTATTTGCTTTCCTCGTGGAATTTTATTTTATCATCCCCATGCATACTTACTTCTCGCCGGACGAGAGGCACGTGGTCCACTTTGTACAAAGCTGGACACTGGGCCTCTTATATGTTAAGTTGACCACGAGAATCATTCTATGGCATGAGGGCAGTCGACCAGCTGAAGCACTACGTGCTGTTACTAGAAATGGTTACTGGAATCCGGATGCAAGGCTGGCTACGAGATCTTTCATCTTCCCAGCCACCCTTGTGCTCTCCATAGCTCTTGGTGTTCCCTATATCCTCGCTCAATTCGCAACTAGAACGTTCTGGAGAGATGGTACTGAATTAGAGTTAATACATGTGCATAGATACGCTTATCCTATGGTTCTGGCCATGCTAGGCACGATTTGGGCCATCTGGAAAATGGCGGAGATGGTGAGAGGGTGGAAACAGAAGATTAAGGACGAGGTTTATTTAATAGGGGAGAGGTTACACAATTTTGGGGATAATAGAAAGGTAGTTGGAACTGCCACTGGCTTGGGGGGTATGGGCGTAAGGAGGATTGATACATGAAACGCGGGTACCTGGGCTAGTTGAAGCTTTACGTTAGCACAGATGATCATGATTGTGGGACGAATAGGAATTAATTCGGACTCCCTTCGGTCTTTGATGACGCCTGGGAGCAGGAGATCGACATGGCATGTATTCTAAAATGTGTAAATATTTAAGCGGGGACATGGAGTTACGGAGGATACCTCGGAGCGTAGGAATATGTATGTTTAAAGATTTTTATGAACTTTTTCAAGTGTGTTTGGCGCGACTTGGGTCAATCCTCCTTTTTGTCACCCGAATTATCCATAATTTTGCCTGTATAGATGCTCCCACCCACACATGCTTTTGGTTCATTTGGTGACCTTACTTTGTTGTTATCGGGGAATTCCCTGCGGAAGTAGTCAAAGCATGTGGATACCACCCCGCTCACTACCCCATCCTTGGTTCTCATAAACGGTAAGATAAACACGATGCCAATTGCGATTTTTTATTTCCCACGTGTACCCGAACAGCAACAAAATGTGGACAGCGGGCTCAGGACCGAACAAACGAGCACAAACTACCGTCTTGACTCACTTACTACGTAGACAGGTTTAGCTGCGCTAGGCTTAGACTCCCAGATGACAGAATTTTATCCACTTTGTATATCCCTCCAATTATATACTCTACCCAGCTTTCCAGTTTTAAAAATTGCTAACCAGGTTAGATCCATACCGGTTACGGGAATTAAGACCTTTGAATAATTAAACGGCTGACCGCTATTATTCAATATCTCTGGAAACACTCATCAATGATTGAAAGTACCACTTCCGGTTATTGTACCTGGTTATTGATCAGATTATAATCCACGCGCAGCATAGATCTTCCAGTCGGATGAATTGCCCGAATTTGGCTGTCATGGGTATCTTGCTCCATGCATATATGTTGAATCGTTGATACATCAGAATTATAAATAGGCGCGTCAATTCCTCTTGCTCATGAAAAGTTTTTGGGCTGTTTCGTCATTGAGGATCTTATCATTTGCTGATAATATTCCCAAGGATCTCTACTTCACGTCCTCCGGTCTTTCCTTCAACATATCACTCCATTCGGCAGTATAAAAATGAGAGCCATTTCCTCCCTTTTAGCCTCTTCGAAGGTATTGCTACTAGCTCTTTTTGGTCAAGCAAGTATATTTCTGG